AAAGTATTTAATAAAAAAAGGATTTATATAAAATAAATATTATAAAAAGTTTTAAGTTATAATAAATACCTTATATAATTAAAACCTTATAAGCTTATAACTATAAAGTATTTATATAATTATATAAAATAATAATATAGTTAATATAGCTTATAAAAAAATAATAAAAAATAAAAATAATAAAGAAAATTAGCCTTATATTTAATAAAGCTATAAAGGATAATTAGTTAATTTATATATCTTATTTCCTAGCCTTAGGCTATATAATTTAAGTTATATAATAATGCTATATCTTAGGATAACCTAGGGTTATTACTTATCTATGCTTATTATTAGTGTGGATAAGATAAGCCCTCTTATCGGGGCAGTGCTCTATACGATACCCGCCATAGTGGCAGAAAAATCATAACCGCCAAAAAAAGTTCGGCAGGTCTTCGCCGACAATATTTCCTGCCGCAACCCATCTAACCCATTCGTCACATTAATTGCGTCTGCGTGCATAAGTAGGGGCGATTGATATGAAGTCCGATAAGAAGAAAGGAGCCCCGGCTCCGCCGCGCATCGCGGATGCGCGCTTCAGCAACTTCGAGACGGATCCCCGATTTCGCCTCCCCTCCAAAAAGCATTCAAAGACGAAGCTCGACAAGCGATTTGCGGGCATGCTCGACGATGAAGAATTCATAGCCACTTCCACGGTCGACCGATACGGCCGCAAGGTGAAGTCCGACTCCAAGAAGAAGGCTTTGCAGCGTCTGTACGAAGCCGAAGGCGATGAGGCCGAGAAGGACGAGGTCGAGAAGGGCGAGGTCGAGAAGGATGAGGCCGAGGGCGAAGCTGAAATCGAGGTCGACGATGATGATGTTGTCCAGCGAGAGCTACGAGCTGTTCACGAGCGCGACGAGCGCGCCAACTACGACCCGGCGCGTGGTGGTGGTTTTTCCTCCTCCGAGGACGAGGACTCATCAGAAGAGGAAGACTCGGACAACGAAGAGGGTGGTGCAGAGCTTGCCACCGAAGGGGACATGCAAAGGCTGCAAGATGAACAGGGCGACGTCGAGACCGGTGAAGTCTCGAAACGTATAGCCATTGTCAATCTCGACTGGGATCACGTCAACTCGACCGATCTATTCGCCCTCTTCAACAGCTTCATCGGCGATAGCCCCGGGCGTGTAGTCAAAGTATCCGTGTACCCCAGCGAATTTGGCAAGGAGCGCATGCAGAGGGAAGAGGTCGAGGGTCCCCCCAAGGAGCTGTTCAAGGAAGACAAGGCCAACTCCGACAGTGACGAGGAGGAAGACTCGGACGAGGAAGACGAACGGATCAAAAATAAGCTCATTCAAGAAGGCAATGACCAAGACTTTGACAGTGACGCCCTGCGAAAGTATCAGCTCGACCGCCTACGATATTACTATGCCGTTATGGAATGCTCAGACGAACAGATTGCCCAGAAAATTTACGAAGCCACAGACGGCACGGAATACCAGTCCTCCTCCAACTTTCTCGACCTGCGTTTCGTGCCGGACGAGGTCGACTTTGACGACGAGCCCCGCGACGAGTGCACCAAACTGTCCGACACGTACAAGCCCGTCGAGTTTGTAACGACGGCTCTGCAGAGCTCGAAGGTCAAGCTCACCTGGGATCTGAATCCCGAAGAGGCCTCACGCAAAGACTCCATCAATCGCGCCTTTACCGGCAGCCGGGCCGACCTCGAGGAGAATGATCTCCGCGCATACTTGGCCAGCGACACGGATGGTTCAGATGATGACGACGGCAACATGGTGGCCACCTTTGGCGGCGAAGAGGATGAGGAAAGAGAAGACGTCCAGGACGACGCGGTAGATGAGGATAAGCCCAAGCTGTCCAAGAAGGAGCTTGCGCGTCAGAAGATGCGCGCGGCGCTCGGTCTGGGGGCTGAACCGGCAGCCAAGCCGGCCAAGGGCCGCCCCGTGGGCGAGATGCAAATCACATTTACCCCCGCCCTCTCCGAGGCCGATGCCAAGAAGCCCGCCGTCGGCGAGGAGGAGACGACCATTGAAAAGTATCAGCGCAAGGAACGCGAACGCAAAGAACGCAAGCGCGAGGCCGCGCGTGCCCGCCGCACCGCCGCCAACGGCGAGACGCCCCAGGAGGCCGCTGCGAGCAGCGAAGACGAAGATGCCGGCATGACCATGACATATGACGGGGATAACGCCGACGGGGATGATCTCGGCTTCGACGACCCCTTCTTCACCTCGGAGGCGCCCGCGGAGGCGTCCAAGTCGTCCGTCCGCAAGGCCGAACGCCTCAAGAAGCGCGAGGCGCGCCTCGCCGCCGACGCCACCAACGCCGCCGAGCGCGCGGCCCTCCGCGAAGTCATGGCCGCCGACAAGAACGACACGGGCACTGCCGACCACCTCGACCACTTTGACATGAAGGAGATTCTCCGCGCCGAGAAGTTGCAGCGCAAGCAGGACGCGGCCAAGGGGAGCAAGAGCAAGAAGCGGGCGGCGGCGGCGGCGGAGAAGAAGAAGAGTAGCGATGGCGCGGCCTTGCAAAAAGATTTTGAAATGGATGTGGGGGATAAGCGCTTCCAGGCCGTCTTTGACAGCCACGAGTACGCGATTGACCCGTCCAACCCCAAATTTACGGGGTCAAAGGGCATGCAAAAGCTGCTTGAGGAGGGCCGGCGGCGCAAGAGGGGCCTGGTGGAGGGGTCGGCGGGACAGGAGGCGACGAGGAAGAGCAAAAAGGCCAAGTCAAAGCCTTGAAATAATGGGTTGGGAGGGGGGTTATGTGGTGAAAATTTCGTGTATATAGGCGTACCTTTTAGATTTAGCAACATGGGAGTTGTCCACAATTTCAAATGCGAGACGGTGAAGCGGTGTATGCAACTGGAAGTCATTCTCTGCGTAGGAGAATATGGCTCGCTCGGTGATTGCGGTTCCCAAGTAACGCGCAAACACCAGACCATGCAACTGTCAGGCACGAAAGATAAATGGCTCTCCAATCTACCCAATACTTGTGCGAATGCTGCCGCTGTACGGGATTTACACTTTGTGTTTGCTGGCAGGAACGGCCTGGTGACGTGCGTGGACTACCTCATGCGCCGTTTGCAAACAAGCGAAATCATGCAAACGCCGCGCACTCTACCATATTTTGCGCCCAACACGCACCACAAACCCCCCTATCTGGCACCTTGATACCCTTTCTCACAGGGTCGTCGTCACGACCCGATCTACTCGCATTTCGCTTATGTTGGCGCCGACTCTGATGTCTGCCGTTTCGTCCTTAACGATACCCTACAGCTTCTTTTCCTCGCGTATGACACTCGCCACAGAAAACCATCTACCTACCTGGGTAGTTAGTCATTGACCTGAGTGCTCAAGCTGCAATGTCATGTAACAACCCTGCGCGCGACGTTTCCTCGCCGTCGGCACTTGTGCACGCTTGTATCGTTGCTGTCGTGGATCGACCACGGCACCTCGAACGCCGCTGGCAGAACTAACGCATTGATCAAAAGTCATTCTGCGGTATGTCGTTGGATTTGCCCTGCTTGCTAGGGTTTCAGCTTGAAATTGAAAATGTGGCTAATTCAGAGCCAAACATGCCACGTTGCACAGTCCGCAAGCACAGCAAGACCGGCGCTCAAACCAAGCACGAATAGCATAACTAATTCATGTTGCCAAGCCAGGGCGAGCACCAAGCACTTTCCCCTCTTCCGTTGGAAAATATCCGGTGCGACAGGTACGGGGCACCTTGAATAATTCATTGCCCTGATAATTTCTGGCCTACAGAGTCCATAATATATTGTTGAGACTCATCTTGACAAGCAATACGGTGCGAGACCCGCGGCCAACAGGGGCACTCCCAGAGTATGCCAAGAAGTCACCAAATGAAAGCAAGGAGTTCGAACATGGGGTTTCGCTCTTGGGAAAGGGTCACCACCTGGTCCACACTCGAGCCCAGCATTTACAGCGTTGTCCCCGGGAAAGCGATATCTTTGGCACAGACGGATACATCAAGGCCATGCCCCGAGCGTTCGCCATTCATCTTGGCGAGGAAGATTCGCAAATTGTTCGCATATCTTCAATTTGACCCACAAGACAGAAAGCCAGAAACTGAGGATACGATGGCAACGATCATCTTGGCTCGTGAACGGGACTCGAATGCGCTCGGCCTCGTACCCGAATATCAGCGTCATGTTTATACAACGCGAGATCTGTCAAAAAGGTTGCTCCATCTCTACATCTGGCGGCGCTCGATCGGACCTGTTATTTGCACAACTATCCGTACTTACAAGATTGGCACGAGAATAAGCTGCAAGCTGAAGTCCCTCAGACCAGGAACCGGCATCCCAGCCGACAGGCATCTTGCAGTGTTCAAGGACATGCCACGGGAACTAGTTACTGGGAGTGTACGAAGGACTTGCTCCAAAGAGGAAGTAGACGGAGGTGCGGTCACCAGGGCAAGAGAAGATCTGGACGCTAGGCTGAACGACTATCAGTTCGTCGTGGCAGAGAACTATTTTGCCCAGCCTCAGAGGCGCATGCGCTTACCTTGAGAGTATTCTGACTCAGTTAGATTATGCGACAAAATCGCGACACCCCTTGTTCCGAACAAAAGCCATCACTGACGTGCTTCTGTCTAGGTCTAGGGCGTCAAAATGCTGATCATGTTTGTGCCTAGTTATTAGCGCTGTCCCGCTAGCCAGGAAGTTGGGAAAGGCTCCCGCCGGCCAGGCATCCTTGGCCTGCCACGGCCCATCCCTAGCCTGTTAGCAGAAAAGCACAGTCCCGCACCACCGCCAATACTACATAACTAGTATTACTGCGTACCTTAACTGCCGAGGATTACCGGGCGCTGAGTTTGGGCAGCGCTACGGCACGCGGCAGTGTCTGTGGGTGAGCTTGATGGGACGGAGATCTTGTGCTTGTATTAGTTACTATGCGTCGCACAACCTGGGGAAAGTGGGAAAGGGTTTTCCTAGCCCTGCGGAATTCTTCCCGCCTTGCTTTTGCGAGTCAGTCCCCAGAAATGATTACTTTTCACAGTCACACAGTCCGTGCAAAGGCATCAATCATCCCAGTCGATCAAAACAAAAGAAATTACGGACATCCCCCCGAAAATACTGGGCACAGGAAATGAGTCGCGGAAATATTAAGGAGGAGCCACAAGCCTCTTTGGGGCAACGGTGCTGATAAGAGGCGTGATGATTTCGGGCTTTCAATGGGGCCAAGATCGAGAGGACCAAATGTACGGATACGCGATGTGATACCGAGTGCTTGGTTACGGTGATGAAAGTCCAGCCACAACTGATTCATCCACACATTCGGCAAGTTGATCAGCGCTATCTCAGTCGGGAGAAAATCAACCCGCGAGGTTCTTGGCGCTCACAACATTACATATATTCTTCGAAAGGGAGTTGAGCACCACATTAACACGTTGCAAGAGGAAACAAGAAACAAAGAAAAACTGCAAAAAAGAAACATACCCGTTAGCAGTATTACTCGGCCTCTTGAATATTTTCTTTTTGCATCAGCCTGCCGATCGCCACCCGCCACCATCGCGCCCTTGCGTCAGTCAACCGCACTGATCCTTACGAATAAAGCCACGAGCTGTCTCGCTTCTCTCTCCATTTGGCTCTGGGCCCAAGACCATGTCTCGGCCGACGGTGAACTCTCATAGCCAAGTAGGATTGTCGCCCAAAGCGCTCTGTTGCTGTACCACGCGGGCACGATCAAAGACAGCGCCTCTTCCATCGCGTCCACCATACTAAATTCGTGTTAGTCCAGCACAATGACGTGTGTTGTTCTCGCAACGTTTCTTTTTCTTTTTTTTCTTCTTTTTTTCTCCCCTTACTTGGTTCCTTTGACTCGTCATTTATTTTTTCTTGTCACGGCTGTTGCTTTAAAGGTTTGATAGACGAGGTAGTTGAAAGTGTCTGCGATGGCTAGGGCTGTGTGATTGTGACTACCTTTGACTTCCTTGCCGGGGGCAAGAACGTGCCCACCACCCGCGTGTCTTGGATCAGCTGTACAGACTACAGGAATCAATCCTACAGCTGGGCAACAACCACAAGGGCGGAGAGGCAAGTGCCGCGAGCCCTGCCGAAGCCTCTTTTAATTACCTACTCGAGTTTCTTGGAGAACCCTGCTGCGCTTAAAGATGGAGTGTGTTGCAGACAACGTCGAGACGCATGACACTGAAGCCTGTTGAGCGAGCAGTATGTGTGTAACGGCCTCGTTTACACTCGTGAACGGTCACAGTAAGTTTACGAGAGACAATCCAGTGCAGTTTCCCATGTGGTTGGTTGAGATACCACAGCCATGCAAGCCACATGCTCGGCGTTCAAAAGCAAAGTCGGACGCAACTCGCATGTCTCACCGCGGTGGAGGGGATCAGCATCTCTGTGCCGTCGACTCTCCCCTGCTACCACCGCACAGTGCTCGCTTGCCCGCACCCTGGTCGACCTGTCACCTCAACCAATTTCCATGACCGTGCCCACCAAGCTCCAGATTTCCTGCGATTGGCCGTTTGTCTTGGGCCCCGGCTTAGGAGGGCGGAATCGCGCGTAGCCACTCGCTTTCGATGGCTTTGTTTTCGGTCGTTGCAAGGTTGCTAGCACAAAACGAGCAACGCGGGTTTGACCGTGCGGGCAGATCCCTGGTTCCTTTTTTCAAGAACCGGCGGGTACCAGGTTACAGGGCTCGTTGACTTCTTGGCTGGCCCTGCCCTGCACCACATATATGAGGCCGACATCCTCATCACATCGATCGTTTTCTTCGTGACCCAAGGCCCTCTTCACCCGAGCAGTCCATAACCACTGCTTGGCTTTCCCTCTTTTGAAACCTTTATCACCTTCACCACTCTCACTACTCCGTACACCCTCCTTTTCTAGCTCCGGGAATAGCAGTGCAACTCCGTCATGATGGGTTCCGAACTTGGTATGACGCCTGACAGCAAGCCAGAGGCCCGTGTCGATGGCCTCGGCATCTTCTATATTGTTTTCGCCACGGTGTGGACCTTTACACTCATGGCTGGCATGGCCTACCTCTGGATGAAGCGTAAGGAGCAGATTCTGCGCATCCGCGGTCTTCCCATATCCTTTGCCGGCATCCTCCTCATGCACGTCTACTGGGTGTGCGTGACGACTGGCTACGTTTACGGCCCTCTGATGCCCGAGGAGGCCGAGTACTGGATCATGGGTATCTGGCTGCCGCTCGGCGTCGCCCTCTTCCACGCCTCCAATACCCGTTTCCTCTACGTTGCCAACGCCCAGAAAAAGTACGCCAAGCGCACAACTGAACCATACCGCATCTTCACCCGCCGACCCGGTCGCATCTCGCTGCGTGAGGCTGTCAAGGTCTGGTGGCAGCAGCTCGACTACAGCAACAAGACGCTCGCGACGGTCGGTGTCGGCATGAGCGTGCACGTGAGCTTGACCATCTTCATGTTCCTCATGTCCCGCAAGTTCCACGACTCGTTTGGTATCAACGGCACAGAAGTCACGGGCACCCCCATGGAGCGTGCGGCCGCACAGGGCCGCGGGTGGGAGTGGTGGCCTTCCATCTTTTGGCAACTTTTCTGGGCCTGGCTCGTGGCGCCCGTCATCCTCTTCCGCTCCCGCAACGTTCATGACACGCAGGGCTGGCGGCTCCAGACCATCGGCTGCTGTATTTCCGGCCTCCATGCAGCCCCGATGTGGCTGGTTGCCCTGTACGCCCCCGGCATGGCTCCCGTGAACAAGTTCTTTATCCCACCGATGTGGATTGCCGTCTCCATCATGTTCCTCGAGATCTTTACCGTCTTCATCCCCATCTGGGAGGTGCGCACAGCCCGCAGCCTGACGCAGGAGACGCTCGAGTCGATTGCCCGGTGGGAGTCGCGCCAGCGGTTCGGTGGTGGCGGTGCCAAGGACGTCAAGTCGCTGCACTCGGAGATGTCGGGTACCACGTGGGCCACGCGCATGTCCCGCGCCACATCGTCGGTGGGCGGCGGCTCTGGCGGCTCTATCCTGACCATGGACGCGCTCGAGCATACGCTCGAGAAGAACCCCGAGCCCCTCCAGGAGTTCTCGGCGCTCAAGGACTTTTCCGGCGAGAACGTGGCCTTCCTGATGCGCGTACGCGACTGGAAGAGCGAGCACAGCATCAGCGTACCCAGGAGCCTGGGCAGCGCCAGCAGTGCCATGAGCGGCAGCGAGGACGAGAAGCCGCCGATCAGTCCGACCAAGACAAGCTCGCGCGAGATGTTTGAGAGCGCGCTGCACATCTACCTGGATTTCATCAGCGCTAGCTGTGCCGAGTTTCAGATCAACCTGTCGTCGCAGGACTTCCGCGCGCTCGAGGCCATTTTCGAGGATGCCGCGCGCATGGTTGTCAATGAGGAGTCGACCTACGACGCGGCGACGCCGTTTGCCGACGCGCCGCGCACGGCCGCCGACAATGCGGCTGCCGCGATCCGCTACGCCGGCCCGGTGCCTGATGCCTTTAACGAGAGCGTCTTTGCCGACGCAGAAATCAGCATTAAGTACCTCATTCTGACCAACACGTGGCCCAAGTACATTCGCCAACGCCGCTCGTTTGATGCCACCAGCACTGCCGAGACTGTTTGAATGAGAGTCGCGGGGGCTGTTCTACAGAGGAGGAAGATGTGATTTTTGTATTCAAGAAAATTTGTCAGGGTGGAAGGCATCCTGGTGAAGAAAACGACGTTGCGAGCAGGACATGACAGACCTAGTATTTTCTACCTTTTTTCTTCGCTTTTACCTTTTTTGCTGCACGGGCGCTCATTTACTTTCGATACCCTGAGCTTGGTGTACTTTTCTTGCCGAGTCGGCAATCTGTTGTCGCTACAACGCTCTTTACGAATTACTTAATTTCTAGATGCATCTGTCCAATTTGGCGCGGTGATCATGTTAAGATACTATTCAGACACGTTACAATGGAGCATTTACAAGTCGGTAGGTGGTAGTTAGGTACGGGTCCGGTTACTAAATCTTCCCGACTCCGAGCGTCTTTTCTGTTGAGAGCACAGCCTTGCTCTCGCCAATTGGTACGGACCGGTCACTCCACCAACTCCGACACCGACTCTCCTCTTATACCAGCAATACAAATCCAAACGTCTATTGCTGGTCGTCATTCGACATTGTCAAAATTTCTCGACGGACAAAAAAACACAATAATGTGTCTTGGACCGTCTTCAATCTAGACCCTTGCCTTGTCTCATTTGTTGAGTCAATTCTTGTTTCTTCGACGGGCGCTCCCCCCCCCCTGGCGTGTCTCTACCAATTTTGCCCTCGCTTGGGTGTCTCGTTTGCTGATCGAGGGCAGCAAAAGGGCAGAAAAAAAAAGAATTCCCCCGGTCATGGATCTGTCCAACAGCGGAAGGCGGCCGCCACCGATGGGCGTTAAAATGAGGGCGTGCGCAAATTGCTCGCGCCTGAAGATGAAGTGTCGCTGGCCGTCGTCCGGCTCGGCCGAGACCACGGCGTGCACAAGGTACGTGCGACAAGAAAATTAACCAGGACAAGAAAGAGCCTCATCACCGAGTCAGAAACAGACACACGAGGGTTTCACGAACTGACTTTTTTGACCGGGCACAGGTGTGGCCGCTTGGGCATCGCATGCGGCGTCCCGGCCCATGCGCCAAGGAAAAGGAGACCAAAGTCAAAGTATGTCTGACAAAAAAGCGACGAGAAAAAAAGAAAAAAAAAGAAAGTCTTCTAATTTGTGATACGTAGTCGCGTCGCACAGCTGGAGCAGAAACTCGACGGCATCATGTCCCTCCTCGAGTCCAGCCAACGGGCCGCCAAGCGCCAATGCTCCAGCACCGCCGCCGGTGCCGGCGCATCTGCCTGTTCCGGCGACGACTCCCCCGTCCCCTCGTCGCCGCTGACTCCCGACAGCCAAGGCCCCAACCCGTGGCCCCTGGGCGCCGGCGCCGGCGCCGGCGAGCACACTTCCCCGGAGCAGCCACCGGCGGACGCCGCCGAGACGGTGGAGCTCGTACCCGGGTTCCGCATCACGTTTGTCGAGGCGGCCGAGTACCTGCACGTGTACCGCAAAGACTACATGCCCGTGTTCCCGTTTGTGCTGATTGAGGAGACGACCAGGCCGCAGGAGCTGCACGCCGCCGCGCCGGCGCTCTTCTGGATGATCATGGCGGCCGTGGCCCAGACGTCGGAGGAGGTCGACGCCGCCGTCAAGGCTTGGCTGCGGCGGCACGTGGCGGAAAAGATGCTCATTCGGCAGGAAAAGACGCTGGAGATGCTGCAGGCCATTCTTGTGCATCTGATATGGTACGTTCCACGTGCCCCCTCGCGCCCAAGGTTCTTCTTGTTTTGCTCATGCCCTGTTTTGCATGAATAACAGGGGCTCCTTTCACTTTTACATAGACGCCGAAACGCCCTTGTTTATGAGTCTGGCGCAAAACATTGTGCTCGACTTGAAGCTGGACTGGCCGCCGGAACAGGGGCAGGTGTATAAGCACTCCCTCCTCGGGGCGGCCTGGTGCCACATGAACAAGACGCATCTGCTGCAGCGGCGGAGAGCGCACACGCCGGCCGAGATTCGCGCCGTGCTGGGCCTTTACTATGCAACATCCGTGTACGTTTTACGATCACATGGCTTCCTTTTCGTGCGGCACCCCGCTGACAAGCTGCCCAGAACAATGTCCATGTTTCGCCGCGGTCCCGGCCTGGCGTGGAACAGCTACCTGACCAAGAGCTGCGACTCGATTGCCGCCCTGTGCCAGCATCCGCTCGACGAGGCCCTTGCCGCGAGCGTGCGGCTGCAGCGCATCGCGCAGAGAGGCCTGAGCGCGCTGCCCGGCACTGAGTACGTCTGGGGCCCGTCGCCGACTGTGTACAGCCACGCGCACGAGATGACGCTGATCCTGACGCGCGACAACATGGACAAGTTTTTCCACTCGCAGACTCTCGAGATTCAAAACGACGGTCCGTTGCCCCTTCTCCCAGCGTACCCCGAATATCAACTAACTCCCCCTTGCCAAGTCATGTTCCGCCACCTGTACCTCGCGCTTCTCGTCCGCCTCTACGAGCCCGTCCTCGGCATGCAGCCGGCCGCGCACATCTCAGACAACAGCGCCAACGCCACGGCGCACGGGCTGCCGTTTCGGCGCACCGAGATGCTGTGGCGGCTCGTCGACGCCTGCCGCGCGCTGCTCGCCGCGCGCGCCGCCCTGACGGTCGCGCAGACGGCGCTGCGGCCCTCGACCATGACGGGCTTTCTGGCCTTTGGCGTCGTCACCGCCTCGCGCGTGCTGTTCCACGCCGCCGAGGACTGGGACCCGGCGGTCGCGCGCCGCCGCTTCGACTACGGCGCCGCCATGCTCGCCGCCGCCGCGCAGTACGAGCGCGCCGAGGCATGGGCCGCGACGGCCGCGCGCAGACACCCCATGTACGACAAGACGCCGCTGTTTCTCCTCTACGCGCAGAAGCTCAGGTGGATACACCAGTGGTATGAGGCGCGCCGCGCGGCGGACGAGGTCTCGGCTGAGGCGGCTATGATTACGCCCCCGCAGGATGCGCAGATGGGGATGGGCGGGGGAGGGGATGCGGGGATGGACTTGCTGGGGCCGGAGCAGCAGCATAGTCCGGGGGTTTTGCCGGATTTTCAGTTTGATGAGGCGTTTTGGCAGGATATGCTGCTGGGTACGCCGCAACCAGCGCTGGGACTGTACAACATGGGACCAGGGGGTTTGTAAATACGAACAAGGACGAAACTGTATATATACATGTATAATGAATATCGCTCTTTAACCTCTAGAAGGACAAGAATTAAAAAACAAGTAATACCGTTGCAGGGATCCCGTGCATGGCGGAAACTCGGAGCCGACGATCCGGGCGGGCCAAGGGCCGCGCCGGGGATCCACTCTCGTTTTCTTATTTTTTAGCTTTCCCCTGACCTGGCGCAAATCCATCAAAGATGGATCCAACATCATCGGTCGCATTGCCTTGCCCGCATATATCTGCATCGCCCCGGGAATAATAACTCGCCACATACGCTTTTTTTCCCCCGCCCCCCCACGGTCATCAACATGGCGAACAAGCCCTGGCGCGACTGGATCTACCTTGCCGTCATCGGGCTGCAGTTCACCGGCATGATTGGTATACCGATCCCTGCGTCCCCCCCCGTATAAACCACCCAACTGACAGATGGTGTTGCCAAGTTCTCGACCTCGTCGCCTTTTACCCGCCGGCGCTGTGGCAGCCGGTCGGGTCGCCTCTGCATTTCCTCGTGGGTCTGCGGCGGCGCTACCTGGAGCTGTCCGGGGACCCGTTCTTCTCGGGGGCGCCCACGCCGCCGTGGTTCGCCGCGTTCCTGTACATCGAGGGGCTCGTGCAGTGCCCGCTCGCGGCGTACCTGGTGTCGGCGCTGGCGGGCCGGAGGCGGATGGCGGGCCCGGCGGAGCTCGCAGGCCTGGCGTTTGGCTGCCTGACGCTGATGGGCTCGGCGGCCTGCTGCTACGAGCTGCTGCACATGGGGCCGGAGCGGGTGGCGGCGGACAAGAAGACGCGGCTACTGTACGGGACATACTTGCCGTTTGTCGTGATTCGTAAGTCTTTTTGGCCGGGTTGGTGGGTGGGAATTTTGGCTGTGCTGACCAAGTTGGTGTCTTTTAGCGGCGGTTTTGGCGGTGGACATGTTCTTGCGACTGCTGCCGCGGGTGCAGGAACAAAGTGTCAAAGCAAAGGACGAATGAGTGCGGGAAGGCCAATGCCTTGAATTAATCTCAGATAATACAACGTCTACGCTGTACTGGTTGGTACAGGGTGAAAATAGACCGAAAACCTCAACTCCTAGATGCCCCAAAATGTGAAACCTTGCTCCTGCATTACATTTCGTTTTCGTACAGACAATGTTCGTATTTTTCTCTTCTTTGTTTTTGTTCTTTTTTCTTTCCCTTTTTTTGGCGCAGGCATACGCCTAGTCCATGCGTTTCGAGTATCCCCAGCCGTTGCCAAGCCCGTGGCCCAGCGGCGTCGCGCCGCCCATCGCGCGGTTCCTCAACCTCCTCGGCAGGATAATACCCAACGTGTACATGGCAGCCAGCAAGCCGCCGGCGATAAACGAGACGAGGCTGTAAAAAAAGGTGCTCGCGTAGATGTGGCCGCCGAGTCCCTGCCACTCGACGCGGCCCTCTGAGTGCGGGAGGTGCGGCGTGGGGAACCAGCGGACCGAGAAGCGCAGCGGCAGGGGCTCGCCAATGGTGAGCTTGGTGGACGCGGACCCTTCCATGTGGGAGAGCGGGCTGGTGCTGTACGAGATGGCCGAGTCGAGGACGCCGCTGTCGTGGTGGTGCACGTGGTGCTTGGGCACCGAGTGCAGCAGCACGTTCATGTGCGTCGACACGTGCATGTGGCTGAGCTGGAGCGTGCCGGCGACGGCGAAGACGAGCGGGATGTGCTCGAGCGGCGGGGGCGCCTCGCCGACCACGACGACCTCGGCGGGCGGCCGCGCTGGTAGTCGGCACGACAGCGGCGCGTCGCTGTGGATGTAGAACTCGAGTAGGTGGAAAAAGTCGTGCGAGATGGGAATGGTGCAGTTGACCTCGCCCTCGATGCCGTAGCCAAACTCGAGCGGCTTGCCCGTCTCTTTGCAGTCAGGAAACGGGATCCATTGCAGCTGGTGGTTGCCGTCTTCAATGTGCTCGCCGGTTTCTCTGAGGGGGGATGTTAGCGTCTCCTCGTACCGAGGTTCAAGGGGGGGGGACCCTACGAGCTGCGGTTCATGCATTCAATGGGGATAGGGGCGCCATAGTGGTAGGAGGGTAGCGCGGCGTGCTCAATGTCGGTGGCGGCGACGAGGGCAGCGAGGGCCGGGAGGATGGCGAGGGAGAGCATCGTGGGTGGTTTGCGTGGTTCGAACGCGAGGGGCAGGAATGGAGGGTTTATCTCGACATGGGGTCCGTAAGAGGCGTTGTTTCGACGGGTAGCACGTGCTTGTATCGTCAATGCATGCTAGCGAGACAAACGCGGGCAAAGGACACAGACGGAGCACACGAATGACGATGGACGATGGACATTGAGAGGTGGCCAATGCTGATCCTGTTGAATTGGAGACTGACGTAGCATCACGTGTAGGGGGCTTCTTTAAGTGGCTTTAGCGCCAGCTTCAGCGTCAATTCGCGCTAAAGCCATTGCCCAGGGGGACTTATATGATATTTAGAATAATATGAAAAAAAGTAACGAAGAAATAAGAAGAAAATGAGAAGAAGAAAATGAGAAGAAGAAAAGAGGATTTTTTTTTTTTTTTAAATTTAAGCAAGTTGACTAAGAACAGAGTTGCCCCCTTCTTGTGTACGAGATTGCGGAACGAACTGGAACAGGGTTGCCCCAAAAATAACTAGTCATCGAAAGATGCTGTGAAAAAAATCAAGCAAAGCAATCCTTCCACGACACAAAAATCCCTTCTATGGCGCAGCAATCCCATTATTCGTGATTCGGCCAGACAACAGTTTCTCCTTCTCGCCTAGGAGCGCGACGCACTGGCTGCCAGACTGCGTAGTTTGACAGTGACGGACAAGTTGAGGCTTCCCACCACCCAGCAAAACGCCGCGAGGCTCAGCAAGCCGCCGTGCGACGTCCACATCCTTGCCAGCGCGTGCCAGAGAGAATCATCTCGAAGTGTCGATGGCGTCTGTTCCGGCGCATTCACTGAATCGTGGCTCGATGCGTCCCTGAGGCGAGAGAATGGGTTCTAGTCCGGCGAACGCGTCAGTCAACGGCATCCATCTTGAACAGGGACGGAGAGGATGGGGGAGGAACAAGGAAAAGCACCTACAGGAGGCCCAGAGAAGACGAACCACTGGCGCGTGTCAATAGAAGGGCCGTTATGCGTCGTGTGGGAACCGACTTGCTGAATGCCGTCCCCGTCAAACGACACGCCCGCAGCGGCTGTGCAAGCATGCGTTCTCTTCGTCTGAAGCCCAGCTGAGCCGCCTAAACGTGGGCCCTGCGAAGCCGAATTATCAGACGAATCTGCAGGCTGGAGCTGAGCAGCAGCCCCATCCGTCAACTCGCCGTCCATCACAGAGAGTGCGTTGAAAGAACAGTTCCAGCTTCCAAGACAGAAGAAGAAAACAGTCCCTCCCCAATTGCGTCTGGCTGCTGCTCTTCAAGAGTCTTTCTACTGACCTTCACCGCATCGCTGCATCCAGGCTGCAGCGGCGCCAGAGGTTGTTTGTCAGATGGCTCTTCGTCTCAACACCAGGGCCTATCCCCCAGCTACACTATTACCTGTCCCCTTTTCTCCGCGGCAGACATTTTCCAATACGAATAAGCACGCCAGCCACCTCACTTTGGCTTTTCTGCACCCGCATGATCCGGAAGAAACGCCCCAAGCCCGCGTTGCGCCATAATAGCTGTCCGCACAACGCCACGCATACACACTGGAAGCAAGCTTGTCGCCGTGACATAATCGGCAACTATTCGTCCCGGAAAAATGGGAGTCTATTACAACCAATAGGATGCACAGAAAGCTTCGTCATTTGCATCGGCACAGTGCATGCATTCGATTCGCGCCCCCAGCGACGCTGAACGGCGACCGGAGACTGGGCCGCCAGCAGTCATGCAGCCCTAACTAGTTTGAGCATCAACCAGCGCTCATGTTCTGGGGGGGTCATTGTTCTAGGAGCTATTTGACCTGGGGCCGCATGGTGGCATTGAATACGCAAATTCAACCCGCGCCCCCCCTGTCTTGGGCGACTCTGAGGTTGCCCTTTGCGATCAATGCCACGTTTTACAACTTTGCTGGGTATGGCACTGATGATTCAAAAGGAAAGAACAGCGCATTTAGGTCTGATGATTGACGACTCTGTCCTGTCGCCAGAGGAGTAGCCGGCTGACCTCTACGGCTTCTTGCTCGAGTAACAGCGCGCAGGGACTGAGAGTTTCCAGACTGCGGAAACCTGAAAACGTTGCTAGCGAATGGCAGAATCCCCAAAAGTCAAGTTAGTGGGTGCAGAGATTGTGTCAGGCCAACTTCTACGATACCTTGGCTTGGGCAAGGCGGAGGTGCATACGCGTGCATGCATGCAGCGTGACGAGTTCCACAGCTCAGCTGGTCGTGCTGCTACGTCTACTATGCCTTGGTTGCGGCTGAGAGCAGAAGACCCCTGGACTTTGGGCATCTAGATGGGCAGTGGCTTCGACGATCGTCATTTGGAGAGGCCAAGAGGTCTCGTCTGGCAATGCATGTCCACGGATGACTGTGCCGGAGGCCTCGGCGGGCTTCGGCGGGCTTCGGCTTCAGCCCTGCAAGTCGGGCTGAGAATTGGGCAGACTGTCGGGCCAAGTCGGCGCCCGTATCCTGTTTGATGCGGTGGCGCATGCCGCCAGCCTTGGACGAGTAGGCCAACCACGGGACTTCATTGCGTGTTGCCTCGCCCGTGCCTGGAAGGGTCAAACAGAGATAAGCTTGTGACCAGATCAAGAATCCCTTGGATCGATGCATGTTAGCCTATATCCAGTTAGCCTCAGTACCCGGCGCTGCTGCACAGCCCTAATTCCTTGCTCCCCAACGACGGCACCAAGCGGCCGCTACCTGACTCTGAGAATACTAACATGGTTGAATACAATTATAGTAACAAGCGTATGGATAGATATAAATCAAATAAGAAAGCTGCTAGTGTAGCTTTACAACATCTCATGGAAACGCTGCTTCTGGCTCTTTTCAATCTCGTCGAGGCTGATTCTGGACGACATCGTCAACACTGATACAAGCCGCCAGGGGTTAGCGGTGAGCCAGACGGCAGCTCTGTTACGGTACCGGGCACGCGGAATTCCTAATCTCTTAGAGTTTCCTAGTCTGGACAAGTCGCATCACCTTCTCCATAGGTCCATACTCGCAAGCCATTGGACGCCGGCAAGCAACCGTTGACCCGTTTGAGAAGAGCTCCCGGTGGGCTTCTTTTTTTTTCCCCGGGCGCCTAGATAGCCAATATTACGTCGGATACGAACGGAGCTTAGCTCACGTGGTCCGTCCTGCAGAAGAAAAAAACGATCATCATTCCCTGTCCTGTCATCGACTCGACGACTGGGGCACGCATGACCGGAGCCATGGCCGAACTGCTTGGCGTGGTCGCGGCGGCGGCGCAGCTCGCAGGCCTCTGCGGTTCTCTGCTCACCGTCCTGAAAAAGGTTAAAGGGGCTGGACTGACGCTCGAAAGCTGGAAGAGGCAGCTGGAGGACCTCAGCCTGCTGTCCGCCTCGATTTCGCGCAACCCTCTGCTGCAGACGAGCGAGATTGCGTGCCTGACCCAGTCCCTTTCCGCACTCATACAGCAGGCTGACATTGGCCTCATCCTCGAAAAGAACCGGCTCTCGCGCGCGCTGTACGTGCTGCGCAAAGAACGAGATCTGTTCGACACCCTGGCTGCTCTGGAGCGGCAGAAGCTGAGCCTCTCGCTGAGCATGGAGCAGATACAGTCTGGCGCCCTGCACGAGATACGCGCCCGCGTCCAGGACATGGCCTACGAAAACAGCAACTTCTGGGCCCTGCCCGACGCGTTGGCGGTCGAGTCAGCGCAGTCGCCGGCGGACTCGCTCATGCTGGATGTTGGGAGCAGCATGCCGGATGCGGATTGGGTCTGTCCTCGGACGTCGCCGGCCGATTTACCACGCGCTAGCCAAGACTCGCCCATGATGCTCGCGCCCGACGGTACAACGGCCGCCATTGTTGGGAGTGGCCATCAGGCTCCTGCCGCGGCCGAGCTGCGCACGCAACCGGAAGGGGTATCCATTGTTCCTCTTCGCTCCGACCATCACGAGCTCTACACCACCAGCGGCGCGGGCATCTCTGGCGTGACCTGCCACGGCAACGTGAACCAGTTTGTGGGAAGCACGTTTTCCGGCACCGCGTCCGAGCTGCCGCACGTCACAAACGACATGACCATTGCCAACATTGGCAAGTGCGGCCAGGGAGACCAGCTTGTTGGCTTCTGGGCCGAGTACGAGGGCTGCCTCGAGGACAGCTTCAACCATGCGGCCGTGGTCGGCACCATTCGGGGCGTGACGCATCGCGGGGTCGACGCGGGCGGCCGGCGCGGGCGGCAAAAAGTCGGCGTGTTTGTGACGCATCGCGGATGAGGAGATGAGTTTCTGGGAACGACCAGTCAAGGGAGAAACGGCTGGCTGCACGGTCCCGTCTACAACATGAGGAGTATCAAGACTGGACTTTCTGCAGCCGGTTTCATGACACGTATAGAAGACGGGCTTCGAAAAGCTAATTTGAAGAGGCAAGTCCGGCCATGCCAATAGAGTTCATCTGTCTGATATCCTATGTAATTTCTTTACCAAGTACCTCTCATAGACTATTTCATCACTGTACTTCTACCCACTGACAACGACCATACTGAGAACACCAGAGCCTGCATACGAAATGTCATTGCTTTTCGTTCCTCCATCCCACTGCCCGTCAAAAACCAACTCACCCCAACCTGTACCGAGCGAGCCCTACCGCTACACCAAGAAGGTAATCTTGGTCCAGTCCACCTCCCAGCCGGAGCTCAGCTCAAAGCCCACGAGCTTTCCGTTGGCGACATTGGGGTAGAGCTCGCCCGAGGTGCCTCCAAACGCCCAGGAGCGGCCCTTGGACGTGCTCACCTCGAAGCGGACGATGCGCCATCCCGCGCGCACGCTCCACTGGGCCGTCTCGTCCGGGGAAAAATCAACGCTGGACATGGTGTCGCCCGGCTGCGGGCGGTTGTACACCTTTTTCTTCTCGCCGTTGAACCACTCAATCTCGAGGCCCTTGATGACGATGAAGTTTTCGGCGTCGCCCGAGCCCTGCCCGGACCATACGGTGAAGCGCTTGGCGGTCGAGTCGCGGTTCGGGAAGAGGCTGAAGGGGTGGTTGGTGTTTCTGCCAAAGGGGCCGACGACGCGCTGAGACATGATGCGGGAAGAGGTGGTGGTGGTTTGGAAAAAAGTATTGCGAGAACTTGAATGGAGATGATGGAGTGTAGTGTATAGTAGTCTGGTGAGGGAAAGAGAGCTCGTCTTTGAGGCAGTGAGAGGGAGGCCACATAGCTATATAGACAACATCAAGCTATCTCTTCAATGGTGCTTGTAATAGTCAACTACAGAATATCTCACATCACGTCTCTTGCCGTTGCTATGCGCATGTGACCCAAGACAGGGATCGATTGCCGGTAATCACCGGTCGACCTCTTTGACGCCGGTTTTTGAGGTTTCAACGCCGTCACATCAGGCCGTGATTCCCAGCCTGCAGGACGACAAGGTTGAGCGATACCTCATACCCGCGTTTGGACACAGATCGGCGCTACAAACAGTTCCTCATGGATATGCAGGAGATGGATGGGGGGAGGACGGTGTCTCGAGACAGCACGTGGCCAGGGATACCACTGCAGGTGGCACTTTTCCATTGTCAGGTGCGGCCGCAGGCAGCAGTTATACATGTCAGATTTCACTATTGAGACACGTCAAACGCATCCTTCTTTCATGATTCTACTGCACCTGAACATGCGCTGATAGCGACAGGCTGCGACCGAACATGCGTGACCCCCGCTCCTACCCCAACGCAGAATATGTTCCAGAGTTATATCGCCGCTTCCACGCCGATGGTATCCGTTCTTCCTCGCAGGTGCTGCCGTTCTTTGCCGTCAAGTCGGGATATACTGTCATATCTTTACAGACGCTTGTCAAGAAACCATTCGTGCCCGCCTCAAATAGCCAAGACAAGGTTGACGCGGCCTGGCACTCAGAGGGTAGTATGCTTCGGAGGAGTCATGACATTTGCAGAGTCACGAGCTCATAATATACTCAATGCTTTGTAATAGCTGAATCCTTGAACTATGCCTCAGAAGGACCTCTTGGGTTTCGGCAATAGCTCCATGGTGGAAATGGGCACGCCCGTCCAACTATAGTTGAGCATTGATAGCAAGAAAAATGGCGTTGCAATTCTTTTGACGGCAAAGAAACAGTCTATAGTCTTCAACAAGCAGGATCGACGTGTTGTTATGTCCGCCACTGCAACATCGGCAGATGGCTCAATGTTCATGCCCGGTGATACTCAACTTGTCCAAAAAACATGTGCCCGGTTCCGAACAGGTCCTGCAGGCTTGATGCCTGTCCAGCGCACTCGTCGTCATTCCATCTCGGAACCGATGCAGTCCCATAACTTGTCCTATCAATTAGGCTCATGATGACTCACATCTATAATTCACAATGTCATGACCAGGGGAAATTGAGGGCTGTCAGCGACGCTGCCAAGGCGCTGAACAAATCATTACCATCCTATCGTCTCGCGACATCAGCACGCCACATAATAGAAATCAGAAGAAAGCCAATCGGTAGTCGTACCAACATCAGCACAGAGCCTCTAAAACTAAGCCCCAGTACCGTCCCATTTTATATCCTACACCGCAGCCGACACACTGGCCGAGAATGACCGCTCCTCCTCAGCTATCCCCAGGACCCCTTACTTGTCCACGCGTCCCGTCATGTACAGAATATCCCACTTGAGCTCCCAGCCCTGTCCATTGTACTTTTCCACCAGATGCGCGCGGACCAGCTCCTTGACCTCGTCCACCGAGTGCGCCGCCACCTGCGCCTCGCTCCAAAACATCGTCATCAGGTACCCCAGCATCATGCCAAACATGTCGATGAACTCGTCCGCGCTGCGGACAAAGTACGAGTCGCTCTGCACCGCGACCCGGACGTCCCGGAGCCCCAGCCTCTGCAGGTGCGACGCCACCCAGGACGGCTCGTACCAGGTGCCCGACGTGTGCATCTGCATCGGCATCGTCGCCGGGAACGGCGCGTCAAACGGCATGCCGGCAAAGGCCGTCTGCACGTCGGCGAACCAAAACCTGTTCTCCTTGTGCATGGGTACCGTGGTTGCGCCAAAGACGCCGCCCGGTTTGAGCACACGAATGGCCTCTGTGGCGGGTTGTCAGCAAAGTGTTGCTCTGCTCGCAGGCCTGTGTAAGTCGTCTCTTCACCTTTGACAGCGGCATCGGGGTCGGGGATGATGTGCAGACCCAGCAAGATGGAAACATGGCTGTACGTGTTGTCTGGCAGCTTTGTATCCTAAATTCCAAAACAGGGGTCAGCAGCACAAAACTTGACGGTGCACGAGTCCCCGGCATTACCTGCGCGTCGGCGACACGAGCTTCCGTGTTGATCCAGCCCTCGTTCTGGATGCGCTCCTTCATGATGCCCACCAGCGACTCGGACAAGTCCGTTGCCAGGATCGACCCGGCCTGCAGCGTCATCCGCGGCAGCACCTTGTTCACCTCCTGCGCCATGACACCCGCGCCCGCCGCGTTGTCCAGCAGCGTCACCGGCTCGGTGCGGTCCGCCGTCAGGCCCATCTTTGGCAGCAGCGGTGCGGCGAGCTTGGCGATGACGCTCTTGCTGGTGCGCACCCATGAGTTTTCGTGCTTGTCCGCCGTGGCGAAGACGTCGCCGAGTCCGCTCGACATCTTCTCCAAGTGTCCAACCTGGGCTGACATGTTTCTGCACGTATGGTGGAAAAGTAGGAGTTGTAGAAAATGTAAAGAAAGTTGCATGTGGTTTGTTCAAGATGGGACTTTTATCGCGGTCAAGTTTTGAATATGGTCAGATATATATACAGAATGCCGGCGACTATGTGCTTCATCCGGGTGTGGCGCCGGAGAGTTTCCAGGGGCGGGCCGCAGAGGTCCCCACCAAACTCCGGTACTCGGGCCGGCCACTTTTCGGAGACTTTTGATCTCGATCCATGACCAGGCCACGCAATTATACGCCAGAAGACAAATAATTCGGTACAAACTTTAAAATGTTAGTAGGCAGAAAGTCTAGATGCGGCTGCCAGTAGGCAGGCGTAACCGTCCATCTCGCGCTGACCGAAAAAAGCCTTCGTGCACGGCAAAGACTACGACATTCACCGTGTCAATACCAGTCAGCCCCTGTAGCCAATCAGATAGACGGTGCAGGAGGAGGCCAAGCAAGTACTTCCACATCTTCACTAGCCCATCAATGCGTTGACAGTTGTACAAGAATCCCAATGAACAAACCTCGTTGAAAAGGAAACAAGAAAACTATAAAAAAACGACACCTACATAATCTAAGTTACAAAGAGCATTTCTACCAAGAAAGGCCAACGCAACGATGCTCCCACCCAACGAACAGTAATAGCAGCCGAGTCACCAGGCCACCAAAAAAAATGTAGTTTCTTTCCCGTGATTGCTTTGAAAGATATCAAAAATGTCAAGACAAACAAAAAAAGATGTACCAAATGGTTCCCCCATCTCCATGCCATGAGGTTTCCCGTTACTCAACTCTGTCCGTGCCTCGACTACCCAATGTCAGAACCACCTACCACTCGCAAATCGCCTACCAGCGAAGACTTCCATTCGGCACACGTTCCACCAAGCCAGTGACTTCGCGTCGCACCGTCTTGAGCACACGTCGGACATCTTTGAGTTCCGTGCCGCCATGGTTGTTGCCGTGTCCTGCGGGCGGCAGCGCCGCCTCGCAGCGCGCGAGCAGCTCGCCGACGGCCGGCCCAATGGCCGCGCCCGTCGTCTGTCCACCGCGCCGCCGCACCTCGGCCGCCCAGTCATTGACCACGTACACGATAATCTCGATGATGCGGTTGCGCACCATGCCAGAGAAGCCATAGTCTTGCGTGTCAAAGATGTTTTCCAGCACCTGCACAATCATGTTATGCGAGACGCCAAGCGTCAAAAAGAGCTGCGCAGGCCACGACGGCTCAGCCCCAATGGTCGCGTCCTGCTGGTAGGCGACGGCGTAGCGGCACAGCTCCGGCAGCAACGTCTGGATGGGAAAGACGAAGCTGTCCAGGGATGTGTAGTGCGCAATGTTCTGAATCTTGCTGCTGACGGCCTCGTACGGCACCGGGGGTTCGACCTGGCCCGGCCTGGTATCCTCTAGGCGCGAAATAACTTCATCATGCGTTTGCTGAATGAGGTTGCTCCAGGTGGAGGAAATGGTTGTCGGATTGCGGTAGTTGGCGGTGTGGTAGATGACAAGACATAGATCATAGTATCCCGCCTGGTCTGCATAGTTATTGAACAGCTGTGATGCGTTAGTGCGTGCACGGGACAATTCTTCATAGTGAGAACTCACTTCTGACAGGTCGAGGATTCTTCCATCAAGAGCCTTTGAAATCTCCTCCTTCTTCTCGAAGTCAAGGCGCTCATCGGCACGCAAGCGTCCGAGTAAATCGTCCTGGATGTTGGCAATGTCCAGCTGGTCGGTGACTTCGTGGTTGAGCATTTGCTGCTGCTGTCTGCTCACGCCAACGGTAGTCACGCTGGCATTGGCCTTGGCCAAGCTAAGCAGCTTGATGCGGTCCTTGATACCGATAGCAAAGTCGGAATTCGCCAAGCCCGCTTGCACCTCGGCAGCCGCAAAGAAGCGACTACGATTGGTGTAGAATCGGCACAGCAAATCAGCGTGCTCGACGTTGGTCCCGGCCAGGCGCTCGAGGAACGTGACGACATGAGGCGAGTCTATCGCCAAAATGCGGTCCGTCCAACCTTTGTGAATGTACCACTCGTAGAGGTCAAAGTGGAACACTTCGTCGTCGGATCCATTCACAACATCGTACGTTTCCATTCGCTTCATTGCTATGACCGTCGGTTTGCCGTCGACCAGCTCAGGCTCTTTGCTCGAGGTTTGGTCTAGGTGGCGTAAAACGTGATGGATCATATCGTAGCACTTTCTGCGCTCTTCGAAAGCCTCAGCGCGTGGATCCCCGGCGGGCTTGCCGTCCTGAATCCACAAGAGGGCAGTGTTACCGCGATCCTTCTCCCGAGCCATAACAAGACACAGTTGGACCGCACCCGCAAAATACCTGAGATTCACGTATTGGCTTACGGCGGACTGGAGATTATTGTAAGTCAGGCTACCAGCAACCTTCTCAAACAGGTTCAAGCTCTCAAGCAGGATGTTTCGTGATTGGGTAGTATCGACTGGTTGCTCAGACGCACGTTTCAGCTGCTCTTGCGCCTTGAAGATGACAACATCGTCGGGGCTGCAGAAACTGCCACAGCGTCTACGGAGAGCATCGGCCACCGTCTCAACATTGGACCCGCTCTCGATGTTGCGGTTCACAATGGCCTTGACCAAGACCTTGGCCAGGTCCTTGCCATGGGGCTGCGAAAATAGCATTTCGTAAGTGAGATCGCGAAGCTGCTGACGAGCAGACTCCTCAAGTCGCATAAAAACATCGGTGGCGCGTTCATCAAACAGCATGAGAACAAAGGAGATACCTTCCGAGGTGCTTTCCATGAGTTTTTGTAGCGCGTGCAGAGCCTGGTGCTCGGCCTGCAGAGAAATCTCTTCCTGGCGTGTGCCTGTGCGCTGGAGGTCGGCAGGGCCAGACATGCCTTGGATGAGACCGCGGTTTGCCTCGATAAACCTACGAAGACGTTCCAGGTTTTCTTGGGTAGCGCTCAGCCTGTCAAGCGGCACAGCCGAGGCAACAGCAAGGCCACCGGTGGGAGAGACGCCTTGAATAATGACTTTCGATTTCCAAAGCGTCCTGACGAGACGAGCCAGGTAAAGCGAGAGAGCGTCATGCCTCGAAGACAGTCGGACAGAGTCAGTATTTAAGCTAGCGCCGTCTGTCTCGGCAAGTGTGGGTTGGCCGCCCATCTCGACAAAGATGCCACGAGCACGATCTTGGGTAGTCTGGTCCATAGCCCGAGCTGATCCAATTTGTGCGTCACCTCCATGCCCACAGGCCACAGCCAAAGCAGTAGAAACAGTCTCTACTCGGCCGTACAGCTGAATCAGACGCCGGCAGACCAGATCCAGAGCTTCCTCGCCGGGTGCATCCCGAATTGCGGCAGCAAAGTTGTCCACCAGGCGTCTGCGGCGGACAATGTGGACACCGGTATTAGTCAAGATGGCGACCTCGGGTGATTTCTCCTCAAATTGCACAGCCAGTTCGTTGCCAAAGCCCCATGGCGTGCTAGAGGCGGCGAAAGGTTTGGTAACAAGCCCAACAGCTTCGGCGCGGCTCCCGATGTCGATCCAAGACGCTTGCTCGTAGTAGCGCAGGGGCGTAGCATTGTTGGTGTTCTTGATTCGAGCCGATTCGGGGGCGGCAAGGAAGAGCGTGTCGGCATTGGCGTCAGCTTCTTTCGCGACAAAGTCGACAAATACACCAGGCGCATATCGCGCACCGTATCTGCTAGGAATGAGCATGGCCGACCCTAACTCAATATTGGTCTCCACACCGGCCGCAACAGGTCGTGGGAGTTGCGCGGGTCGGCGGGATTGGGGACTTGGCGGGAACTTGATGAACTGGACCTGCATGCTTTGGGGAATCATGTTGTTTTGGGAGCCATAGATATAAGACGAAGCGCTTGTAGCACTGAAAAAGATTCGGCAGCCCGTGTCTGTCACTGCCATGAGGTGTATTTTCGAGGCCTCTTGCTTTGAAATGGGGCTGATGGACACAATCGTCATTCGATCCGTGAGAAGTTTAGACTGTGAAATCATGTGCGCAATGTCGCGAAGGCAGTGAACCTTTTCCTTTTCAATAACCTTGTTGAGTCGATCGGGACCTTCCATGTGGTAAGTACGAATCGTTGATGCACTGGAAAGCGTGTAGAGCAGGTTTCGGGAGTCGTCAATGACAATGTCAACCAAATGTTCGGGGTTCTTGCTGCTCCAGAAGCTAGACTGCAGGGTGACAACTGACGCCCAGCCCGGGTTCGTGTGATTAATCTTGCCACAACGGTTGGAGAACCACTTCTCTTCAGATTGGTAATACAGTTCGCTGACATCGACATCGTTGGTACCGCCAAAGAAGATTCTTCCATCGGCTGAGCCCGTGATAACGCGGACGTCGCTGCCTCGCAGAGGGAGTGACATGTTGGTCCTGTAGAGCGAAACGGTTTTTGTGCCAGTTGGCGTGGGGGTAGCTGCTATGCCGAGAAGAAACATCTCGGATGAAGTGGCGACAACAAGGACATGCGTAATGGTGTCGAGAAATATCCCTTTTTTGGGCGGCACAAGCGCAACAGCTTGAATGGTGTGCGGCTGGTCCTCAAAGCCAACAAGCTCCGCGTCGGCGTTGGTATAGTCCCAGAGGAAGAGTGCGTTGTCAATAACAACCCAGGCGTGATTGACTTCAGTGAATAGGCCCATCAGTGTCTGCAGCTCGCCGGTGTTGTAGTGATCGAGGACTTGGTTCGGGATGGGATACATCTGGATCTTGTGAAAGGGCGACCAGGCTGTGTCGCTGGGGGGGACTTCATAGTCGGACGATGCGCCCTCTATTGGGAAGTAGGTTAGCATTTTTCTGCCACGGTACCGAGGCTTTCAGATTCGAGTTTCTTACGTCTGCAGTAGGAGTCAATGTCGGGAAAGTTTTCGTCGCTGGCCAGGCAGCCGTTGATGACCCTGGCAGCACGCATGACTGGCGGCATGTTTTCCGTGCGCCGTGCTGGGGCAGGATTCGCGGGCACAACGGCGGCCGCATCGCCTGCGCGCGTCGTCATCTCCAGCAGAGAGCCCGTCGTCTTGCTAGACGCCAGACCGGCGCGGGCCAGCGTGCGTGACCGCGAGGTGGACGACGACGACGAGTTTCTGCGCACCGCGCCGCCGGAGCCGCTCCTCTGGGCCGGGGACGATTTTGGGAAGAGATTTCTGCTGACAGAGTCCTCTTCACCGCGGAATCGCGAAGCAACCGCCGGGGTGTTGAGGAACGCGCCGGGGACGATGCGAGCTGGTGTTGTCTCGGGGAACGACATGATGAAAGGGTCGGAAGAAGCAAGGCTGGGGGTGGCCGACTTGTTGTGTGCTGTTCGAAAAGCGTGTTGTGGTCGCACGAAAGAGAACGGGGGTGTGTCGCAAAATCAGCCGGGACAGTCGAGGCGACGCGCTCGGAACCAGCTCATGAAAAACGAGGCGGGACGGTCCAAAGGAAGGGGAAACGGGCGTTCGCTGCCGCTCGACTGAGGGTTTGGTCTGTTGACGCCGTGTTGAGCCGCGCGACCAAGGTGGCGAACAGGGGCGTAGGCCCGGGGGAAAAAGGTATGAGCTGCGGCCGAGTGAGCCCAGTCGATGCCTTTGCAGATGCTCCGCGCTGGATGGTGATGAGCAATGGGCTGTTGTTGGCGTTGGACAGCCGTGTAGGTTGGTTGGAGATGGGATCTATTTTTTTTGAAGCTCTGTCACCTCCAAAATGTTTCCTGGGCGGCTGGGGCTCCTGCGCGCGGTTTGGCTGGGCTGGAGCTCTGCCATTTTTACTGACCAGTGAGTGACCAGGGCGTGGCCGGTGGCGCTAAACCTAATTGATAGCTTCGCGGTCTGGGGCCAGCTCGTTGGCAGTATTTCGAAGCGCAATCGCGCGAGGATTGGTGGTTAATTAAAGGAACTATATTCAGCTGTGATGATGGTACATTGAATTGAAGCGTCTTTATCTGATTTATAATTTTTCTACCGCGAGGCGTGCAAACGCCGTCTTACCCCTTCCTACTCTGTACACGTACATTTTCTTCACCCGACGATCCCCTGTTACCATGCCCATTCATTAGTCCCACACCGTTCCATTAAATGACGGACGGATTCGCTTGTCTGCGCAGTATCACGCCATGTTATCAGCACAGAAAGCCAGTTACTGCTTCTTCGCCTCACGCTCAGCCTTGCGCAGAGCACGCTTGCGGATATCCACGTGCATGCCTTTGTTGATGGAGATAGTCAGAGGGCTGTTGACGCCGGGAATGTTCTCGATAAACCATAGCATAAAAGCATGGCTCCACCACGGGGTATACGTGCTGGGCGCAGTCTGGTATCCGCCCGTTCCAACCTTGCCGAGGGCGGCCTTGACAAAGGGGCGGGCGTTGGGGACAAGCAGGCTGGCGCGGCGAATTTTGCTCATGGCCGTGGTGACGAGGTGACTAAGGATGAGCTGAACGTCGACATTGTCGTCGGCCAGCTCCGAGGACAGCGCGTTACTCCACTGCTGCAGAAACGCCTTGCTACCCGAGTAGGTCGCCAGGTACGGGGTCGGGGTCCAGCCGCCAAACGATCCCATGGTTAGGATGAGGCCACTCTTGCGCTGCTTCAGGATCGGCGCGACAACCTGCGTCACCTTGAGCGTACCCAGGCAGTTGATGGTCACGATGCTCTGCAGCTCGTCGCGGGGCGTCTCGAGAAAGGACACGGGGATGCTGTGGCTCTGGCCGACGTTGTTGATGAGGATGCCGACATCGAGACCCTTAACGAGCGCGGCGAGGTTGTCGTAGTCGGCGTCGTCGTCGCGCGCAAAGTCCATCGCAAACGTCTTGACCTGTGTCGCCTTGGCCGCATGCTTGGTCGTGATCTCGGCGGCGAGGGTGTCGAGCTTGGCCTGCGTGCGGGATACGAGCACCAAGTTGAAGCCCTTGGCGGCGAGCTGGCTGGCAAACTCCTTGCCGAGGCCATCCGAGGCGCCGGTGACGACGGCCCAGGTGCCGCGCTTGCCGTACTTTCGGAGCTGTTCGTCAAGCGGCAGGTTAGTATTTGTGGTTGGGGCGGCCCGTGTGGCGCGACGCGACGTACGTTTGTGCCCGGCAGGATAAAGGAGCCGAGCACGAGGCGCAGGTAGCTCAGCAGCTTGGAGGCGACAAAGAGACCGCCAACAGTGGCGAGGAGCACCAGGCCGCAGTGCGGCACGGCGGGCAGTTTGCCGAGAAGGTGATTGATCTGGTCCATGATGAGCGCGCAGAATGGTCGGTTGTGCGGCACACGATGTTGTTGAGAGCTGTGAGCTGTGTTGGGGCGGCCAGCGGGAGGAAAAGGGTTCAGTCCAGAGTTTAGGTAGTTGGTGGGCAGGAGGCGCTGCGGGTCCACTATCATTCACATGCTAATATCTCCAGCAAGTATTTCGTCTCGATTCAGAGTCGCAAGGATCAATTTTCTGCAATGGTTCTTATTCTCTTCTTTCTTTTCTCTACGCGGCGAGTATATCGCAGGGAGTAGTGCACAACCGTCTTGTGCCTTTAGATCTCCCTAGCGTCTACCTCAACAAGCCCTTCTACATCAAATTTAATTCTAGATACTAATATATAGAGTAGTGCTATGTTTCATTTTGGGATTCTATTATACTAACAAGCCGTCTCATGAGCGCAAAGGCCCGACCCGGACCGCGAGCCGGCCCCGCCGCATCGGTCGCATTTCCGGGGTCGACGCGTGCGCGGCCGTGAGATACAAGTGTAAGTGACATGTAGATTAAAATGATTTATATATGAACCTCCTCATTTCCACGTTTTATCATTTCTATAGAGTAACCCATTCCAAGCTCGACGCCACCGCCGCGCAAGGCTCCGCCCATCATTGTGCCCCCCTCGGCCGGCACCTCTCCTCCTGATGCGGGTATTAGGCGCCGAGCCCATGCTCGAAGCTGGTGCGCTCGGTGGCTACTCTTCAATTTGCTTAGGTCGGTGCGGACTCACAATCATCGAGACGGACGCCAAGCACCGCGACGTGGCCCTGCAAAAGGTCAAGGGCCTCGACGTCGAGGGGTCCTACTCGGCTCTTCGGCTGATGAGGATTCGATAGCGTTGTATTTTTTGTTACGGCGTCTTTTTCTAAGCCATTAAACCCATGTTTCTCACTTTATACCACTCGCATCACTTTCACATTCATTCGCAAATCCTCGTGCAGGTCCTCACACGAGGCTACTATCAGTTGTGTCTTATCTGCATGTCATCCCACATCCGCGTTGGTGGAGACCAGTCATTAACCTATTCATTCACAGATCACAAGGGGTCCAGCTACTTTGTTTGATCAACCATGTGAATTAAGGCAATAGGCATGTAGTACGAATATTCACCGACTCAGCCTTGCAAGGCGGCTGACAAGGCTTGCTGGCAGCCGATCAGTGGCGTGGAGAGGCCAATCAAGGCTCGCCACATTCTCATGCAATGCATGCGAACCATCTGCCTCGCCATGCAAGTGATGGCTGTCAATATATTGTCAGCTTTTGTGCGAATTTGTCTCAGCCATGCTGACCAAAATCCCAAAAAGGCACAATGTCAACAACGGTGCCGCATGTCCAGAGGTCTAGACTGCTCGAGACGCTATGATCGACGATCATACCGGGACATCTTTATAAGTCGGCTGGCGGACCGCATCCCTAGCCTCCGTCAGAGTCGGCGCTTCCCCCACCGTCTCTACTAGGGGCCAGCCTCCATTCTATCCTCTCCAAGCATCCTCGTCTCGAACCAACCAGCTTCTTCTCCATGGCCGAGGTTGCGCTCGGCATCTTTGGGGTCGTGGTCCCGGTGGTGCAGGGCCTCATCAAGCTCCACGACAAGCTCGAGGCCATCCGGGGTGCGCCCGCCGACATCAAAATGTTCAAGAGCGAGACGAAGCTGCTAGCCTTGCTCGTGAAGAACTTCCAGACGCAGTGTCCAGCGTCGCTGCAGAAGATGGCAGAGCCCCAGAGGCAGGAAGCGCTGGCGCACGCAAAGGCGTTTGTCAAACATTTCCACATCGTCAAGAAGCTCACCGACGCCGCCGGCGACGTGATTCTGCGCACGTTTGACTCCAACATGGGTGCTTTGGAGCAGCTCTTCGCGCACATTCTGTGGACCTTTCGAAAGTCGGCCATTGCCGAGGCGCGGGACTCGATGAGGCTTTTCGTCGGCATGATCAACATGTTCAACAACGCTCTCGTGGCGGAATCGCTGCTCTACCAAAATACCAGGCTCAGAGAAAGAAAGGCTTCCTCGTCGAGAGAGCTACAGAACAAGCTGTGAGTACAGACAGTTCAAGCATAAAAGGAGGGCAATTATCGCTTAGCTTGTACTAACATTCTAAGGAACTTTTTCGGCGGACTACTGAAACGAGATCGCGCCCATGTCAGAGGAGCGTTGCGACAGTACGCCGGTTCGAGCACGGGCAACAGCAACGAGCTGCAGAGCATCGAACAAACAGTAAAGTCGATGGATGGCAGGGCCACTCGAGTCCTCTTTTCCCTTCCCTCTTCCTCGTCTTCCACAGGCAGACAGTCTCGTTACGCTGAGGAAGCATCGAGGTCAAGTCGACAGCCTGGTCGTCGTTCGTCATCGGGAGCGCAGCGTGCGGTATCTTCCAGGTGGCTCAGCTAGGATGGTCAATAATGTATCCCAACGCCGCCCACCTGGACGAGGGCCGGAATGACATTCGTTCTGACCTGAGATGGTGGTCGTCAGTACTACTCTGTGATACCCCGGCCACCTCCAAGCTCACCACCATCGTTGTCGTGTCTCTCATATTCTTCTTGTTTTGCGATTCTCCTATTCTCCGTCTCTTCATGTTGCTTGCAGATGGCTCGGCGTTTCCGTTCCCGTGCTGAAAGTGGCGGCCAAGTGGCCACCAGCAAGTCTTGTCATTCGTGCTTGAAGAAGCGCTCGGTAAAGGAAACCAATTGTAGTCGAATACCGATACAACATCAAGGATAAGACATGTATTTCCCTTGTATAATGTATAATCAGAATTTCAATTATTATCGGGCAGCTCTTAATGCACGCTGAATTACCACTACAACTACCCCAGATTTATGCTACCCGGGAGCTGGGTGAAGACAAGTATTTGCATGGCAGGAAATGGCTATAGGTACAGGGAAGGAGCTTGTGTAACGTGGAAAATGACTAGATTGTTGCCTCTGCGGTGCTCGTAAGTTGACGTCAATACCAACACCATATACTTGATCAGGTTCGCACTAATTGTACTACTACTACTACAACGGACTACTACAACAGCACTCAGCTCGTGAGGGCGCAGGCCCCCAAGTCGCGCTTGACGGGCTCCGACTCGATGGAGATGTCAAACTCAAAAACATCCATGGGAATGCCCAACGTGGTGCACACGTTTGGAATGTCGACGATGCCGGCAATGGTGCCGCGGACGGGTGCGCAGGACAGCAGCAGGTAGATTTGCTCGCCCGAGTAGCCAAACTGCTTCAGGTACTGGATAGCGCGCAGACAGGCCTGGCGGTACGCGACGGTGGCGTCCATGTAGTGCTGCCCGCCGTGCTCGTCGACGGAGAAGCCCTCAAACGTTAGGTAGCGCGAGGGCCCGTAGTGCGGCGCGACCTCGCCGGGCAGGAAGACGGGGTGCGGCACCGCGCGCGACCGCATGCCGTCCTTGATCAGGCTGAAGCGGATGCTGATGATGCCGGCCATCTCGATGGCGCCGCAGAAGCTAATCTCGCCGTCGCCCTGGCTAAAGTGCAGGTCGCCGACGGAGAACTTGGCGCCGGCGACGTGCACGGGCAGGTACGTCTTGGAGCCGCGCGAGATGTTGCAGATATCCACGTTGCCGCCGTGCTCCGGGCGGCCGGGGATGGTGCGGGCGCCCTCGCGGGCGATGCGCGCCGCGAGCGCCGCGTCGGCGCCGCCGGCGTGCGCGTTGACCGTGTTGGGCAGCTGGGCAAGGATCTTGCCCGGGTGGGAGGCGGCGCCGGCCGCGACGAGGCTACCCTCGCGGCGGTTCCACTCCGCGAGGACCTCGTGCGAGGGCGCGCAGCCGAGGATGCCCGGGTGGATTAGCCCCGGGAAGCGCACACCGGGGATGTGGCGGCTCGAGCAGTAGATGCCGTCAAAGTCCCAGATGGCCTTGGCGGCGTTGGGGTAGTGCTCGTCGAGGAAGCCGCCGCCGTTCTCCTTGGCGAAGATGCCGGTGAAGCCCCAGGGGGTGTGGTCAAAGGGCTGGACGTCGGTGATGTTGACGACGAGGAGGTCGCCCGGCTCGGCGCCCTCGATGTCAAAGGGGCCGGTTAGGTAGTGGATTTTAGTGAGGTCGACGTCGCGCACGTCGTTGGCGCTGTCGTTGTTGCCAATCTGGCCGCCGGTCCAGTCGAGGCACTCAATCTTGACCGTCTCACCAGGCTCGATGGAGCCAATGCTAGGGACTGGTGTGATTGGCGCACGTCAGTACACACTGTCGTCGGGAAAAGTGTAACAGCGAAGGGAAACTGACTGTCTGGATGCCAGCGGTTATGCAGGCCAGGCTGCTCGCTGGCAGGCACGTCAAACGAGACGGTCTGAGCGGTGCGAATCTTGCCAGGCATGGTCACGATGCTTGTTGTATCAAATGGTGGATTCTAGAAAATTTCAGAGAAAATAAGGTGATTTGATTTGATTTCCAAGGCATGCAGCTACTGAAATACTAAAGTGCCAAATCGTCCCGTGCGGGGAGAGCTGTCCTATCTATGCAATTCGTGGTAGTGCTACTCCAGCGGAGGGCCGTGTAGAAGCCCAGCCTCGTACCCCGCATCCTCGAAGACCGGCGCCGGATCATCGATTGCAGAGCTGATTGGCACTCGGCGTTTGGAATATGGAAAACTGGGGGCGACGCGTGCTCCGTCGAAAAGCCAGATTAATGTATTTGGGGTGTGATAAGATGTACCTACGTACATTGTATGTGCTTATCAGTCGGCCTCGGTGAAGATGGACATATGACCACCTTTGTTACGCTCTTGGACGGGGTTGTTTTATTTTTTGCTCCGCTGGATTCTAGGCTGTCGATAATTGAAGGAGCTGGTTCACTTGGAGAGTATAGTCACTCCCAATATCTGCTGAGGCAATCAGTGTCGCGAGTTCCGGGGTGTCGAAAAGATCAATTCACAGATTACATCCACATATCGATATTATACCTCTACACAAGATTATTGTGCAGAATCTCGGGCACTCCAAGCCGACTTCCTGAGCTCGTTCACGTATTCCTCTCTCTCCTCCAACTTCCTATCTATTAGATCTGACGCCTGCAGGCCCCAGTACCAGTAGAAGACGTCATTAAAGATTGACATTTCCGGGTGGTGCTGATTGAACATGGGCTGAATGTGCCTGTTAAACAGGTTGTACATGCCTTTTGGTATGGTCGCGGCCTTAAAAAACCAAAAACTGCCACTGCGCCATGCTCTACGCTGCAGGTCGGCCTGCCTCGTCGAACCGTTCCGTTTAATTTCCTCGTCCATGTATACCGTCAGATAGTTTTCAAGGGCCTCTTCGTATTGTTGAAGGTGAAGAGGCTCCTTTAAGCCATCGACAGCCCTAGATGTGAGCCAGTATGGAGGGGTTTGCATCTCCGCAGGCAAGGTGTGTGTCCACTCCAGATCAATAATAGCCTTGATGTTCCAGTGTTCGTCGACAAAGATATTACTTTGATGCAAGTCGGTCAGTGTAAGGTAAAAAGGACCTTGTCGCAAGCCCGGGTCTATAAAGCGATGCATCGTCGCTCGTAGCGCAACAATGGCGGCCATTTGGCGCCGCCCGTCTTCAGTGTCTAGCATGGCATTTGGTTGTTCCTGTAACTTGGTGTCCTGAAGCGAGAGCAAATCTGATAGGTATGATTCCACTTCAAGGTAGGTCCGTTGGCGTGGTATTGGTATAGGAACTCCCTCGTTCTCCACCATGTGCATATATAGGTTTAATGGCCTGTTACTTAAAGAAATGGTATCGTGGTGAAGGGTTAGAGAGCCAATCCGTGGTAGTGGGGTTGCGTTCATTGACAACGCGACGCGAGCTAGGCCACGGAACAGATTGTCCGTATAGGTTTTATCCTGGTAATGCTCACGCCAGGATAATGCGAGACTCTTACCCTGGGCCTCACTAATTAGAAGAAACCCAGAGCTGAGGCTATGGCGGAGCGAGTGACGCATATACTGTATTGGAGGAGGGCGGCCAAGAAGAAACGCAATTATGCCGTTTAAATGCCTCCCCAGTCTTCGCCACCACGGGGTATTTTTGGGGCATGTGAACTAATACAGACAGAAAGTCAGCATAGGCGTGTTGGATCTTGAAGCGTGTCGATCGTACGATTGAGCCATCAGGGAATCCAAATGCATATAAAGATGGGATCGGTACGTCTGGGCAATGCTCCTGTAGCCAGAGATACGTTGCAATCTCAGTGCGAAGTTTCTCTTCCGCATTTCCAGGGAACGTATGCTCCCCAAGGCGATGTAAAAAGGGAAGGCGCAGATACACGTTTTTGCCAAATGGTAGACGGACCAGGATAGCAACGTTGAAGCTACCCGATCTCCATAGTCGGGATGGAATGATGCGACACGACGGAACTTGAAGTAAATTGCAAATCAAATCTTCTAGCTCGCCTTTTTGCGCGTTAATCGACGAGTAAAACTGCTCCTGGAGGTGAGGGAAGTGCCTGGAGACCAATTTGTTTTCTTCGCTTTCGATGGCGGCCACTAGAGATGACGTGTCGCTGGGCCATGATTCTGATGTATCGGCTGGTGGTTCCGGCGGCATCAAGTCTATATCATTTCGCTATGGCGACTTTGCGTCTTCTTGATTGGAAGCGGGTATGTTTACAGGAACCAGCCGGAAAGCTTGAAGTTGGCGCTGAACTGGCTACCCCTGGACCCATCTTTAACGTCAGCCATCCATATCGTTTCAAGAGTCCATTCAACTTGAGAAATATTACTGGATTGTTTATGTAAAAGAGAGCTTATATATAGTTGCTATAGTTGTTCTATTCTTTCGAAGATTAATTAAGGCTATAGTACTCTGTAGTTGGCAGAATATGGCGTGTTTTTGTGTTATTTCCTAGTGGGTGGCTCACAGGTGGGTGGCCGACATTACAGCAAGCAGCACAAAACGCCATCCTCAGGAACCTTCACAGTACTCAGCTCGAAAAGGTCTGAACAGCCATTTGCCATCCGGTTCGTCAACACGCCAAACCAGAGACAATGGATTTCATCAAGTCGGTCCTGCCACCCGGCAAAGGTATCTTGCCCTACTACATGCTCATTGTGAGTCCTGCGCCAGCTCCTCCTGACTCCGGCCACCCCACGACCTCCTTTCCCCCAAGCAAAGCTCTCGTTTGCTGACCGCTAGCCCGTTCCCGTCCACAGCTCTCCGTCGTGTCCATCGGCAACTCCCTGCAGGCCTACCTCACGCTGCACTTTTCCCGACGCGTCTACAACGGCCGGTTCGTGCCCAACCCGGCGCTGCACAGCAAGGCCGCAACGACCGACGGCCGCGACCCCGAAGACCGCACCGACAAACTCGTGCCCGCGAGCAACCCGCAGGACCCCCGAGCGGCCGACCAGCTGACGCCGCTTGCTGGCCGTCTCTTTGGCACCTGGACGCTCATCACCTGCATCGTCCGCTGCTACGCCGCCTACCACCTGCACATTGGCCCCGTCTACAACATTGCCATCTGGACCTACGTCGTCGCGCTGGGGCACTTTGCCAGCGAGCTGTTCATCTTCAAAAGCATGTCGTTTGGCGTCCCTCAGCTATTCCCCTTCTGCTTAGCGACGACGGCGCTGATCTGGATGCCCACGGTTCGCGACTACTACGTCGAGTTCAACTAGATTCAACCCGGTAAAAAAAGAAGCGAGAGATTTGCGACCACATGGAGTCGTATTGGTAATTCTCTTAATCTGATGTATAACTAGCCGCATCTCAACACCAAGACACCCTCTTCCTGTTCAAAAATGAATCACTTGTTCCGACTTCTATAAATCTCACCGCCGCAGTCCCGCAGACGAGCGGCCGCCTGCTCCGGCGTAATGTCGCGCTGAGGCTCGGCCATGAGCTCGAAGCCGACCAGGAACTTGCGCACCGTTGCGGACCGCAGCAGCGGCGGGTAAAAGTGCATGTGAAGGTACGAATTGTTTATCTCTTCCTCGGTTCCCTGCAGAGGCGCTTGGTGAATACCTGAGCTGTACGGGAAGCTGCACTCAAACAGGTTGTCGTAGCGGCGCGTGACCTCCTGGATCGTCTCCGCGAACCGGAGGCGCTCCTCGGCGGTAAAGTCGACCAGGGCGCGGACGTGTCGCTTGGGCAGCACTAGGACCTCAAACGGCCAGATGGCCCACCAGGGGCAGACGACGAGGAAGCTGTCGTTTTGCCAGACGATGCGCTCCTGCTTCTCGAGCTCCAGCTTGGTGTAGTCGGCGAGGAGGTGGCGGCCGTTCTGCTGCCTGTATTTGGTCATCTGCACAATCTCCTTTCCGGGCTCCTCGGGCATGGTCGACGTGGTCCAGACTTGGCAGTGCGGGTGCGGGTTGGAGCAGCCCATCGCCGCGCCCTTGTTTTCGAATATCTGCATGTAGCGGTACTCATCCTTTGGGACCGGAGCCTGTTCACGGGATACAGAAAGTTGGAGCTTGTTGGCGACCTCGGTCAGCGGGTTTGACGCGGACAGGTGGTTGGCGTAAATGCGCGTCCAATGGTCAATGCAGGGCAGAATGTCGGAAGCAGGCATGTCAGCCAGCGTGAGGTGATGTTTGGGCGAGAAGGTCATGACGTAGCACACGCCCTTGACACTTCTAGCCTGCAATAAAAGGGAACTGAGGTCTATTATGCGTCAACTCTCGAAATGACAGGTATCTTGAGTTGCAACACTTACCATTGGAAGTCGGCTCGGGTTCATAGTCAGGTTGCTGTTCTTTCACAGCGCTGTAATCGTTGACAAAAGCAAACGTCTTTTCGTAGTCAGGATTGTGGTCGCCAGACGCACGGGTATTGCGAGGGCAGAGATAACACTATGATGATGGTCAATTGAGATATTTTTCACCAGCTTTGGTGCGAAGCATGCCTTGAGGTCGTATTCGGGAAGCTTTGCTTCGACTACAGCCTCTTGCTGGCCTCTACAGTACACATTAGCCCACACTTGAAATGTGATGAAACTGAGCTCACTGCCATGGCCGCTTGGTCCGGTGAGGAGAGACCAATAACCAGCTATCAGTCAGCGGGTTGTAGCGACGGTGCGAGATGTCGTCGAGAATCTTGTCAGGCATCTTGGCGGGGGCGGGGCAGCTCCGCGATGCTGGGACACGGCAGTGAGGAGCAGACTCGGGAGAACAAGGTTATGGCGCTGAGAAGCTGGCGACGATGATACTCCAAAAAGTAGCCACGAGCAAATTTGAAATGCGCGCAAAATATAGCGAGGCGGCGCGTAGTATTAAAGGCGACGCTCTTGGATAATGGACTGGAGGCCGAAAGTTGTCCAACAGTAAGCGCTCCAATGATATCATGGCACCACAGCAGGAGCTCTCGGTGGCACATTGGCAACATTGGCACCCCACGCAACCCCAGCCTGCGGCAAATTTCTCGGCGAAAAAATTGATCTTGAGTGGCGGGAAATGGATCAAAGAAATTTGTCAACTTTTTACTATTTGCCTTATTCATATTTTTTGAGGTTTATTTGCGGACAAGTGCCGCATCCCAAAACACTCGCAGTAATACGCCGAAGTGCCACACGGACAACATAGGTAGCCGTACTACTATATAATACTTATAAGAGACTTCTTTCTCTTATAACTCTTTGATAAGGGAGAATACGACGAAGGGGTGCGACATGTAGCTATGATACACAACGATATGACGAACCACATAAGCGACACAAGATGACGCTAGGCAAGTAAATGTTGTGCTGATAATTTAGCAGAATCAACTTCGATAGGTTCTTACTCACTGTACTATAAGAGAAAAAATAAAAATAAAATTGCTGCCCGTATGGTTGTTGTATCCATGGTGTTTCTGCTTCCCCGGATATAGTCACATGACTTGGCACGTGCAAGACTAGCCACCCCCCCTTGTGCACTAGCGCGCGTGCTCAATGCACAGTCGCTATGGATCGCGACAGCGCGCCGGATTGCTCCAGCAGCCTTGCGCTGACAATTCCAACAGGCGAGTTTCGCCATCAACCAAAGCTACGAACCAGTCATTTTCATCGAAATTACCGTCAAATCTGCAAACTCGATATCGAACTATGCTCTTTACCGCATAAAATCTCCACCTTGTCTCGCTTATTTCTACCGCGACGCCCCTCGAATCGACGCAGGTGGCGTCATAGCCAGCGGCCAGTGGACCAGGGTCTGGCAAGTCGCATTATCAACTGCCCAACTCTTAGCTCAGTATGGGCGTCATCCGCAAAAAGACTGTCAACAGGGGAGGTGAAGGAGGTGTTAAGTACGTCTGCGATGCGTGCTCCGTCGATATTACATCTACTGTAAGTGCTGTCGCATGCTTCCTTGCAATGCCATGGCCGATACCTGCTCCCTTCGCCTGTTGCTAACATTGGTCGCGCATCCAGGTTCGAATACGCTGCGCTGACCCAGCGTGCACCGATTTCGATCTTTGCGTCTCCTGCTTCGCCAAGGGAGAGGCGCGCAACGCGCACGACCCCGCCACCCACGCCTTCCGCGTCATTGAACAAAACTCATTTCCGATTTTCGACGAAGAATGGGGCGCAGACGAGGAATTGCTTCTCATTGAAGGCGCTGAGATTTACGGGCTCGGATCCTGGGCGGATATCTCGGATCACATTGGCGGTTTCCGCCAGAGGGACGAAGTTCGCGACCACTATCTCAGGACCTACGTTGACTCCCCCTGCTTTCCGCTCCCGAAGCGCTGCAGCCCACACGATAACGAGCTGGCCAAGGAGATTCCTAGAGAAGAGTTTCAAGCTCGCAAGAAGCGCAGGATTGAGGAGCGCCGGGAGACAGCTAAGAATGCCCCTGCCTTGCAACCCAAAACAAAGCCGACGGCCTCTGTACCGAGTTGTCACGAAATTCAAGGATACATGCCCGGCCGTCTCGAATTCGAGACGGAGCACGCCAATGATGCCGAGGAGGCGGTACAACTCATGCAATTCGATCCTGGCGATGGCGTGAACCCCAAAACAGGAGAGTTGGAACCAGAAATGGAGCTGAAACTCACAGTCATGGAGGTGTATAATTGCCGGCTCACACAAAGAGTGGATCGCAAGAAAGTCATTTTCGAACACAATTTGCTCGATTACAGAGAAAATCAAAAACTAGACAAGAAGAGGACTAAGGAGGAAAGAGATATGATTCAAAAGGCGAAACCTTTTGCGCGCATGATGAACTGCAAAGACTTTGATGACTTGTGCCAAGGCCTGGTTGACGAGGCCAACCTCCGACAGGCCATTGCGCAGCTACAAGACTGGCGCAGTCTCAAAATCGGCGATCTACGCAGTGGCGAAAAGTACGAAGCTGAAAAGGCGGCGAGAATACAAAAGGCCATTCCCATGGGCTCCATGGACCGCGAACGTCTAGCCTCCACCCAGCGCAACAAGCAAGCGACGGTACCTGAGCCTGCCAGCGGCGCAGCTCTCCTTGTCGCGCCCGAGTTGCCTGACCACATCAACCAGAGCACAGCGGACGGCGACAGCAAACCGCCCGTGAACGGACAGGCCAATGGTGTTGTTGTCACGAATGGCCACGCAGCAGCAATACCGCCGCGACCAAAATACGTCCCACAGCCCATCTCAGGCGTGCAGTCGCTACATCTGACGCAAGACAATGCGCCAGATCTACACTTACTCACGCCAGACGAGGCCAAGCTGTGCGAGGTGATTCGCTTGCAGCCCAAGCCGTACCTCATGATCAAAGAGCAAATACTAAAGGAGGCTCTCAAGGGGAACGGTGCGCTGAAGAAGAAGCAGGCAAAAGACATTTGCCGTCTAGACTCGCAAAAGGGCGCCAGGATCTTTGACTTTTTCGTCAATGCCGGCTGGGTTGGTAAGGCCTAAGAGCTAGGGCAAAGTCTTGTCCATGCCTGCTTCTGGCTGCAAAGTTTTCAGTACTTTCTTTTTGCTTTCTTCTTCGAAACTGTGTTGGGCTCGGAACAGCCCGGAGTTATGGTGGGTGGGACATTTGCTTTTGAATGGGTTCGGTTGCAAGTATACGGCGTATGGCGGCGTAGGTTTAGAGAGCAGGCTTCTTTAACAAGCGAGAATGATATCCTCTTGGTTTCTCAAAATAACTACATGATGAAAAATTACTTTGGTGAAGACTCTTGCTGCGCCCTAGAACGCGGCCACATCCTGTGACTCGTAAGATTAATGAAATTGAAGGCGACGTTCTGGAGGGTATTGGTCGAGAACCAACGCGCCTCATCACGGTGACGCCCCACCGCGCTTATCCTCCTCCAACCTCCAACATGTCTCGCCTCCTCCTCACAACCCCCCTCACTTCGAACCTTTTGCGCACCGCAATCCCCTCTGCGCCTCGGAAAAAATGGCCAACATAGCCTCTCTCAAGCAAATCTCTGCCAAGGACCTCTCTGCGCGAATCCTCGCTGAGCGGGATAGCGCGGAGCCGACCTATGCCATTATCGATGTGCGCGATGACGGTATGTTTTTTCCCTTTTTAGTATATCCCCATCATGGCCTTTGGCCGCATTGTACTACTTATTTTTAGAAAACTTTGCTAATCTTCTTTGCAAAAGACTATATTGGTGGCCACATCAAGGGTTGCATCCACGCTCCGAGCGCCCAGATCGAGGCGCTGATGCCTACGCTGCGACGCCGGCTGCAGGACAAGCAGACGGTCGTCTTCCACTGCATGCTGAGCCAGCAGCGCGGGCCCAGCGCGGCTCTGCGGTACCTCCGGGAGAGGACGGTCAGCGACGGGGTGCAGCAGGAGGTCCTCGTTCTGGACAGAGGCTTCGAGGGCTGGCAGCAAGAGTATGGCGAGGACGAGAGGCTGACGGAAGGCTACCGCAAGGAACTATGGGACAACTATTAAGCAGTGCAACAAGCTTTGCAGTGCAACAACCTTCCCAGTGCAACAAGCTTTGCAATACAACAAGCTTTTCAATGCAACAAGCTTTTCAAGGCAATAAATCTTGCAGAGAGTCTAGGGAACCTTGTCAACAATCGTGACTTTCCGGGCAGTCGACTCTGTTGCTTAGGGCTGGGAAAAAGAGTTTGCAGCATTATGAAGGCGCCACGAATACAACACCAGCAAAGGCTACTTTTCCCAATGAAAAGTAAGTCTGCGATGCAGCAATTTGGAAGGAAATGAAAACTCTGTTCTCGTCTTTAGCGAAGCTATATATTTCCCTCGCCCTCCCGCCCAAATTGTTTTCTCGTCTTCCCTTCTTGCCATCAACCCAAACACTTCAAAGGTCTTCACAACCTTGACTTCTATCAAACTTCCTAGTTCTACTTTGCTATAGGACAACCACCTACCTTCACCAACACTACCTAACATACAAAGCACAACTAGCTTTGTATATCTTCAGCCTCCAACGACAACCCAACAGGCTCACAAGAAAGTGAAGCCGGCTTCAACCCACGCACCAAACTACCCCGTGCCACAAACTTTATCTTCAGATCATGAGACCTCAACGTGGTGACCTTCGCCGCCGCATGACGGAGCGTGTTAACCGCATCATGGATCCCGAACTCCGCTACCATCGCGGCCGTGACTACACCCGCGCCGAGATCCAGGCGTTCGAGGCAGAACTCGTCGAGACTGGCGCCGACATTGGCGGCGGCCCGTACCCTGTGCGCCACAGCGTCGCCTTTCGCGGTCCCGAGCACCCCATCGAGGGCCCCTGGCTCAACGGCAAGCTGCTCGACGAGAGCCCTGCGCCCCGTCCCATTGCCTACGCCGACAAGAACAACTTCTACCACGCCCACTACTACAACCAGAACCCCACAGATTACTACAATGAGTACCCCAACTACGACTTCTACAGTGACAGCCCCGACTTCAGCCTCCGCCCTCCCCGCCGCAGCAATGGCTACGGCTACAGCCGCCGCTACAATGCCGCTCAGCCCCGCGTGCAGCCGCAGCCGCCGGAGCAGCGCCAACACCAACGCCAACGCCGTCAACCCCAACCTACGCAAAGCCAGTCGCGCCCCCGCTCCCGCCCCCGCCAGATGACCCAAGAGGAGCTGGACGCCCGGGAGGAGCGGCGCGCCGCTTACAGATTGGCCGTCGAAGAAGAATCGGCGCACGCCACGGCCATGACGATTGTGCGTCTGGATATTCTCGCTGACGAGGAGCGAGCTGCTGCCGCCGCTGCCGCCACTGCTGCCACTCCCTCTACCGATGCCACTGTTGTCAACGACGACGACCACAACGATGGCCATGTTCGGCGTCGCACGGCATCTGCCGCCGAAGACAAAGAGAATGCGAATCGTGACCGCCCGTGTAGCCCCAACGAGTCCTCGGAGAGCGAATCCGAAGAGGACGGCGACGTCGTCTGGGTCAACTCGGAAGGCGTCCCGTTTCCCCCACGCGATAAGGAGGCGGAGCGCAAGGAGAGGCGCGCGAGACGCGCTCTGAAAAAGGAGCGGTTGCTCGCAGCGCAGAGGGACTACCCGTTCAACAAAGGTCCCCTCGTCTGCGCCAATGGTGCCGCCGAGTGCTAAAGGACTTTGGGTTGCCGAATTTGTTGAGCCACACTCCATAGGCAGAACAATGTATAACGGTGTACAACATTGAATGGTTTTGGAAAATGATGGAATATTAAGATTGTTGTACTACCGGCGTTTTGGGGATCATGGTTGGACAGTTTGCCTGGTTTTTTATGCCAACCTTTTTGTGCAATAAGTTGGGGGGGCGTTTTATTACGGCGTTTTATTACGGCGTTTTATTACGGCGTTTTATTACGGCATTTTATAACCAAATTGACCACTTTGATAAATCTGAGACATGCATACGTTGTGAATGCTTTTGACATGTAGATCTGCCACATTCTCTTGTTCAATTCCCGGTCACTATATTGAGCAATGAAGGTACTCTTGGCTACGTAGTCGACTATATATAAACTCGATAGTTTGCCGCCCCTCCTTGCCCTTGATGAATGAAGAAGTCCTCCAACTACAACTTCTACCCATGCCTGTATGCATACCCCGCCAGCCTCCCCAGTTAGTTGCATCACCACAAAATGCCTCTCCTCTATTCCTCTCCTCTGAGAAGCCATCTGTGGGTTTTGTTTTGCTTGACCCAAGCTGAAAAGCTGCCCAGCGTCCAATGGCAGCCTACGCTACCCGCCATGCGCCCGAATCGGGGCTGGTGGGATCTGACAGCGTCCCGCCTGGGCTGGCCCAATCATGGGCCGCCCAATGACGTGCCAATCTTCGGCCTTGGTGCACCGCCGCCGGAACGGCATCCGCCGGTCCCTGGTCTGGCTCACTTGTCGCTTGTTTTTATTTTCCCCCGTCTGCGCTGCAATCAATCAACTCGGCGGTGACGCCTCTTCCTTCCTTCCTTTTCCTGCCAGTCACTGCATCGATTCGAGCCACAAGTCATTGTTACTGCACCTTTTTTTTTTTATTAATACTCCCGCCGCTTGCGCTTCTCACCATCTCCATTCTCTTCTTCTTTCCCCAACCGTTTTCCAACGGTGCCTGACAAACGACCCCTCCCCCGCTATCGCTCCCGTCGCAAAACGCTCTTCTTCCCGCACCACGCTTTCGAGTCGCGCGAACACACCTCGACAAAATGGGCTCGCATCCGGTACCATCAGAAACTGACCGGGAGGATATCGCCAGTAAGTAACTGGACTTGGGTTTATGCTACAAATGTTCCTGCGCGACCACCATCTAACAAAACGCAGATCTCGGCTTCACCCCCATGATCAAGGTCGACGAGCCGTGGACGGTCGAAAAGGTGGTCCAGAAACTACCCGGCGATGCGCCCGTCGAGGGCTCCAGCTCGCCCATTGCCTTTTTCCACATGCTCGAGCGCCTCAAGACGACCAAGCGGGAAGGCTGGCGCCGCTTCGGCGTCGAACGGTACGAATCCGCGCCGCCGCCGGGCCTTACCACACCACCCAAACATACCGCTAACCTCGCCCAACCTGTTTGATCTAGGGGCGAGTCCATTGCCGACCACATGTACCGCATGTCGCTCATCTCCATGTTCGCGCCGCCGTCGCTCGCGCCGCGGCTGGACCTCCCCAAGTGCATCAAGATGTGTCTGATCCACGACATGGCCGAGCTGCTCGTCGGCGACATCACGCCCGTCGACGGCGTCCCCAAGCCCGAGAAGAGCCGCCGCGAGGCCTCTGCCATGGACTACCTGGCGGGCGACCTGCTGCGCGGCGTCCCCGGCGGCGCCACGGGCGCCGAGATCCGCGCCATCTGGCAGGAGTACGAGGACGCCCAGACGCTCGACAGCCACTACGTGCACGACGTCGACAAGATGGAGCTGCTGCTGCAGATGATGGAGTATGAGCGCCGCAGCCGCGGCCGTCTCAACCTCTGCGAGTTCGCCTACGTCGCCGGCAAGATGACCCTGCCCGAGACGCGCGCCTGGGCCGACGAGGTCATTGCCGAGCGCGAGGCGTTTTGGTTAACCCAGGAACACGCCCACGGCGACAAGGGCCTCGACGAGACGCGCACCAAGCAGCAGGACGACTACTACCAGCGCGACTAGGCTGTGTTGGTTGCGCGCCGGGTTGCTGGATTCGTTGCTGGATTAGTTGCTGTTTGGTATTTTTCTGGGGTCTGCTTGCTTGTGTAATGGGATGACGGCATGTATCATGATGGGCAAATTTGTCTTTTTAGATCAGTCTCCCTCCAAAAGCTTGGAGGAAGTGCGTTGATAGAATTGGGAGCACACACAATACACCATTTCTACACCAATCCGTGTCGTGACCATGGAGTTTGCTTCTTCGGGCTGAGTTTGAACGATGCGGAAGACGAAGGTAGTTTGAGATCGAGTGGCGTTTTCAGGAAAGGGGTACGCGTGGATGCGTGCCGAGGACAGGTTGGCGTATGTCCAAAATGCTGCACTGGTGGCCAAAACGGCACCAGGCTGTGAAACTTATAGACGGGAGGGCTTATTCTAGTAAAAAAAGAGAGAGCAAGAAATATCACTTATATTACTTTATTTTGAACCCTCTTCATTTCATGCACAGTACAACCTAACTCGGCATCGCAGCGCGAGTTCGTGCTTCGCGTTTACGTTATGCCCAACGGCTCGACTTATCTCGAATCTCAAAGCATTCCTCGACCACAAAAAGTCCGAAAAATAAAGAATCCCTTTTTTTCTTGAGGCAAAGCTGAAAGTGGTGAGACCCATGAGGCGAACCTATGCAGTAGTGCAGTATAGCTCTCAGTCAGCGGCCCTTTCTTCTCCTGCTGCTTCATCATTTCCAGCTGAATTGCACCAAAATTCAATCTACGCCACGTACTACTACTTGCACCCCAGTCATTTCTTCCTCGCTTTAGTTAATTCCTTAGCATCCTCGTATTTTGGGGGCAGTGTTTTTACGTGGTTGCGTGGCTGATTCTCAGCAGCCCCACTGGCTTCCCTTCCCATCTTATTAGGTACTTCCTCTTGCCTTCAGCATCATCCTCCCACAACCGCCATCCTTTCATCATGGCGTTATTCCCTCTCGAAATCGACGAGCCGCGCCCCCGTCCACGCGGCACGCACTCCAACCCGCTCCTCCTCGCCGGCGGCCTCGCCATGTCCCTCGTCTACACGTGGGGTCCCTTTGCCGCCCTCGCCCTGCGCTCCGATGACGACGGGTTCCTGCCCTCTCTCGCCGCCCTCGCCTCGCTCATCCTGCTGCTCGTCTTCCTCCTGCAGGCCTTTCTCGTGTACCGTCTGCTGTCGACCCTGCGCGCCCTGCCGCCGCTCACCGACCCCGTCGACGCCTTCTTCTACGAGAGCCGCGCCGGCAGCGCGCTCCTGCTGCTCGGGCTCTGCGTGCCGTGGTGCGTCATGGGCGTGTACGGGCTCGTCCTGGCCCTGCCCGCGGCCGTCGACGCGTTTGCGCACCCGCCCGGCGCCGAAGATCGCTACGCCCGTGCGGTGCAGCTACTGCTGAGTCTCATCATGGTGACGACGCCGCTGGCGCTCGCCGTCGGGGTCTGGTGGGCGGCGCGCACCGCGGGCAGGGCCGCGTACCGGGTGCTTGGGGTCGGGTATAACAGACACGGTCGCTACGAGAGCGTGCCGCTGGGATGGGAGGAGTCGGGACCGCAGGAGCGAGGGTTTCGAAAGAGCATGCGAGGCAAGCTGTTCGGCGCCGTGCCGACTGCTTCTTGGCTGCCGTGGTAGCGGTGCAATGCCGTTGACACCAGGCACAAAGGTTTATTTTAGCCGCCTCCACAGAAAAATGCAACGTTCAACTAGTCAGGCACCGTCATGCCTGTCATGTACATAATACATGCATCTACGGCAACACCCGTCATTCTGTCATTTGCTCATTGAACATTTGTCCCCTACCATGTTGCAAGCAGAGGCGCGTCATCCCTCCGCTTCGCCGCCTCGTACCAGACGCCATGAGGCAGCCTGCTGGGCCTTCTCTCGTCACACTTGGCGCAAGTCCCGGGCTACAACCTGCTAGCTCCTTTGCCTCGTTGTTGGTCGGGTTATTACAGCTTGCGCCGCCGCGCGCGCACGAGAAGCTCAACGGCGACTTGCCTCGCCCACCAGAAATGGCCAACGCCATCTTGCTCATCGTCGTGGCTTCTCACCTCTGACGGGACGGATGGTGGGGGAAATCTTCGGAGACTTCGGCCAATGTTGTTGGCCGCGTGGTCTGAAACAATCGCCATTTTCGTTTCCATTTCTTCTTCTTCATTTCTCTCTCTGTACTCGTAGATATTCAATGCATCATTGCAAGCGTGTGAAACAATCTGACATCTGCCCAGCTCTACCGCCCATTAAGCCATCGTCCTCGACGTAGCCACCTCCAGGCGTCAGAGTAGGCGTGCGCCACCAGAGTCCCCCAAACTATGCTTCAGGCCGTCCTATAAATCATGTAAAATCATTCTGCTTTTTTCGCTACCCAAATTTTCCCATCCATCCAGCTCCATAACTATCGTTGCATCATTGTACCCATTACAACGTCGTTGAGCAAGTCTTGCTCTCGTCCTAGCCAGGCCCTAGTTTCGCAGGCCACAGTTGGCAAAGAGCAAAAAAATTACGCTTTCCGTTACAAACAGGTGCCGGTGCCGTATACAGTCAAAAGGCTGAATACCCGTTGTGTTGGACCGACCAGCAACCGGACTTTTCTCCTTCAGGCTCCTGGTGAAGGCTTTTGCAAAAAAAAAAAAAAAAAAAAAAAAGAAAAGAAAGAAATCGTCCCATGCTGAAAACCAGAATGAGTCCTCGTCAGGCTACTTCTTGGTATTCAAGCAGTAGTATTTGCAGTCGCGGTCTAGGTGGTCATCGGTGTAGAACCATGCCACTTCTATCAAGTCGGTTCGTGGGAAATTATATGCCTAGAAGCCACAAAAGTCAGCTCAGGTTGACTTCCTCTTATCTACTTTGTCAAAGTTGAAATCATACCTCTTCTGGTGCCAGCCCCGTCGTACTTTCACCGTCCTCGACGTCAATATGGCCTGGGTAGCCGTCGCCTGGATATAGGCACAGGCCAAAGTGTCTCTCCGCCTGGTGCTCGAGCAGAACGGCGAAGAACTCTTTCGCAAACTCTTGAAGGTCGTCTTTATTCCAGTTGATGGAGGGCGCGTCAAAGGAGAACTCGATGGGGATCACGCGGCCGTCGGCATCGTTGACGCGCCAGACAGACGGCTCACCAACCTGACTGGGTGCTGGGCTCCTGGTGCCGCTCACTGCTGTCATGCGCTCGCCGGCGGCAAGCGGCCGCCCGTGTCGGTGCAGCAGCGTCAGCCCAAATGTATCTTGCACATTTTTCTTGCGGAAGAGATCTCGCATGAGGTCTCGGGCGATGACCTCACCCTCGCAGGCTTGAAAGGCAGCCGAGGCGGCGGACACGTCGGGCAGAGAGTTGTATGCGTCGCAGGAGTACTGCATTATCTGGCCTGACGGAGCCTGGCTCGGCATTTTGAGGGGAAGAAAAGAAAAGAAAGGATGGTTTTATGACAGGGTGGTTTCGTAGAAATGGGAGCACAAACGATGGACGACGAAAGAGAAAAATTGCCAAGCCACCTCTCTTGGGAAGACTGGGAGTGTCAAAGTAAGGTTTATATCTGGCATCTGCGCGGTCCTGTGTGCACAAGAAGCAAGCCCCTGCGTTGCTCGGCAGCTTTTTGAGGTTACTCAGGTTGGTAGCTGCAGTCGGCAGCCTGTTCAGATAGCAGGGCGAGTCTGTGCCATGAGCTGCCAGTTGTCTGTGGGTGGTGGCGCCAGCTATTCGCCTTGTTGGGTCGCCTTGCAATCGGTAAATCTATTCCTGACTTGGTCTTGATTCAAGTACTAGTCCGGGCATCCTTCCGTCATGGTCGCACGTACCGGAGTTAGTTGGCCAACGCAACTGCGCCATGCGGTACGACGAATCTGGAGTGAAGGAGTAATCTCGGGGCATGACGAGATTGACTAGCTGAGAGACTGGGGTATAAGGACCCATTGGGGTGTCCATTGGGGTATCCATGTATCCATGGATCCATGGGGTTGCCTGTTGCTTGTTGCTTGTTGCTTGACCTCTCGGTTACAATCCTGGTCAAAGAAGTACACCTCCTCAGTGGGGGAGGGGGAGTGTGTTACACCAACGGTGCGCGATATCGTGGGCGGATAGCACCGGTAAAGGGAACAAGACGCGGCTGCTGCAAGTCCCGCTGCTGGAGCAAGACAAAGAGGAGGAGTCGATCGCTTCTCAGAGTGCTCCCTTCCGAGGTCTTCTGTCTTTGATCTGTCTGATTGCTATCATTTCCCGAGCCGCCTCTTCTTCTCGTTCAAGTCGCAACGACCAACACCAGGCAGGTTCTCTTTTATTCCTGTCAAACTAGGCTGGCATTGACCCAGCAAAGCGGGGTGAAAATCCTGACAAGAACAACGCAGAGACAGGGGTTACACATGCAAGAACCGCCCAAAATCTGCAAGGCGAGACAAGGTGGCGCGCGGAGGCGTGCTGAACGGAGCGCGATGACATGACTGGCGATGCGGGAGCCACTTGCCACCCTGCGCCCAGGATCCTGGGACGGAGCCGTTGACAAAGTCGAGAAGCACGCGTTTGGCTGCAGCGTACGCCAAGCATGTGACTATGTACATCGCCGAAACGCCCAGAGGTCGATGCTGATACCCGTCGCTGTTTGGGATCATCAACGTCGCTGTTTGCTCCCGAGAGGAGCGAGGTGCGGCTGAGCACCAACCGCGCCCTAGCTGGCACGAAACGGAGTCGTCGGGGCAGTTCGTCTGGGTCGTTCGTCTGGGTCGTCTGGGTCGCCTGGTTCGCAAAAGAAACAACAGTCGTTTTTCCACTTCGCCAAACGAACCCCAAGACCGAGTCGAACCCGAAAATTTTCTCCAATTCTACCCGTATGACGCCATGCTGGGCCAACAGTTCAAAGGGGGCGTCTTGTGTAACCTCTTCAACCACTCACTCTCATCCCTCAGCACCACCAACCCGGAAATGCTTCAATGCCTCCCCGTCCACACCGGTCAGCTTCTTTGTTATTCATGCCGGTGCGATGCCAAAGATCAATGTTGCGGCAGGCAAGCGGGACGCAAGCTCCGCTGCGCCTTCGGTGCGGTCGGTCAGTACGCAGCCTGTTTCGCAGTCTGTGACACACGAGGCCCTCAATTCCCAAAGATGAACCCCCCCACGATCTTCGCGCGCTTACTATGACGAAAAAAGATATCCAGGGGGTCGGAAGTGCCCGAGCCAAGTCTTTGCGCTCCGGGTTGGCCGGTCCGGCGCATCCTCACGCCTACCGATAATAAGGGCATCGTCAACCCCCAGCAACTTGGCTCTTTTGGGAAATACGGTCAAGGGCCGCCCTGCATATATTTGCATCGTGGGGGTCACCGCTTCCTTGTATAACGGAAGCCGGAATCGAATTTCATGGGCATCATGTCAAACGGTTCTCGAGACGCTAGTTGGTGAGCCCGTAACCAAAACGTCACAGATCGTCAACGCAGCTCGGATCTTTAGTTCGACAAAGGCCGAGACATTTTCTGCGCGCCTATGCAACAGTGTTGTCACTGTCGACAAGTAGTTTCTGCAGGTGTGTATTATGCATCCTTTGCAGATCCAGCCGGACGTGGTCCAGAACTTGGCCCTGGCACATCTTGCGTAGGGCGGGGTGTCGTCCGTACTAATTTCGAGTCTTTGTGTGTCAGATATGCATGAGTTTCCCTTTTCTGGATGCACAAACCAATGGAGAGTATGGCTCAAGCAGTCTGTGAACCGATTAGCTCGCCAGGCTGCAGAGCCTTGGGCAGACTATTTGTCATGCCGTTGACATAATTAGAAATGCATCAATCGTGCGCGTGCAAAGTTGTGTGACGTTGGTTGGTCCCCTTTTCTGGCTACGTTTGCCGTAGAGGGCGCGGACCACTTCGCGACGTTCCTTCTCTTTTAGAAAGCCGTTGACTACCCTGAGGCTGTGGCCCGAGACACACTGGGTTAGTCTCCCTGGCAAGACTGCTTTGAGTATGCTGTGATCAAGCTTGGAAGTGAAAACAGCGTGCCACTGACGAGGGCTTCTGTGAAGTGTGGTTGTTGCTCTATCAAGTCTGCTAGTGTTGCGTCTAATAACAGATGACCTCGGCAATAGAACAGGGTGTCCCGCTGTTAGAAATAGTTTATCATGACACAGCTGTTGCCCTTGAGTGGCGTAGATGCAAGAAAAAAAATGATGGAGGAGACATTAGTCCCCGAAATAAGCTTTAGATCCAAGCGGCGAAATGATTCCGATTTTTACGAAGATGATATCCTAGTTCAGGGAATAAAGTTGTGTCGGACAGTGTCACGATGGCCATTTCAGGTGTCGAAGCAGGGTTCAGAAAATAGCAATATAGCCAGTTAGCTTGGAAAAGACGCGGGATTCGCCTGGTGCGCTATTCAAGTAGGCCGCTGGTTTTTCTTGCCGTTGTGCTGCATTTTGATTGCTCAGACGGAAGATGTGCTAGTCAGAGTTCGCTGTGTTGTCCTTGTACACGAGGAGTACTGCAGGGGATGGTCATTGGAATCGGGGAGTATAGAGTGAACTTCTTTTGGATTCCCCCATCGATGATAGTTTCATAAAGTATACCTATCCCGTTTCATGGCTTTAGTAGACCTGTGACTCGGTAGTCGGTGGCTTGGAGTGAAACTGTCCGGTTCGATCTGCAGGTCACAGCGGCCGATTTTGTTATGCATATTTCGCCAAGGATATGGTTTACATGTATGATATAGCCCATGGGCGGCGAACCTAAAGATCTCATCGGCGCTTTCTCCAAGCCATGACCGTTTGTCACTTGCATCGGTCGACAATGGCAAGGCCGTGACGAGTGGAGACAAGCTTCCCAGATAGGAACTCTGTTGTTGGCAAGCCCCACTGTGAAATGCCACGGCAACGAGAACATCGGGCGCTTAATTGTAAGAGAGCTGGCGGCACTCGTCTATTTATACTCGTGCTGGTCTGTATTTAATTGCTCCCTACGAACAGCCCACTCAAATCTTTTACTTGGATAAAATTTGATCTCTTAGGGACGCATGATGGACCAGACCAGCTGACTGGCTGTGTGGCTTCGCTTACAAGGAACTATGCTCGCTAAAGCAAGCACTAAAACACCCCCCCACAGCGCTGCAAGAGCCAGGTTATAGTGGATAAACCTACCAAAGCTTCCTGCGACCTGCATTTTGGCGGCTCTCACCTTCACACCGCCCAGCCAAGGTACCAGGGTACCTGCACACATTTATAGGCGAAAGGCGGTGGACGGACTTGGGCGCGTCTGCAGCCCGATTAAAAAAATCGACTGTTCTTCCTGTCATATCGAGCTTTTAACTCCTCGCATCTTACTCGTTCTCTGACGCCGTTTTGCTGTCCAATTGTTCTCAGGTCACACGCACCAGCCACAGCTTGTTTATCGCCCAGGCAGCCACTCATTGGTTCGGTGGGGTCACGAGCTGGCGGGCTGGCCCGATCAACAATCCGTCACTTTTTTGTAGCCACGCAACAACGCCCCCAACAAACTTGCATGCCCAAGGCGAGAGAGGAGCCTGAATATCGAGTGCCTGGCCTCATCTCTACCATCTCAAACTTGGCGAGAGCCGTATAGCAGGCCTATACGGAGCAAGCTGCTTGAGAACGGCCAACTACACCCGCACGAGTAGACAGTTCTGCTCCACCTCAATAGTTGGCCTCTCGCTTACTTTTGCTGGCCTTGGATGCGCTGCTTCTAAACATAGCTCTGCGCCTAGGATTTTCCAGTCACGTTTGCAAATATTTCAACTGTATGTACTCTTCTCGCTTGTACCACTTCCTCGCCTGCCCGCATTCCGTGCCCTCCCCCTCACGCTGCTAACATTCCATCCTTGTGCCTCGCCAGAATGACGTACCCATCAGGCTTCAGCATGCCAGGGGCCTTTCACAACGACGTCGGTGCTGCGGCGACGACGACGATGGCCTCCATCTTCCGACCTCCCGTATCGTCACCCTCTCCCTCCGGCTCTACCTTTCTCGACGTCGCACCAAAGCGCAAACGAGGCCGCACAGGCACAACCGCGGCACCCTCGGCAGACGATGCGCCCGCCGCCGTGAGGAGCCTCTTTGGCGCCGCCGCCGTGCCGCCGCTGCACACGCCTGTCAAGGCATACACCCTCGCCGGGACGCTAGACACACCGGGCGCGGCCGAATCGGACGTCCTCGGCGAGAGCATGTACTCCGACTCCAACTACCGGACCGCCCTAGGGTCGAAGCGCTCCCGCCACGACGACGACGATGACGACAGCGGCGGCGGCGTGCCAACGTCGCTCTTCCGCCACAGCCCGCCCTCGTCCCCCTCGCAAGGATGGGGCAGCACCGCCATCAACGTCGTTGGCGGTGTCGTCGGGGGCGTCGTCGGCCGCGTCTGGGAGTTTTGCAAGGCGGGTGCCTTCAAGGGCTTCTACGCCGGCGGTGGCCGGAGCTTTGCCATGACCGGGACAGGGGCCATGGTGGAGAGCAACGACGACGACGCACCACCCCCCCTGCCACCCGCCGACGACTACTCCTACAGCTACCACTACCAGCACTACGACGACTACGAGCACCGCGTCCCCGGCCACTTTCCCGCCTCCCAGCCCGAACAAGCCTTCTCGTACCGTGCCACCGTCGACGACGCCGCCGCCGCCGCCGCCGTACCACCACCACCACCCCTTTTCCCCGACCACTACCCCCCCTATCGCCCCGCCAGCCCGGCCCCTAGCCTCCCGGCCGCCAAGCGGAGGCAGACGACGCACGCCGACGACCTCGGACGAAACTGGGTGCTCGTCAACGACGTCGCCGCCGCCGCCACCGTCGTGAACAGCCGCCGCTCGTTTGCCGCCTCGACCGCGACACCACGCAAAAGCAGCGGCAGCCACCGCTCATCACCGCGCAACCGCAACTACACGCCCTCGGTGACCACGGGCCGCCGCATCTCGACGACACCCAACAGCCGCGCCTCGATGCCGTCGGCCGCCCGCTTCTCCTACCGCCCGGAGACGCCGTCGGACCAGACCACCCCACAGCTGGTACGCCCGGCCTCGTCCGCGTCCTACGCCTCACCGCGGTCCGCCTCGCCGACCAAGCTCACCTCGTACTACACCGCTAGCACCGCTAGCACCGCCTCCACCACCGCCTCCCCCTCGCAGCAGCACCCGCACGCCTTTTCCACCTCGCAGTCCCGAGGCGGCCACGGTCACCGCCGCCGGCGCAGCAACACCGCCGCCAGCACCACGCACCGCCGCACCAACAGCGCCGCCTCGGCGGCGTCGAGCCGAGGCGATGCTGCGGCTGCCGAGCACATTGCCAGCCCGCGCCTCGGCGCCGAGGCCAAGCAACTCGCCGCCCGCCGCATGATGGAGGAGCGCGACGCCGACGTGCGCATCTCGGCGTTTAACAAGCGCCTCCAGGACATGATTCGCCAGGGCAAGGAAGCCCTGGGAACCACGATTGAGATTGACGACGCGGCCGGCGAAGACTGGGTCGACGAGGAGTAAAAACGGCGACACACATAAAAAAAAAAAGAAGGCGGGCATCTTGAGCGTTTTCATACCTGTTTCTTATTCCCCTTGTTTATTCTTCTTTGTCCACATTATATACTGATACCTCTTGTTGTTCCACATGGTGTACATGGACCATTATATGCGTGGAAAACAGATTACCAGCGTTGTTGGAGCTCTGGATTTTTTTTGATATCGTGTTTTGCCGATAATAGCTGCTGATTGATTTTCAAGTGGCATCGGCCCAATTCCATTGGAGGAAGCTTTTTGGACAGACTGTACAAGAGGCAGGCAGCACAGGTGGAAAACCCAACACCATGGTGTCTGACAGAACGCTTCATGTTTTTTTGAATTGTTTGGGGAACCTGCTCCTTGAGAGCACGCTGATGATATATAGTACAAAATACTTCGCTAGCTTAGCAAATACCACATGACAATACAAGCCAAAACCACCAGCATGTTCCAACCATTGCTCAGCACGTTTCGGGACAAGTGCAGCCTGGCCACCTGGTGAGGTTGTAGAAGAGGCGGCGACGGCACTCGTGGCAGCGCTCATCGCGCGGTCGTCGATCCCGGGGCCGACAGAAGCAAGCCACGGCGGCGCGCGCCTTTTCCTTGACGGCGCCGGCCCAGCTCCGCAAGCGCCCCTTCCAGGTGCGCTGCTGGCGCTGCTCCTCCGCCTCGCGTAGCAAGCGCGCCTCGCGTATCTTCTGTGCCCGCTCCATCCTCATGCGGCCAGACAGCCACAGCCCCCTGTGCGAGCCAACAATGGGGGGGCGCACCGTCTTGGGCGACACTGGGCGGCTCATCAGCCGCTCCCAGTCCATGGTCGCTGGAGGTGTGTTCAGGTACGGAATCCGCGGCCTGTCTGTGCTGGCGTCGGGTATGAGAGGCTCCCGCTCGGGTGCAATGTAGGTGGTGGCATCATCTCTGGGGCGGCCGCTGGCGAGCGAGACCTAGTACTCGTCAAGCAGGCGGGATGGCTTGATGGAGGGCATGATTTTTTTTGGGGGGGTTTTCTTGATGAGAGCGAATGTGTATTTGTTATGTCTGTAAACGAGTGGAATGCATGGAGAGGGTGTGGTTTTGTTTGCGTGGACTCGTCAAGATCTCTTGTTGATATAGCGGCAGTTGATGGCACGCACCTGCCTCGAGTTAAGCGAAGGACGGAATTGAAAGAGATAAATGCAAGAAGAATCAGAAGAGTAGGAAAGCTGATTAGAATTAGAAGGGTGATGAGGTTCATAATTAATTAGAAAGTAGTTAAAAAATAACGAGAATAAGGAAGATGGTCGTATTCCCTACTGGTGATTGTTGGTGCGAGCACCAATGTCTCACACTTCCCTGTCCGACATTGACCACTTCCCCTCGTCTGCATTTCCACAACTTCGGACGACGGAGCTGATGTTTGCAAAGACGACGCATTGCCGGTACCCAATGCGACGTCTGTACATATTAAAAGGGGCTGCGACCCCAAAAAGACCAAGCACGCGTCCCTACCCGCCGGCTGCTACCGCCGCCCTAAACGCGTCTCCTCCACGACCTGTGCTAGAGTATCTCCCGTGGCATCGCCGCGGGCCCCGACGTTCGCATGTGCCGATGTAGGACGGGCCCGGGGCCGGAGGGGCCTACAAGGCGCCGGGAGACGGGCGGCATAGCGGGTTGCACGGAGACGGTACGGGCCACCCGTGCAGGCAGTGTTATTCGACGCCGCACTTCCCAGCGTTGCATTGCAATTATTTGCTCCCGCCTCACTACCACATCCCCTGGCTAATAAGTACCATGACAGAAGAATATGGCGCACCACCCACCGCCGCGAATGCCATGCCGTTCAACTGAGACACGGCGTTGATTCTAGACTTGTGTGGGATCGCAAGACAACTTGTGACCAATCGACCAAAAAAAAGTGTGGTCATAAATTGAGGACAGTGGACGCTCCAGTGAGTGGCTTGAACAAAGCAAAGCATTCCTGTCCTGTTCTGATAGAATCCGACGCCCATGTCGAGGATTGCCAACACCTTGAAATACATTTTTGAAGCGGGCGGGAATTATCCATGGGCGCTCAAGTACAGATTACTTTAGTAGAGCTTGAAAATACCTTTCGGCTGCGCTTAAATGACGGTTCTAGCGCCGTCATTACCATGATTTATTAGCTGCGTAGACGCCTTTGTTTGTCAAACTTTTCTAGTCGGCGATGGCCTGCCGCGATGATCCTTTTCAACCCGGCGAATGAGGTATGCCGCAAGCTTTCATCACAAATACAGCAAATTTATTTGACACATAGTTGACGTGCACCTGCACGCAAGCTAGCCAAACAATTCTTTTCCAGACTCGGCCATGGAGCGCACATGCGAACGGCTCGCCGTTTCCGCCATGGCCGTTCTCTGTGCCTTGCACTGCTCAACATGCACTCCGCAACCACCTTTTGCATCTTGTCCCGTGCAGGACGCCGAATTTCTCCCCAATTGGGCCTCGTCTTGAATTTCTCCCCAACGGCCTCGTCTTGGTCGAGAACGCGCGGCTTGGCTTCATAGTACCAGATGGCTTGCGGATCGTTTGGTGACTTTTATAACACGCCCGCTTCTGTTCCCAGCTGCAGAGAATGAAACATGGCAAAAAAGAGAAGCCATGATGCTCACCAGCGTCTTAAAATAGAAACACAAGGGGAACGCAGGGGGCACGAGTCTCGTCAAATGTCTTTGCCCCTCTTCAGCCGTGACGTGTCTTGCGTGTTCATCATTCAGTGACTGAGGGAGAAGCTGAAGAGAGACGTTGAAGCAGGGTCTCATCTGGCCGCAGGAACAAGCCTTTGTACTTTTTTTTTTTCCTTTTCTCGGTTGACGTGTTTGGCCTCGAATGGAGTCGATGGAAGATTCTGCCAATAGACTACAGAACTACCCTCTTTAAAGAGGTTGATGGTTCATGATTTACAGACCGTGGCTGTCTGGCGCCCGCCTGCCGCCGCCAGACCAACACGCCTCTACCTCTGGCGCACAACGGGAACAAATGGCCGGGCATCCTCGGCGTTCATCTTCGTTGCAATGCGCGGCGCACCCTCCATCCAAAGGTTTCCGCGCAGTTGCCGCCCCCCTGCCAGCCTCAACGGTGCCCATCCCCCCCCCATGTCGGGCGGGCGCGCCGCGGTGACTGTTCCCATGTCTCACTACCCAAGACATTTGCAATCTCCCCCCCTCGACCACCAAACCCACCGTCGCGAGATCCAAGACAACGGTCTGGTTCCTGCTCCCCCTCGCCATGTTCAGACAAGAAGAAAAAAAACGGTTAAGTAGTCCACTCCCCCTCGCCAATCTCGCCTTGTCCCCCCCCCTCGTTGCTGATCCCATATCAACCATACATCAAAACCAGACGAAAATAACCTCATCATCGTCGCGCGTTGTACAACCTCGGCACCAATTCCGCTCAAACCACCCAACAACATAATTTCACAATGAAGGTGAGCTCTTCTTTTCCAGCCTCGGGGCTACTAGAAATGCCGACGCGACTACGAACCCACCCATCACCACGCGTGTTGCTCAACACCACGAATTCGACCCAAGACGACAATTTTAGTTTTATTCTTAAAAAAAAAAAAAAGCTGCTGACCTAGTATCGCCAGGCCTCACTTAGTCTCATCGTCGCCGCCGTCCTCGGCGCCGTCGCCTCGCCCGTCGACCACGTCATCCACCGCCGCTTCACCTGCGCCAAGCGCCTCGACGGCTACTGCCACGCCTCCAACGTCGACTCGTATTGCGAGAATGGCCAGTTTAGATCCAAGGCATACGAGACGTGCAAAGACTACTGCAGGTATGTTTCTGCCCTGGCTTCTCTCCCTTTTCTCTCTTCTTCCGCCATTTATTTTGCCCACGTCAACGAATGCTAACGAGGTACAGCTGCTAAAAGAGGCCACGAGGCCCTTGTGGCCAAAGGAAAGAATTAATAATGACGGGAGGCGCCCGCCTACTGTGTACAAGTAGGAAAAAGAAGCTACGACCTTCATTCTTTTTTTCCATTTGTTCAACGTAGCGTGGTTCATGGTTGGAATTTTCACGGCCAAATGTTGCTACAGGATCAGCCTTTGTATTTGTGCTTGTTTGATTCCTTTCTCTGTTCAACTTTGCCTAATAATTACAGGTTCTGATTCAATCTCCCCAAATCTGACACTAATCCCAAGTCTAAACGCTATTCCCTATACGCCTTTGAGTCCTGAACATGTACATCATTCATTGATTCCGTAGCAACATCCCTACGTCCTGTAGTTCTGATGAAGGCGCTGTTCGCCCTCGATCAATACGACCCCAACCTGCGCCCCACGCCGGAGCATCAACGTTCCCAACCGCTGTCGTCATCGCCCCAACATTGGTACGACTATTATCTGCACCCACATAGGCCGTTTCGTCCGACGCATCATCCCGCGCCGGACCGGTGCCGGCATCGCGGCGCATCATGGCAATGTCTTCACTGTCCGCCGTACTGTGCAGTTTACGCTTGTCACGACGGCCGAGAACTCGCCACTGCGGCGATCGCGTCTTGTCCGTCGCCTCGGGAGATGCTCCAACCATTTGCGGCGACGACATGATGCCGAGGCGAGGTGACTGGTGGTTGCGGCTGCCATGACGACTACCACCCCAGCAAAAAGAGCGCCGATTAAACCCAGCAGGTTCGCCTGCCCCGCAGAAGCCGAGAAGCTCTACCGGATGCCACCACGCACGCGGTCGACGGAATGCCTTGACACTACCATTGCAACCGTCGTTATAGCTCGTGTGTGCTTCTCCCGAGAGCTCTTCCAGCGTGATGCCTTTTGTCTCGGGAATGAGCAGCGAAACAAGAGTGCCGAGTAGCATGAACAAGGCAAAGAGCTGTAAAAGACGGTCCATAGACTGTGGGCAGTGACTCCCCTTACAACTTGCGGCCGCAGTAGTGCTCCCCTGTTTGAGGAGTGGTATGCTGATTACTTGAGCCACAATGGCACCAATCTTGCCCATGGCAGCCGAGATGCCGTGTGCCGTGGCGCGATACCGTGTCGGGAAGCATTCGGCAGGTAAAATAAAGGTCGTGGTGTTTGGCCCAGCGTTGAAAAGAAACTGTCCGACAATGTATAGCGCGAGCGTGGACCGCTCTGTAAGACTGTGCAGCGCGAACCCGAGAATGCAAAAGACGGCCGTGAGGAGAAGAAAGCCAAATACTTGGAGAGGCTTCCGCCCGACTGTATCAATAGTCAATATGGCGGTCCAGTACCCCGGTAGTGAACCTGCGCTGGTCAAGATGATGAGTCCCAGGGCTCGATTCCGCAGCTTATGATACAACGTTTGGCCACTGGCGTAACCGATGGCATGTAGAACCACGCTATTATTCAAACCCAAACCATAAAACGCAAGATCCTGTTTCAGCATGTCAGTATAGAACTCCTGCACTGTGGTCTGCGACAGCACTCACAAGAAAGAACCAGGATAGTGTTGTCCCAACCATAGCACGCATATTGTGTGGTTTTAGGAAGAATTCTTTGGCGTCGGCCCAAGACGCTTTGGGGATGGAAAGAGTCGAGGAGTGGTAGTGAGCATTATTGGTAGAAACAACGTCCTTGGGTCGAGTGCTGGATACATAGGCGCGAATATCGGCGTCGGCCCTGTCGACGTCGTGTTGTACGTCAAACGTGTAGCGGGGAGTTTCGGGGATGGTAATTCTATAGTACATGGCAAGGCAGGCCGGGATAGCGCCAACGCCGACGATGATGCGCCAGGAGCGATCGGCTGCTACACGACAAGCGGCATCGCATGTACCGTTGGGACCGATACCGTCGTATGAACCTTGAAAAGCGACAGTGGTGATGAGGGCGACGACGGCCGCCATGAGCTGACCGAGGCCTTGCATGGAGAAGACGGCCGCCACCAGAGCACCACGCCATCGAGTTGGCGCAAATCTAACAAGTCAGCATTTCGATATCACCGATGATGGAGAAACTATCTTACTCGGAAGTGATGACGCTGGCAAGAGGATAGTCGCCTCCAACTCCGATGCCCTGCTGGAAATTAGTCTCTAACTGGAACGCAGGCATGAATAGGCGTACCAGTAGCACGCGCCAGAATATTAATACACCCGGGCCGCTCATAGAAGGGCTCTCGGAAGCAATCGCGCAGCTGAAAATTGTAAATATGACAACGCCGAGTTCGATGCCGTACATGCGACGGCGTCCATATGTGCTTGCAAAGGTTAGTGCGGCACGTAGTCATGGAGCGAGACTTGACTTACTCAGCCAACCAGCCGAACAATATCATTCCAATGACGATTCCAGCGCTTGTAGAAGCCTTCAAAGATTGACTGATGGTCTCGGGCATATCGCCGCTGCCATCACCCTCTTCGCTGTAATATGCTAGACCCACCAAAGGGATGACGAAGTTGATGGCAAAGATACTATAGGAATCCAAAAGGAAGCCGGCGCCAGCGACGAGAACAGCTCGAACATCTATAGATTCACCCTCGCGTTAGTACTACTATCTGGTACTCTTGCCCTCTTGTGGAACATGGTTAACACGTACGGCACGTTCCAAAGGGAACCTTGTCAACGTCTGATAGGGCAAGTCGTCGGCGCAAGTTGGCGTCGGCGATGTGGGAGTAGTCGTTGTAGTAGTTGTGAAACGCTCTGTTACCGCCTCGGGTGTACATTGGATTTATCGGCGCCTGCGCCGGCGGCGGCAGCATGTGGTCGGAAGACGCGGGCATGGTGATGTGTGTTCGGCGGCTTGTCCGTCACCCACTGACGGGTCGAATGCAGCTTGCGGTAGCCCGATCTGTGGAGTATCAAGGGCCGGTGCCCGGAGAGGGCCTCTATCGGCAGGTGAGGGTTGATCTAGATTGGAAAGAGAAGTGGTTGAAGGGTCGGGAATTTGGACGCATGTCGTCTATCCACAGAATTCTTTGTCGTGGAGGGCAAACGGCGACGGGTGTGACGATTAAGACATGGGTACGGAGTACTGTAATAGTAGGACTTGACTGCGGGTCGAGATGCGGGACGCGGTTTCGGTTCAATTGCCGGCGCGCAAGTTGCTCATGCAGAAAAGCAAGGAAAGCTGGTCTGATGATGGAGATGGTGTCGAGTTGACCAGAGGGCGGATGGAGAACCTATGGAAGCGTTCACCTGATGGAGGAGGGGAAAAGAAGCAAATGACAGGTGGTGCAGGTCGGAAGGAAGATGCAGATGCGGCAGCACAGTATTGGCAACGTGTCGGAGGTGATACAGGCCGCTAAAAAGTAAAAAGACGGCGGAATCTTGCTGGACAGCTGCTGCGACTCGCTGTAACCCACTCACTACAGGAGGTAGGTATTACCAGGAGGTACTAATCTGCTGACCTCTTCGGGCCCTGTCAAGCTTGCATTGCAGTAGCGTCCCAACGAGGAGCCTTTTTCCGCAACTCAAAAGTTCGCATCAAGATGGCCGACTTATGCCTTTATTCGCCAAACCGGAAATGTGGAAGCTCAAACACAAGACAGGTTCGGAGAGGACGGCACCGGGCGGGGGTCGTAGTCTCATATTAAGGCAGCGTCGCAGTCGCAGCCCTCTTACGCCATTCCGAACTACCAGAGGAGCTAGAGGAGGGGAGGGGCGGCGCCGACGATCCTTCCATGTGCTTGAACCAGCACAAAGCAGCACCAGTAAAAGGTGGCGTGCACGAGGGCCCCAAAATGTCGCCCCAAGCCCCTGTTACAAAGATTGAAATCCCCCATGGACGTTAGTTTAGTCCCTTGCCATGGGTCGGGCTCAGGCGAACAGAGGGGCGTAGTTTCCCCCACGTGCATCTTCATCTCGCCCAAAAGGCGTCGCATCTTCAACGCCGCAAGCTAACACCAGCGCCACAGCAAGGGGAGCAAGCCTCTCAGCACCAGCCGCCCCTCTCCGGTGCCGTGCCTGAACACGGAAACCCGACCCGTCACCTTCTAGAAATTCTAGAAGCTCATGTCGGCAAATGGGCGCTGCTTGGTGGGATTTTCGTGTCTGCGCCTCCCCGTGCTTACACTTGCCTCGCAAATAGAACAAACGTGGAAGCACTGTCAGAAATGGTCTCGATCCCGTCTGCATCCTGGTGTGATTCATTTGGGTTTCGTCATGAGTTTCCTTCTCAACTAATTTATTAAATAATCAGAATGAATGACTCGCCCTTTTGCCTCCATCGCCCACCACCGTGCTGTGGATCCAGCTGGACCAGTTAGGCTCAGCTCAGCCATGTGCATGTGGGTGGCCGAAAAGCGCTAACTACCTGTAGTTATGTGCTAACAATACTAGTGCTGCACCGTATTACTTGCAGTTGTTCCCTGCATCATGAATCTATACATAGTTATCAGATGTTTACAACATCACGGTTTTATTTCAGGCCTTCCATCTCAACAATTTTCCCCATTTTCTGCCTTGCCCTATTTTCCTCCATCACCCCTGCATCCGATATCTATCTCGTCTTGGCAACGTCGCCAACAAACTCTACCTAGAGCTGATGGCCGCCTCTTTTCGAGGCCCCTGTCCAACTCCGGTCAACAAAAAGGCTAGACTGCCCAAATAGGCTACATTGTAACTATCGCAGATGCCTCAACAGTGCAGCCAACCTTCTGAAGATCGCTGCCTATTCTTGTCTGGCTTTTCGTCTGGTCTCTACCACGCTGTGATATCCTCCACCTCTGCTTCGCCAAACGTGCTCGACTTTGTAATCTTACCCACCCCCACCTCTTCAGTGGCCGAACCTTCCTTGTTCATAATGTCCGGGAGAACCTCTTTCAAAAAGGCCAGGATGTAGCGATTCACCTGTTCAAACTGCAGCAAAAATGCATCGTGCCCCTCGGGGCTCTCGATGCGCTCGAGTCTGGCGTCTTTGACGTGCTCAGCAATCTCTTGCTGCTCCGCAAACGTAAAAAGCCCGTCGCTCTCGATTCCAAGCACCAGAGTCGGCTGCTCTATCAATGCGAGGGCCTCCGCAACGGTACCGGCGCGGTTGCGCGAAACGTCATGCGTGTCAAGCTTCCGAGTCATGGCAATGTAACAGTTACTATCGAACCGTTTCACGAATTTGTTTCCTTGGTATCGTAGATAGGACTGCGCGGAAAAGTATGTCGACGTCGGCAGATCATCGCCACCGGTAAGGCTCACCGTCTTCTTGGGTCCTGTAAACTGAGGGTCCGGAGAGTCGACAACGACTTGCTTGCCGTTGGGCGATTGTCGGGAGCTGTTCCCGCTGTTGTCACGAGATAGTGATGTGCGCTTTACGACGTGACCGTCATTATGAATGTGGAAGTGGGCTTCGGAAGGAGTTGCCGGACGCGGCCTTTCCCGAATTGTCTGCACTTTGGAAGCATCCGGTATGTTGCGTCCGAAGCGAGCCTCAAAAGAGTCGCGGCTGCGATACGTGAGCAGCGCAGACATGCGCGCGGCGCCGAGGCCTGTCGAAGGCGGATCCTCGAATTTGTAGTATCCGTCATCGTACTTGGGATCCGCATAGATGCTTTGTCTTTGCGCTTCACCCCAGCTGATTCCCCAGGCGCTATGTCTGCTCGAGGTGGCAATGGGAACAATGCAACGGATATAGTCCTTGCCGAAGTATGCCCACTCCAGGACAAACATGCCTCCTAGAGATCCGCCAATCACGGCCGCGATTTGTTTCACCCCGAGCTCATCAAGCAGCAGTTTGTGTAGACTATCGTTGTTAATGACTGCGTGGTGGATAAAGGCATGAAGCACATGACTAGAAAGTAACCTACTTGACATCGTCGCGAATGGTAGTGAGGGGAAACTCGGGACCATATCTGTCATTGGAAGCGTCTCCGTCTTTTGCCGTAACGGGGCTAGCCGAGCCATAAGGACTGCCGAGACTGTTCATGCAGACAATGAAGAACCTTGATGTATCAAATACTTGGCCAGGGCCGCCGAGTAATGGCCCCCACCAATCACTCACGTCGGCGCTGCCTGTCAGCGCATGACAAATGACCATGGCATTGTCGCCAGATGGAGAGAGCTTCCCCCTAGTCGTGAAAGCAACTGGGACGTTTCGTAAAGTTGCCCCAGATTCCAGCGTGAATTCTGGGATAATGGCGAATTGCTGGTCTGGGATCAACACGGCAAACGGATTTTCAGGTTGCGACGAGCGTCTTTCTTCCAGGTATTCAGCATGATTTCTTGCCGCGATTGAAACATACAATGAGTCCGTCCCAATCAAGCAGGAAGTACTGACCGTATTGTGGCTTTGCCGTGCCATCGCTGGCCGTGTGTTGAGCCATGACGAGGGGGCAGCGGTATCGCTCGCTGAGAGGTGAAGCAGGGCAGTTGAGTCTCTGATGATGCTTCCAAAAAAGATTTCTGAGAGAGAAAAATTGAAAGAAATAGAAGGAGCTTGAACTGAGTTTATAAGAACCAAGTACTGGTTCCGATTGGCAATTGGAGATGGAATAGAGACGTTGATGCGGCTGGCAACTCTTTTGAATGGCGTAATCAAGCAGTCCGATAAAGGCTCCGATTTCTGTGACTAAATTTTAGTAATGGGCGCTAAAATGGCTGCCAGAACCCGCCAACTGCAAGGCACCTCAGCGGGGATGGTGCCTGGCCGGGCGTCTGGGCGCACTCAGAACGGTGCTTCTGGACAGTAATATTTCATGCGATGGGTGCAATGATGGTAGTTTCCAGTTGTTTTATACGGAGCAAGATGAAAGCAGCACTGGTAGATTTATTTACACAGCACACATGGAATAAATTTTACTTCATAAATGAAATGGGGGTTTTTTATGAGCAAGCCGCCTGTGTTTTTTATGAACAGCCACAACGTCTCCAGACGCCACTCATCACGTGCCGTCGTGCTTGTTTGTCTGGCCTGTGCACTCCACTCAAGCTCTCTTCGTCGCGCATCGATTTGGGCATCGCTCAGCCAGATATCGTGGGAGCTTCTTCTTGCCATCAGCTTGTGCGACAGGCCCCAACCATCGCGACGCGCAACCTCAAAAGTGACGCCGAGACCTGAGCGACTTTTGATTTACCCAGACAATATCGCTGGCGACTCGAGAACCGCGGTCCGCATACTCTGTGACCCTCTGCTGGACGCCCGCAGGCTTTTTGATTCCTTGTCCTTCGTGCAACCTTGGACCAGCACACCGACCCTTCACAACACGGCCTGCGCCCCCTTTGCCTGCGCGACCGTCTCATCGACCCTTACGATACACTTTCTATCCCGTATAGATTTGATTTCCGTGCGCCAATGATCTAACTGCATAGCTATCTTGCACTTTCGAGCTGTCATGCCTCCGAAGCGCAAGAGACCTGACCGGCCTTCGAGCGGCGAAGCCGGCCGACCTTCGCCGCACCGCCCGAACGAGATGACCATGGGGCACCATGACCGAGATGACGGCAATAACAGAGGCCGCGGTCGGAATCGTGGAGGCTCTGGCCGGCGCGACTCGTCGTATGGCCATGGCCGAAACGCATCCCACAGCCAACCACATACTCAGTCGTCGCCCACACACCAACGGCCGAGCTCTGGCACACAACAGCCCTCATCACATCACTCTAGACAGCCTTCATCAAACATACCGTCATCCCCTGCCAAAACAAGCCAGGTACAGACTTCTCTTGAGCCCTCAGCAACCGTACCACGTCCAGCGCAAAAGCGAGAGCCCGAGCCTTCCAAGTCTTCCAGCTACTACTTCGACCTGATCACAGACGAGCAGGTGGCAAACTGGGCTGCCGCTGGAAGAGAGCATGTCATTTCACGGGGCGTCCAGGCACGCGATGATATTGACGTTGTGGAACTGTCCACCCTACTCCAGGAGTTCATTCATGCTGTCTTGGCTGAGAAGCTTTCCCCCGAAGAGGCTGGTGCCTGTGTCAAGGAAATCATCGGCGACGAGAATACGGAAGTGATTAAGGACTCATTTACCTTTGCTCCTCACACGCTGTTCCTCGACTCACTGGCCATTGTCATGGACAATGACTCTGACCTTTATAAGCCAGTCCTGCGACAATTTCTTATTGCTACAGGCATTTCCCCTGCGCTTATGCGCCAAGTTCTTGATGCGCCTATTCTGCAACAGCTTGGTCTCATTAGGGATACATTTGCCCGACTTGGTGTCCGTCAGGCCACCAACCTTCTTTACCGCCAAGCCAACTACAACCTGCTGCGCGAGGAATCGGAAGGCTACTCAAAGCTCATTACTGAAGTATTCACCACAAGCAGTGTGCCACCGCCCCCGCCAGAGCGTGCACAACACACCTTTGAAAGAGTCAAGGCCTTGATCGGCACATTCGACCTGGATGTTGGCAGGGTTTTGGACGTCACTCTTGACGTGGCTGCTGCCGTTTTAATCAAGCAGTACAAGTTCTATATCAAGTTTCTAAGAATCAGCTCCTGGTGGCCGCGCTCGCAACTCAAGCTTAATACCCCTTCTTACTCGGTTGGCCTTCCTACCTGGGCAAACCCCGACTATTCAGATTGGTCGACCAGCCCCGAAGATGAAGCCGCCAACGCCCAAGCCAAACAGTTACGTGATATCGAATTCTGGAATCGCGCAAGGGACATTCATCTGGCGGCCTTTTTCGAGCTTGGAGGTCGCCAAGTATCCGAGCAAACCATTCAATCGGCTCTCATCGCAAATGGCGAAAACAACAAGGACGGCTCGTTGGATCTTGAACAGCAATGGATCAAAGAAACCAATACTCTGCCTCCTCCAGGCAACCGCGTTGCTGCCCAGCTGCTTGGTTTCAAGCTCCGATACTACAATTCGGAACTTCGCGCTGAGGCTGATGTTCTCCCAGCCAACCTGTTATATCTCGCCTCTCTGTTGGTCAAGGTTGGATTCATTTCACTCGCAGACCTATACCCACATCTTTCCCCTGCGGATGATAAAATGGAGGAAGTACGAGAAAAGGAAATGAAGAAGATTGAAGAGAATGAGCGTGCTTCTAGGGGAGGCGGGATGAATGCTCTGCTCATGGCTGGTGTATTACCACAAGGCGATGATGACAACCCTAACATGGTACGCAGGGAGGCTCCCAAAAGGATCGAAACCGAAGCGAAGCAGGCTACCGAGCAGGCCCAGGAATCCGAGCCTCAGCTGCCAGAGCCGCTAGAGCAAAAAGTATCCTTCCTGACGCAGCTTTTAACTATCGGTGCTATTCCTGAGTCACTATTTATCCTGGGGCGCTTCCCATGGATACCGGAAACCTTCCCCGAGGTTCTTTGCAGAATTCATCGCCTACTCAACTTCTCGCTCGAAAAGGTTTACACCGCCAGCAAAGCTACATCAACCGCCGACATGGCATGCCCAGCTAAACACGTCCCTGATCTCGATCAAGCCGGCGTTCCAAAGGGTAGCGTTAAGCTGACTCGCCTACCCGCCAAGAAGAGGTGGCGTTGGCCATTCCCCGACAAGTTCGACACCAACGAAAACCAACCATATCGCTTCTACTGGGATGAGTGGTCAGACCATGTCCCTGTGTGCCAGACGGTCGACGACGTGTTCACCCTTTGCAACACGTTTCTCAATATTTCGGGTGTCTGTATTGGTAAGGATGAGGCGCTGCTCTCCAAGCTCGCTAGCATTGGTAGTATGAGCTTGGCCCAGGATAGCTCGGACGGAAATCTCAAGAGATGGCATGATCTGCTGAAGAGGCTCCTTCTCCCAGCTCTCAGCCATACCAAGGCCAACGCCGCAGTTGTGAATGCAATCTGGGATATTCTCAAGCTCTATCCCGTCACGACTCGCTACGCGCTCTATGCTGAGTGGTTCGAGGGGCAGACCTCCCGACTTCCCGCCATGCGCTCAGTATTCGCCAGAGCCATAGCAGATACGAGAGGTACAATGAAGCGTGTCTCTTTGACAAACCTGGGCGAGATGGCAAAGCAACTGGCAAAGACCAGCTATTCTTCGCCGGGTATTGTTTTCAGGGTCGCATTTGAGCAGCTGGAATCTTACCCCAATCTTATTGAAGCGTTTGTGGAGTGCGCCAAGTACTTCACAGACCTGTCATATGATGTCTTGGTCTGGTCGCTGATGAACTCGCTTGGCAAGTCGAGAAGCCGAACACAAGCCGATCACGCCCTCACAACCAGCAAATGGCTTCAAGCTTTGTCCAAATTTACTGGCAAGGTATTTCGTCGGTACTCCCTCCTCAACGCCACCCCCGTCCTTCTTTACGTCAATGACCAGCTGTTCCACGGGAACTCGACCGATCTCATCATTCTCAAGGAACTCATATTCTCTATGGGTGGTATTGTCGATTTGATTGATTTCACCGATTACCAGATACTGTCCATGGCTGGGTTTCCCTCTCTACGGAAACATACTCTTATCCGCGGAGGCGACAAGCGATACGACCACATCAAGAGCTCGAAACGCCTCCTTGAAGCTCTGACCGAGTCTGGTCTGGCTGCGCGACTGTTGGTTAATCTGGCCCAGTACCGCCAGGCTACAGTCTTCCAGATTCCCGAAGACGAAGCGCATCTCAAATACCTCTCCTCCATCATAGACGATTCGCACCAAACACTTATCCAGTATCTCGACTTTTTGTGGAGCAATCTTCAACAACCCGAATTTGACAGCATTGTGCCCTCAATACCCGAGTTAATGCAGTCCTACGGTCTTGATGTTAATTTGGCTTTCCTCATTGGTCGTGCTAGTTTGTCTCAGCGTGCTCTCCACTGGGATACGGCACAACTTGGCGCAGCTAAGGGAGTCCTAGCCCAACCTGACAAGGACACCGACTTGACAATGGAGAAGGACGGAGTAGATGGGTCAAGGACTGATGTGATTGCAGTGTTTGACCAGAATCAAGCAAGATTTGCCCAGATTGGTGCTTCACTACGGCCGGTAGCTGATGCTGTCAGGGAGAGTGCGCGTGCCGAAGTCTGGGAGAAGATTACGCCGGAACTCGCCACGACATTCTGGGCTCTGCAGCTGGCTGACATTTACTGCCCAGCTGACATCTACAAGTCCGAGGCTGACCGCCTGAAGGCGGAAGAGTCTGCACTCCTGCGTGACCGCAGCGATATGTCACGCCGAAGCCAAGAGTTGCGTACCGAGAAACGAAAGGAGCTTACTCAGCTACAAATCAACCTCCTTGAAGATCGCAAAAAGCATGTCAAGACACAGGCCAACTGGAACGAATACCTCACCAACCTGTTTCAGTCATCCTTTGTACCTACAGCCAAGGCAGATGCCATCTCCGATGCGCTCCTCCAGCAGTGCATCTTGCCACGTGTGCTTCTGTCGCCCGCCGATACCGAGTACACTTTTCGTTTCGTCAAATTGCTGCACGATAACAACGCAGCAGGGTTCAAGCTCATGTCGCTATACAACCGACTGTTCAACGCCAACCGCCTGCGAACACTAATCTTCACCTGTAGTGTTCGCGAGGCTGAGTACCTCGGTCGCTTCCTCAAGCTCATTCTGCAGGACCTCTCCAAGTGGCACAAGAATGATCCTGTGCCCGGTGCAAAGAATGCGAAAGATCAGAAGCTTCGGGGCGCATACGAGACGGAGGGCATCGGGTCTCGTGAGAACGGTCGCCGTGGGTTTGCACTCACGACGGATGACGACGGCAAGCCAGTGACATTTGTGGAGCATGCGCAATTTAGAGATTTGCTGTTTGGCTGGCACAAGAATTTGAATAGTGCACTGAAATCTTGTCTAGGCGGCAGCGAATGGATGCATATCCGAAATGCCCTCACAGTGCTGAAGTCCGTGGTCGACTTTTTCCCAGCCATCGACTTTATGGCTTCTCAGTTTTCTGCACAGCTGCAGAAAATCACGCAGCAAGAAGCCGTACCAAAAACGTCACCCGAAAACGAGCATGGAGGGCGTGTGGACTTGTCTGTTGCTGCCCAGGGTGCTCTGTCGGAGCTGCAGCGGAGAAAGTCGAAGTGGGTGCTTGTGCAAGTATTCCGTACCAATGCGGATGTCGGCGCAAAGACTACCGAGAAACCCGCTGCCTCGAATCTGCGTGCCACTGCGCTAGACTTCAAACCCAACACTGCGAAGACGACTGCGCCCAGGGCTGGAGAAGAAGAAGATGGCGAGGTTCAAGATGGAAAGCTAAAGAAGGCTGGTGCCGCGCCAGTCGGCCCCGGGAGAGACAACTTGCCGGCGAAGCCATCAAGAGGTGGCCGTGAAGCAGGAAAGGAAGAATCGTCAGCCTCGAGCCAGTCACGATCGTCGACACCCAAAACAGGCCCGAAAGGAGAAAAGGGACACACTCTTCCTGATAGGCCTAACCTGCCTACCCGCCCGGACGTGCCCATTCCTCGCTTTAACCAGTCGCGCGGCCACGAGAGACGTGATGGTAGGGAAGGCAGAGAAGGCCGCACCCAACGCGAGCCACGAGAAGGACGAGAGGGCCGCGATGACAGTCGCCCAGGCCGTAACGACCGGGAACGCCAACGAGATGGTACCAGTGGGGAGGCCCCTAAGACGAGAGAGCAAGAACGTCAACCACGTAACCCTAGAAGCGGACGTGAGAACGACGAACCAACAGCTCCATCGCCAACGCCTCAGACTGGGCAGGCAGACCCCATGATGAACCCTCAACGTGCAGCACTATTTACTCAAGAGGAGGCGGTCAAATCCCCACGCAGCAGACAGGAGTCAGAACGGCCCAAGCCTCTACGACCAGAGCAGGCTATCAACGCGGAGAATGTCAACCCGGAACGTGCGGCTCTGCTTGAGCACCGTGACGATAAATCCTCAGGACGGCCTGGTAGAAACGACGTTCGTGATCGCGATCGTGACCGAACGCCGCGAACGCAGTCACCAAGACGTGTGAGTCGCCATAGCGAGCAAGGCACTATCGGAACACCTACTGGCGTTGAGGAGAGGCCCTCTCGCACCCAAGACCACCGTTCTCAGGGGCGCAACCGGGACCGCTCACCTGGATCTATCCGAGGTGAAAAGGGCCCAGATCGCTCAGAAGCCTTTTACGGAGCTCCGCGGGGTCCTGATTCCGAGAGGCGCCACCACGCGGGCTACCAGAACCCCAACTACGGCAGACTCGAAAATGTTCCCGCTGGACCAGAAACGCCACAGGGCCCTCGGCCACGGGGTCGCGGCGCCGTTAGAGCCGCGCAAGCAACCCCTACCGGGCCAGTGGCTCAGCAGGACATTCGCGCCCCCCTGTCGGAGCACACACCAATCGCAGACCGGCAGCCACCATCGGGCCCGGCCTCTGGGCGGGGCCGGCGTGTCTACGAGGCTAACACGCCAGGACCAGCAGCACTGTTGCCGGGAAGCCAGCCTAGAAGGCAAGGACCCAACGGCGAGAATTCTGGCACCGCAAGCAGCGTTCATCCAGATCGCATGGCCACGATTGATAGCCAGTCAGCGCCGCTTCCACCTCCGCCTCCGCCCCCCGGTCCACCGCCGAGCCAGAATCGTGGCGGTGAAGCAAATATGATCCCAACAGGACCTTCGGCGTCATCTGAGAGACATCGAGGCGGTCGCCGGCAGCTAGCGGGCATCAACAATGCTCTCCAGCAGAGTGCGCAGGACAGCACCAGCCGTGGCAGCAACAGCAACAATGGTAACAGCAACAACAACCATGGCAGGTATGGGCATCCCCGGCAGATGCTGGGAGGTAACTCGGATGCGCAGGTGCTCGCGGGAGGATCGCAGCCCTTGGCGGCGCCGGTGCAAGAACACGGACGTTGGATGGACGCGCCCAGGGGCCCTTCGAATGGCGACGGCGGCGTACGAGACCAGAGTCGGGGCTACCGAGACACTAACCGTGATCGGCCAGGCCGGATTGGACGGCCTCGGAGCCACGACCGTGACGGCAAGGGCGGTGGCCACGGCGAGTTTCGCGACAGACGGTCCATGGGCGGCGAGGGCGGTGCCGGTGGCGCGGGCGAGCTACAGGGACCTCGCGGGCCGGGTGCCGGACCAGACTGGCCTGGTAATGCCAGCATCGGCAGCAACAACAACAGTCGAGGCGGCGGGGGACGTGGCGGCGGGGTGCCGAGACCGGATGATCGTCACCGCGAAGACCGTGGACGCAAAAGACGCAGCGAAGGGGAACCAGGTAACATGTCGAGTGAGCGAGGCGAGAAGCGCGTAAGAAGATGAAGCTGAAGGTGCTGGGTGGTTCAACTGGAGGGAGAAGACGATCAAGAAGATATTCGAAAAAAAGATGAAGATTTGTACAATTACGAAGAAGCGGGAAATTGGGAGCAGGAAACCAGAGAGCAAAACGAGGGTTGCTATTGATATCGATAATGTTTTGCGGCGTTGGATTGGACGACATATGCTACTATTCACTACATAAAAAAACAAGTTTCATTTCCATGTCGATATTTTTCTTTTTGTCGCGATGACTTGTCGATGTGCGAGGTGTTGGAGATGATTGCTCTGTAAGTACCTACCTATATATCAATATGGAGTCGTTAAAATGGTAGTAATACGAGTGCGCAATTACTCGCTGGTGGATGAGGCTTGGCGCCAACGAGGGCTCCAAAACACGTCATGGTCATGGGGCCGATGGCGCTAAAAGACCACGACAGCGAGAAACGGGCACAGCCACCAAGAGATATGGGCTGAAACTAGTAGGTGCCTACCTACCGATGTGCCCTTCCTTTTTTAGTTAACTAGTGTCTGCCTTGAGGTGGGTGATAACGGTGCCGTGTTGCCGGCTAGCGACAGAGAGGGTGGCGTCAGCAGCCGAGGCTGAGGGCGCAGAGTAACAAAGTAATAATAAACCTTTTTGGTTTGCTCTTGTCTGTTGCCCTTGCAAAGGCGCTCGCTCTCACCAATGTACAGGGCGCTTCCAAGAGCCCTGGTTACTACTAACTAGGTAGGTACCTACCTAGGTAGGTAGGTAGGTACATACTAAAGACTACGTGGCTGCCCTGTCAAACGCGTTATTGCCGAGCAAGCCCACCAAACCCACCAAGACATGAAGCTTGAAGGCTGCCAAGTCTTCTTGGCGGACAGGTCCCTCGGAGATTTGCTTACCGGCCCGTCTTGTCGGTTCCGTTGCGAAGATGAATAATCACAAGGAAACCGAGGGAGGGCAGACAAAAAAAAAGGTTTATGTACTGTGCAGGTTTGTTCCCTTGTTTGATGGCATTGTGAGACGGCAATGCATAGTGGGAGGTGTCGCGATGTGGCTGTGCGTCATCATGTACTGTTTGGGGTCCCTGCCGAGACAATGCAAAGGTTGAAGCTGGGCGGGAGGGACGGGTGAGAGCTGGTGGGGGTCCCGTACAGGGACAAGCTGCCACGGAATCAACGGGCTGGTTGGCGGAGGCAGGGCAGACTGGCGGCTTTTTCTAGTGCATTTTTAGCACGGATTACAGGTACCTAGGTACATAGGTAGGTGGACACTAGAACCACTGCATTTACAGGCATTCAAGGCTGGCTCTGTCAGGTATCAGCGCACGTCAAATAGGTGCTCTAGGTACCTCCCTGCTCTCCGCTCTCCGCCAACTTTTCTTCATCATCTCACCGTCCTGACCAATATACACATTCCCTTTGTCCCCTCCTCTCTTCTTTCTCGTCTTTCTATTGCCCTCGTCTCATAACCATCGTACAACTATCGCATAGCATCGCATCGCACTATCACGCCCCACGCCTAATGTCCCCCAACGCCATCCCTCTACTCAACACCGCCTCCCTTCTGACCGTCGCCACCACCACCCCATCGCCAAGTCGCGGCTTCCCGTTTCCGCCCAAATCTCTTGGCCGCCGCAGTACGGCACTCACCAACTAAAGAACCACCTAGCCGCTCGAAACTCGCACTCGTCCATCCAGCCCTCTGCGCAGTCCAACTGGGCCAACGATCACTCCGCCGACGACGACCCAAGGTGGGGGAGCGACGGCCAAAGCACGCCTGCACCGAAACTCTACTCTCGCACTCTGCCAAACGGCTTCTCGCCTAACACTAGCAACGTCACCGCCAAATAGCTCTGACCGTTGTTCCACGACGAACTTGTCCCCCGATAGGGCTCTGACCGCCCCTCGAGTGAGCCGCTGTCGACTGCGCTTCTTTCGCCGCCGCCGACCACAACTACGACCTCTTCGCACATTGTCGACAAGTACACGCTCCAGCTCCTGCTTGTGGCTTCCCACCTAGCCTTTCCCCGACAAGATGAATCTGACGTGTAATAACACGTTGGAGCATCTGACGAGTGCGCAGTCCCCTCCCCTCGCCCGCGCATCCATGGCAAGCTAACACCCCTCCAAGTCGAACCCGGCGCCGAAATCGAAATCGTCGGTCACCTCACCTTTCACGAGCTCGCTCGCATCATCGGCGCAGCATGCACTCTCATTGCTGTCCTCCTCAGCGTCTACCTTGCCTGGATGCACGCCCTCCACTACACCAAACCCCGTGAGCAGCGATAGTAAGCCACAGCCCTTCGCCCTGCGCTCTCGACCCCAAGCTAACATCTCGCAGCATCATCCGCATCCTCTTCATGGTCCCCGTTTACGCCATCTCCTCGTTCCTTCAGATTCAGTGGTATCGACATGCCATCTACTTTCAGGTCATCTCGGATTGCTACGAGGCCGTTGCCATTGCTTCCTTCTTTGCCCTGCTTTGTCACTATGTCGCCCCGGATCTGCACTCCCAAAAGGACTTTTTCCGCCAAATGCGCCCCGTCAAGCCCTGGATCTTGCCCGTCAACTGGTTTGCCGCCTGCTGCGGCGGCCAGCGTGGTCCCTGGCGCACCCCCAAGAGCGGGCTTACTTGGTTCAATATTAACTGGATCGGTGTCTACCACTACTGTTTTGTCCGTGTCGCCATGACCATTTCCGCCGTCGTTTCTCAGTACTTTGAAAAGTACTGCGAGAGCTCCAACAGCCCCGTCTTCGGTCACATTTGGGTATGCAACGTTGAAGCTCATGGTACACTGCCCACACTAACGAGCTCTGGCTAGATCATTGTGCTCAACGCACTCGCCGTCACCATCGCCATGTTCTGTCTAATTCAGGTCTATGTTCAGCTCAAGGACCCCCTTAAGTCACAGAAGCTTCTCATCAAAATCATCGCCATCAAGCTCGTCGTCTTCCTGTCCTTCTGGCAGGCCTCTGCCATTTCCGTTGGTACCTCGACTCTGAACATTGTCCATGCCAACAAAGTGCTTGCCTACCCCGATATTAAGGTCGGTATCCCTGCGCTCTTGCTTTGTGTCGAAATGGCTGCATTTGCTTTGCTTCATCTGTGGGCTTTCCCCTACAAGCCCTACACGCAATACGGTGCCACGCCTCGCTACTATCCCAGCGCCGATTTACAAAAGGGCGGCAACGGCATCCCCAACGAGCTCGAGAGCCCCCAGGGCGGCGTTATGGGATTTGCGGCCCTGTGGGACGCCATGAATGTTTGGGACGTTATTAAAGCGTTTGGCCGCGGTATTCGCTGGCTCTTCTGTGGCGTTCGCCGCCGTAAAGAAGATATCAGTTACCGCCATCAAGACACCCACGACATGGATAATCTCGATGAGCGCAAGCGCGGCGCATCTTCCTACGATGCTTACCGCCCCGGCGCCACCACGGAAACGCAGCCCGTCGGTATGAGCCTATACCATAGCGAGAACTCTTCCGGCAGTGCGCCACCCCGTCCTCCCCGCGAAGGAGATATTGGCGTTGCCGTTGTAGGTGAGGAGAGCGCCGGTCTGATGCAACATGCTCAGACCAACCCACATTCCCGGCCCTTTGGAGGCGACTCGCGAAACAGCTCGCCCCCCCGCACTCAAGTCCACGAGCCGTATCTTCAGCCATACGAGGGCGCTCAACGCTACAACAACAGCCCGCGGCCTCAAGAGCACCCGTATGCCCAGCGGCCCAGTGGACAGCCCACACCTTGGCAACAAGACCCCTACGCCTCACAGCAGCAACAGCAGCGCTATCACCAGGGTGAGGAGCATGGCGTCATTGGCCAGGCCATCTGGGAGCCTCCCCACCAGACGCGTTGAATGCAACACTAACTAACATGTACATGTGTGGCATCTACGCTGTTGTAATTTCTGTTTTGATTCTTAGCGACTTGTTTTGGGTGGTTTTTATGACGATATTTTTATTCTTTTCAGCTTTATCTCTCATGATGACATTCTTTTTTTTTGGGCATATTTTCTTCTTGGCATGACTGGAACGTCAAAGAAAGAAAAGTCGAGTTGTTTTTGGTCACCAAATGCACCATCTTGGGGAAGCATTGGCACATGTCCTGAGTTGAGCGTTTGTGTATGGCAAGTTGAGGCGAGAGAGTAGTATACCCCCGGTGGAGAAGACTACAAGTAGTAGCATTATTAGCTGCATGAGCGCGAGCTAGAGTAGAAGATGAATATGAAATTCATTCCATCATTGACGTCGAAATGCGTATCTCGTGTTTGCCGATTTGCGCACCATATGGGTCAAACGATGCCTGTCTCAACTCTGAGACTACAAGTCGTGGGCATGCACTGCGCACTCTAAGAGCAAATCACAGTCGGCAGGTCTGAGTTTTCGTGATAGTAACGTGCGTTGAAAATTTCTTTTCTCATCTTCCTTTCCTTGCAAGACTTTGCTCTACGTTCCCGCCGGAGACGGTAAGCTCTGGCCTGCCGAGTCGGCGGTCCGGAGCATGGAGAAGAAGTCGATCGCCCGCTGGAATTGCGCACCCATTGGTAGGTTGGAGAATTGTATGGGAGGAGTTCTCCCTGGATAATAGCCAAGAAGCGTTGACATGCCAAGGGATCGGCTGAGCATCTGCAAGTTTTACCAAGCCACATCGTTGGAGGGACCTAGGGCTGAACTCACAAGGGGTAATAAGAAATCAGAAAAATAAAAATGACTCGCGCCCAAAACAAGCGGTAGCTTTTTAAGGGGGCTTTTTATAGAAAAATAGACCTAGAGTTTCTGGAAAAAAAAAACTGGTCTCGCACGTAGCCCCGGCCCGGTCCGAGTTTCCGTGTGGGGAAACGGATGCCCGCGCCGCAAATGGGCCCGGCGACAGCCGCCGAACTGTAGCATCGGCATTCGAAACACACTACCTTGGCTCTATGTTAGCAGGCTGCACCAGAATTTCCCAAAACGTACTGTCTGTATGCTCGCACCCCAGAACGTGAACAGAGAGCGCGGTGCTGGAAATGGCCGGGCTCGACGGGCTCAAAGAACGGCAGGCCGGCCATCGAAGCGTTCCGGACCCAGCGACAAGCTGCGGATGCTGTCCACGGGCGCCGCGGCTGACTACGCGAGCTTGCGGCTGCGCGGTCGACGCGCCGGGCGAAAAGGTGGCGGCAGGTCTGGAACCTGTTTCTCGGCGGGACGGAGCGCACAGAGCTACGTCTGTTTGGCGACGTTGAGCTCGACGGTGTCGATATGGGTATCGTTGCTCTGCACACTAGAGAAAACGAAAGTGACCAGAAGAAAACACAAACAGATGACAAGGTGCGCGGCTCCGTGTAAAGGCAAGATACCTGGAAAGGAAGATGGATGGGAGGGTAGGCGGATGTGAGCTTGCACGGGCGATTCTCATATATATACGACTTTTCAGTTTCCGAAATGGAAGCAACATATTTGACATGGTTGTACTTTGCATCGTGAGCGTCTTGACGACGGCGCCGAGTGTCCATTGGTAGACTGCGGCGAAGCTCAGTATGCTCTCGGCATGTACTCGGAATCGATTCCAACTCCCTGGCGTCGCTTGTGCAAGAACCGGCAAGGTAGCTAGCTGCTTCAGCGCAACGTCGCGCCGCAGGTCAGCAAAGGGTTGTGTGAAAAGAGACAAATGATCCATCAAGGGCGAGGAGACGGGCCATGAAAGAACTGTCATGTAACGCCATTCTCGTATTTTTTGGCAGGCTTCGATGGTGGCGGCACCGATGAATGGGCAGCCATGACGGGCGACCAATCACCAGAGGCAGAAGGGGGGGTGGGTGCGCCAAGATCTCGTGTTGAGCAGCAGCAGGTTCGATTTGGTGGGTGGCATGACCGGTTTATGTATGCATGCGCCGGGGAGGCTGACACTGGCTGGGTCGGAAGCTGTTCGTATCTCTTTGGAAAGACGGGGAACCATGGCAGGCAAGGGACGTTGGAGCGTGGAACATGGTCGTTGAGCGAGAGCGTGCATGATCCATACCCGTTTGATGGCTTGTGGGAGTTTAGCCGTTGCATGCAGAATGTGTTAAAGCCAAAAAGTACACTCAAGTAAGACATTTCTAGTACGGGCCGCTTCCCGTTGACGATGCCGGCCTTGGGTGGTGTGGGTGGCCGGCTTTGGACAACCGCTTTGGGGCCTTTTAACGAGCCTATCCCGCATCTTGTTATTCTGCCTCTTGTATTTTGATTCTCCAAACTGCCTATTTGGCCGGGAGAGCCTATGTAGCTGGATTATAAGTCGGGACGATTCAAAGACCTTGATGGGCAGCTATGCTCCCCTTTGGATACTGCACGAGAGGCTTCGGGTTGAGAAGCGGACCAGTGGCTAGTACCAGGACGAACTAGGAGAAACAGTACTGGGGTTAATTGCCAGATCTTAAGGAGGGCTCTCTTCTACACATGGCCACTCGAAGCGATCGTGTCCAGTCTCCCAGCACCTGCAGCCCCGATGGGGGTTCTGACGTATGGCTCGACACTTATTATGCTGTGATCCTGTTTCACTCAGATTTTTAGATGAAATGGCGGGCGGCGGAGAGGAGACTAGTAGTAGGGGCATTGAAAAAGACATAGAGCCGTATTCCGTGCCATACAGATGATATGATGGTGAGTGGTTGTGCCATGTATACTCTAAACAGCGGCCGCGATGATACTCTGTCGCGCTACTGGATATCACGAGCAGCTTAGAATGACAACGGCTAGCTATCTGACCGTTGACGGATATCTGTGCCATTGAAACAATAGCAGTGACTTACTTGGTTGGTTCGCTCCCCAACATGATGCAGACGGCATCCGAGACTCGATCTGCATAGCATGTACGGCATCGGCTTCCAACAATGGAAAGGCCGCTCGCCTTCGTCTTATAGTTACCTAGTGTGGCAAACAAGCGCCACGCCGTAGAGTATCGGCCAGCACCATGTTTCCGACGTGGCGAGACTAGACCAGACCGGGCAGTTGACGCCATGGGCCAGGGGCATGCGACGCTAGGAGCTGCAGGCCGTGAGGGGTTTGTGCAAGACGGTCAACGGGAATATTTCCAGTTATAGGTGCTGGTGCCAGGCCGGTCTTGGTTTGGAGAGTGGTGTGGGCGGCTGCGTGGTGAGGCAAGACGACGACCAGGCCGAGGCATGGCTCTACGAGCGTAGCGCCACAGTCCGTAGCGGACTGTGAAGATGGGTTCAAATGGTTTCTGTCGATGCAGCAGATAATAATTGGTTTACTGGAGAGTGATTGCGGTCCATGGTCAATATAGTGGTTGCTGGCTTGCTGTGATGCAGACAGGGAGGAGGGGGTTGATTTGCATCAGTCGTCACATGGAACACCTCTTTATTCAAATTGATGGATGCCGCGATCTGCGTCCCCCAGGTTGGCGCAGGAATGCTTCATGTACGTGTTTGGGAGGGGGTCATGCATTATGTGTGTATTGATATGGGGGGGCGCGGAGAGGGGGAGTGGAGGGCAGGGCTCTGAAGCTCGCTTGCATGTGGATTGCGGTGTGAAGAAGGAACGGCAGATGGTGAAAAGGGATAACTAGTTGGCGATGGTAAACTGATGAACAAAGACCGATATGAAAGAGGAGACCGGGCTAGTTAACTTGGTTACTGGCGTGTGGTAAGCGGAGGTTGAGTTGAGCTCGGAGCAGCAGTGGCCCGAGAGCATTGGCATCATTGGCATCATTGGCATCCCAAGTGGAGGCCAGGGAGCCTCGACGGCCTCTCCGCTTTTCTCATCGGGATTTGCTCATCGTGGGCTGGTTTGTTGGCGAGTTGCAAGGATGGCAAGGATGACAAGGGTGGCAAGGATGGGCTTGAAGGGCTGACGAGTTGTGGCACCATGGGATGAGTTGATGGTGAGGGTATGTACTGTAATGTCCTTATCCACGCGTATCGGTAGATGAAAATATGCACAGTGGAGAGGGTGGATGGAGGAGTGGTTGTTGTGGTGCTGGACGTGACTGGTGGTACGATGACTTTGAGATTAGGGTGGTGCGGCGAGTTCAAGTGATATATCTATGTAGCTACCACTCGGCGATTCAAAACGCGTGAAATGAATGCCTTTTTACAATTTTTTCACCCCTTGCTTCTTTTTCCCCCATCTGTTGGCGATAACAGACTGGGTTGAGAGTACCGGATACATGGAAGCGAGGCTCTAGGAGGTTAGTACCGTTAGTACCTGTTAGAGTCTCCAGTGACGCGCCCCGACTGGCCGACAGCTCACTGTAGAGACCACTGAGCGGAGCCACCACGTCTGAGCACGGCAGTCGGACGGCGCGGAATGCATGCTGCATATTTGTGCAGCAAGTGCAGGTAAACAGACCAGGGGTTGCATAGAGTGCCGTGGAAATGAAGAGATGTGCTTTTATATTGAACTCATCTCACAAATCACATTGCATAAGCTTCTGAAAACGAATAGGGAGAACAAGGAAACAATACAAATACGCGCTCTGATCGTGTCCATATTAGAGTTTGGGGCAGCTAATATCAGGCACGAACAAGGGGGCTCGCTATTGGAGCCAAGTACCAGGTACCTCCTCCGTACCAAGACACCAAGACGACTATCAGCACATTGTCCGGCCGAGAAAACCAAGGCAGCGTCACGGACGATCCACATGGGGCCGGTTTTTTTATCACGGTACCGAGGATTTAGGTGGTGTTATTGGTGTTTTTGGGGCACGTTTCTTCCTTGCTCTAGATAGTTACCTACATAGCTGCTCGCTTGCATCTTCGCTTGGTGGACTCTGTATATCCGGTCGCTGTAATAGCAGTCTTGGGCGCATCGTCGTAGCGCCCAGCCAGCAACAACTATACTGTTGGCATACTCCCATTGTCAAGGTGCCTCTCGATTCTTTGTTCAAGTAGTAGAATATTTCCATCTTTCTAGTATTACATTACCTAGTCATAACCTCTGTAGCCATGGCAATGTCGTCTCGGAATTTTACAGCGCCTTCCTTCCTTGTGCTCCGTCTCCTAATCCTCCTAATCCCCTGGTAACCTACCTACCTAACTAGTATAGTTAGTGCCTGCCCAGCAGCTCCGCAGGGCACATCCTTCCCAAACCTTTGCTCAGCCCATCCACCCAAATCGTCCACCCATCCATCCCATTCACCCAAAATCCTGTTCTTCTCATTCTCACCAACCACCATCACAAAAAAAAAAGAGAGGTCTGCTTCTGCTGTCCTCGTCACCCCTCTCACCCCCCTCCATCTATCCCTCTTCGACTCTCGGGACGTCTTCAACACTCACGGTCTGGTCCTCGGCGTAGGCTGCACCTTTTGCCGCCAAATCAGTACCCGTTGCCTCGTGCACCGCAACGACGACATCGCGACCATCCAGCATTCCAGTACCGCCAGATTGCATCTGCCCAATTGCCTCGCTATTACAACGAGAAATTCCCCTCGTTTGGGCCCTTACTCCCCCCCCCGCACCGCGTGTCTTGCCCCAACCTAGCCGCTTTCCCAAGCGATAACAAAACAACGGCCTCGCTCGTCGAATCGTCGTCTTGATCCGCCATCAAACCCTGAGCCCTTTTGGCCATCTGCCATCCTCGATTCATCGGACGCTGTTCCCGATTGCTTGTGCAACCCGAGCGTACTTCTCGCTTACAAGTCTCTCTTCGTCGATTCTTGCGCCTGCTCACGATCGCTTCTCGCCACGGGTCCCTCCCCGCTCTCGCTCGCCCGTTTCAGCAGCCTCCGTCATCCCATTTTACCATAATTGTAATGGCCCAAGCCTGTTGATAACGCTTCGAATTCAGCCTCGTCTCGCATTAGCATTGTTTTCTCCCCCCCGAAATCTTCATCATGCCCGTTTCCACAAAAACCGCGGGTCTTTTCTTGGCCTTTTCGGCCCTGGGCCGTTATGCCGCTGCCCTAGACGTCAACATCTGTGCCGACTACAACACGGCGTCTGGCAACACAAGTATGTCCAATAACCCCCGCGGCACCAATAACAAGCCCTTGCCCGTACCGTATCGCTAACTCGCCTCTCTAGACACGTCAAATCTTCAAAGTAACGGCCTTTGCTCCGACTTTTGCCGCGGCAGCTCCGTCTTTGCCATCACCTCGCACGAGAACTGCTGGTGCTCCAACTACGCACCTGCCAAGGGCAATACTCTGGATACCAAAGATTGCAATTTTCCCTGTCTTGGCTACCCCTTCGAATACTGTGGCGGCAAAGCAAACGACGTCTACGGTTATCTGAGTCTCGGTCCACAGCCATCTGGCACCAAGGGCTCCGCGGATGGCAGCTCCTCCGCCACCTCGACCACGCCCTCTTCATCCTCGTCGTCTTCCAAATCCGTAAGTCACCTATTGTCTCCTGGCCTGTCATAAAATGTACCCAAATCCCCCGTTCCCCGTCTTTTCTATCCCCACGGCGTCTAATTTGAGGCGCTCGCTCGTGATTCGTTCTCATCATCTCAAACGCGTATTCTCAGGCCTGGACCACGAGTTGGTATTGGCAGGGGTAGTAACCAAAGAGTCCAGGCATCAACAACAACGCCATCCTCAAGTACTTATTCGTCTCCGTCCACAACGCAGTCGACTCCATCTGTATGACGATCCCTACCACGATTTCCTTTGTCCTATCCGCGAGTACCCCCAACTGCCAAGCCTCGATGCTTGCCGATTCCCAAGACGTCATGGAAGACACATGTATACGTCAAGCGATGATATACCACCCGACGGCACATGGCAGCTGGCGACCAACTCGCTGTGCTGCCATATCAAGCCAGTGAATTGTGCGAATCACTTGATGCATGCACATGTTTGAAGCGTCAAGTGACCACGTGTCGCACACAGAGTCTTGTGCTTGGCATTCCGCGCAGACTATATTCATTCATCTAGAACTCAATTGCTTGTGACAATGTGCTGACAACTACCTATGCAGACGGAACCACACTCGAGCAGTATTCTCTCAACCGTCACGGTCGGCGGTAAGGTGACGACTGTCATTGTAGTGCCTACTGCTACTGGAGACACTAGTCAAGAGAACAAGGCCGTGCCTGCTGGCAGCTCAGGCCTCGGTGGTGGTGCTATTGCTGGCATTGTCGTGGGTGCCCTCGCTGGAATTGCCCTCGTCGGCCTACTCATCTGGTTCGTGCTGCGTCGCCGCAAGCAAAACGCCGATGACGAGTTCAGGGACGATCCTAGTGTGCGCGGCAGCTCTCGCGGCCGACTGGGCTCTCACCAACATGATTTGAGTATAGCGGGCTCGGCTGCTTCTCCGGGCTCCGCCGGCAACCGTAGCAGCATGTTGCAGGTGGACCCTCGCATGGACCCGTTTAAGCAAGGCTTGTACATGCGGAATGGCAGCGTTGAGAGCATTAATACGCTACGAGACGACCACGATTATTCAAGACGCATCCAGCAGCCCAAGGTTCTGAGAGCGATGAACCCGGACCCCTGAGTCTGGGCGCCGCGCTCTCTACGATGGGCGGTGCTCACGCATTGCCACAAACTTTGCACATGTGCAAAGACTGTTGATTTCACCCTTGGACATGATTAGAGGGGACCTACCATGACGACGTACACGATTTCGATTCAGTGGTCTCTGGACCGTTTACATACACTTTGAGGAGGTGAAGACATGTACGTTGATTTGGATACGGTGGCTGCCAGCTCTGCACACGTGCCCCGCGGCATTTGACAGTGCCTTTGCTGAGCTCGGAGAGGGGTGCATTTTTGAATAGAGGAGGAACCACGGGATGGCTCATCTGTCGGCCGATCCGCTCGACCATGCGAAGTCGCTGGCTTTGATGGGGGAGAGTCGGCCACTTACAACATGGACACAGCGTGTGCTTGTACTTGAAACTGTTTTTGTTTTTTTCTTGTTATTGCATTGAGAGCCTCGGACATTTCAAAGCAAGAGGACTCGCCCAGCGACTGGGACATGTTATTTGGACCCATTTTTGGTCTACAAGTATGGTTATTTGTTTGGCATTTTTGGTCTCTTTTTTTTCCCGCTTTCCCCGGTTGGCAATTCAATTTTGTATATAGGGAGAAGAGAATTGCCAGGGCCACGGGAGGTGACTGGACAAGGGACAGGAGGAAAATATAATTCTGTGTGGTATTTGATAGCGAAATACAGTACATTGCACATGACTTGCCGCGGTTGCTAGATTGGTTTCTTTGAATGCAATGGCCATGATTATCAGCCACAAAGGCATCCACGACCACGCAGCTATTATCGAGCGTCAGTTCAACGCCGACAGGTCCGAAGAACAAATAAAATGCAGAATCATGCTTGGACAATAATCCAGTGGACCAATGGTTAGAGAGGGAGCAATTGTCGCCTGGCCTCGCTAGTTACAGCGATGGCCGCCCACGTGCAGACAAGGAGACGGCGCCGTTGGCCGTGTGGATTTGTCTCTCTTGTGCAGCGACAAGGGGGGCGTGAATCAAGCTGCATGTTGCTTCTAACCCGAAATCGTCAACACCAACCTCGTGGTAGAAATATACAAGGCTCAAGTGCCGTTGCGTATAACGGATACCTTGTTCTCGAACAAGTCGACCGGCGGGTTCAACTTGCGACGGCGGAGTCGCCCCGTTGATCGCCATCTGTTTGTTGCGCGCGAAGGGGCGAACCACGCCTTCCTCACGACCATGAGGTCGCATTCAAATAGCCGCCCCTTTCCGGGCCCTCCTTCCCGGTCATCCTCCTTTTCATCCTCGCCATCCCCGCCATCCTCGCCGCTCCTCGGCAAACCGCTCCCTTCTTCGCCTCCTCGCCGCCGCGCACGAACGTGCCATCTGTGCTGGCTCATCCTCATCGGCGCCACCATACTCGCCACCATGCTGCTCCTCCGCACCCTGCTCCTCCTGACTGCGCCATGCGCCGTCCTGGGCGGCTGCTACCGCGGCTTCCACAGCACCTTTAGCTTCGACGCCGCCGCGGCGCGCCACCCGTCCTGGATGGCGGCGCTGCGCAACGACACGCGCCTCACGAGCCTCAGCGTGCCCGGCACGCACGACACCATGACGTATGCCATTGGCAGCGACGTGCTGCAGTGCCAAAACGTGAACCTGACGGTGCAGCTGGCCGCCGGCCTGCGCTACTTTGACGTGCGCGCGCGCCTGCGCGACGACGCCCTGCGCATCTACCACGGCGACGGCGACACGGGCTTTTCCTACCAGGACGTGCTGCTCGAGCTGTTTGGCTTCCTGGCGGACAACCCGTCGGAAACCATCATCATGCGGCTCAAGCAGGAGGGCGGCCCGCTCGGGAGTCACAACTCGCTCACGTTTGAGCAGGCCGTCAACTACTACCGCCACAACTCGAGCATCACCGCCAAGCTGGCCGGCCGCCACATGCACGAATGGGACCCGGCCGCGCCGCTGCCCACCCTCGGCGACCTGCGCTCCAAGATCCTGGTGCTGCAAAACTTCCCCGCCGACAACGGCGGCCCCGCCAACAAGTACGGCATCGCCTGGGAAGGCGACCAGATGGTGCTCGAGGACGTCTGGATCGTCCCCGACGTGCAGCACCTGCCGGACAAGTGGACCGCGATCCGCGACGCCCTCACCAGGGCGGCGGCCGACGTCCAGGACAACAAGGCGCTGTACCTGGCCCACGTCTCGGCCAGCGTCGGCGTGCTACCAATCGAGGCGGCCGCCGGGCCCAAGAATAGGACCGTCGTGGGCATGAATGACGAGACGGGCCGCTGGCTCGAGGCCAGTGGTGGGAGTGGCGGCCGCACGGGGGTGGTTATTCTTGACTTTCCGGGCAAGAGAGTCATTGAGGCTGTCCTGGCGCGCAACGACGTCTACAAAGCTTGAAACACATAAGATGCATTGTTTTTTTTTATTCTTTGCGAATACAAAATGGAAGCGTACATATGCAGGTTGTAAATGGGTAGATGGCTGCCTTGGGCGTGTTACTGAGTAAGAGCCAAGACAGCCAATTATGAAGACTTGTATTTTCCATTCTATTCTTGACTAGAGGAGGCGTGGGCTTCTTTCTTTCTTCTCTGCCCCAAAAGAAAACATGGCAAATCCATGCACAGCACCCCGTCAAGTTTGACCACGGCCTTGTCTAGGCCAGAAGCTGGGCATCCGCGCACCGGACCACGCCGTCAAAGTTGCTCGCCACCTCGTTCTTCTGCTTCTCTTCAAAAGCACACTGCGCGACCACGCGCCGGCACTCGTCCTCGGGCACGCCGTACTTGTTGGGCCCGGCGGCCGTGGAGCAGAGCTTGTCCTCGTCGGCCCGCGGACCACCACCCGGCTGCTCCGGCGTCGCGGGTGGTGCTGCGGCGGCCCCCCCCTCGAGATGCTGGTTGATGAAGCCGAGGTAGCTGCTGACGCGGGTGTAGAGCATAGGCGCGTTGCTGCACATGAGCTTCTCTGCGTCCGGGATGCCCCACGAGGCGACGCCGACGACGAGTCCCGTGTCCTGCTCCATCAGCGGGCTGCCGCTGTCGTACCGGCACGCGTTCTTGCCGTCGCCGCCCGCGCACACCAGCGTCTGTCTGCCCTGGACGCCCGCGTCGAGCTTGTCGCACACACTGCGGTCGTGGATCGGGAGCGTCACCCGGGCCATGCGCTCGGCTGCATCGCCCCCGAGTCTGAATGTGGGTTTTTGCGTGCCCCTAATAGTGGTTTCCTTCCTGTCAGCATATCCTCCAATCACCGAGCAAAGAAGCGTGGCTCTTCTTTTCTTTCCCATAGTTGACACGTACCAGCCTGCGAGCACAGCCATGGAACCGGGCACGGCATCTGAGCCTTCTTCTGGGAGGGTAGCATAGCGAATGTTGTCGCCCGTCTCAATCGCGCTGGCTAGTTTGATGATGCCAATGTCGTTGTTGTAATAGGGCTCTTTTGGTTTTTTGTGGTTCGTAATGTACTCGGGGTGGTATGCCTTGGATGCGATCTTGGCCTCGACACCGCCTGCCCGGTGTTGCTATATAGACCCGGGTTGGCTTTTTTGCCCTGCTTTGCTTGGAAGGGGGTGGGACTTACCACCGATCCCGCCCTGACAGAGACAACTCCTTGGAGGCAGTGGGCAGCAGTAAGCACAGTCTTGCTGTCGAGCAAAGCACCGCCGCAGATACCGTTGGTGCCGGTGATGCTAACGACGGAGGGAAACTCGCCCTCCTTGGCATCCTCGCCGCCGACAACTCGCCTGTCAATGGTGGCCGCCGCGGCTGAATAAGCCGACAGCGCCACGGTCAGTGTAACGGCAGCCTGGTGCATCATGATGGCTATAGTGAATCAGGTATCGTTGAGGAATTGGTGGTTTGTGTGTAGAGGAGGGATCCAATGAGATTGTTGGAAGAGGATTGTGAAGAAGACGGCTCAATAGGGCAGAGAATTGTCTACTTTATATACTTGTCGCGACGCCCCTATCTACCACATGATAGTTGACAACGAGAGAAGATGACGAGGCAGCCAAGGATTCATGACTATTGCAAGGATAACACACGATTCACGATGGGAGGCACATTGGTCTAGGTCCGTCTCAAGGGATCATGTTCATGCATTTGACGGGAGATGATGTGTGGACTCACTTGACCCCGAGGATTCCGCTGCCGGGACGTATCTCGGCCAAATTGCTGCGTGTTGCTTTAGTTATCCATTGTCAATCCGAGTAAGGAATTCATGACTCGCCAAGCCACAAGAAAATGGAATAAGATTGCCATTGTATAGGGCCCGTTGAATAGGAACAACGATGAAGATGACAAAAGAGTCAGCCAAAAAAAAAAAAAACCCCTGTCGATATCTGCTGGCAGCCCAGTAGAAGAAGAGTCTTTGGCTATTGTTCTCCAAACGCCAAAGTCGTTGACGACCAAAATACAACCTTTAGAATTTAGCCGCGAAATCGGACTGAAAACACCCGGGCTCATATTTCGACATCAACGCAGAAGCCAGCCGGCTCTCCCCTCTCTATCTCTCTCCCCGCAGAAAATAAGAAAACTGCCGCGGCCCATGACGCGTGCGGTTTATTTTCTTTTCTTTTATGCGTTGCCTGTTTGGCATGATCCCAGCCAAATTGCAAAGGCAAGCATAGCCACACCACCTGACTCGACCTCTGGCGGGATACCGAAGAGTCTTTATATTCCTCCCTGTTGGTCCCAATATCAGAGACCACCTATTCAAGTACTGCTGGGGGGGGGCGTTTGCGACGCGGATAACTTATGCGTGATACTGGGCCCATGGCTTTCTGGCTCCATGTGTGTAAAAGTCCCTCCGACAAGTCCATCACCTTAATTACCCATCATTCTTTAGGACCAGTAGACGGGAGGAAGATGCCAATCAACTATCTTTTCGCTTGGTCTGTCAAGGTAAAACTTGATCCGTGATGTGTCGCTCTTCCATTGCAATCAGAAAACATCATTACTGTTCATGAACCATCACATATTGCCACAAATAACACATTCCAACTGGCTAATAATATTTATTGTGTACTAGAATAACCTCAGAAACGAAGCAAAAAAAAAAGAAATTATATACTCCAATAAATTTTTCAACGTCCTCTTAGACTCAAACCCAAGATCCGTCTCGCTTTCCCGATATCCCATGCACGTCATTCTTTACAATCTTGACAAGAGACATGAAACATTGCATAACATTGGCAGCAAAAATCCATTGAAAAAGCGCCTCGTCAACCCATAACCGAAGAAACCCCAAGATCCAGAAATGGCCAAAATGCAGCAACACACAAACAACGCCAAGCTAAATATCATAACATAAATAAAAACACATGGGTTCTCACCCCGACTCATACCCTAGGAGACTGTGACTCCTTGCGCTCCGGGCTCCCGTCACGGCTTTCAATAGAGTCCACCATCTGCAGCACCCTCGACTTGGCGCGCGCGCGCTCCAGCGTCACCGCCTCGGCCGTGCCATACACGGCCGTCGACGAGGGTCGCTGCCCATCGCCATCAGTTGAGTGACTCCTGCGCGGCTCCGCGAACCGCTCCCGCAGCAGGCCCGGCTCCGCCAGCGCGCCCTGTCGGCTCATGCGCAGCATCGTCTCACGGTCGAAATCGTCGTGCTCGCCCGAGCGCTTTCCGTATGTCACGGGCGTGAGGCTTCGCAGCGAGGGCGTGATAAACGGCGACATTTGGCTGCCGCCCACGTGCGTCTCGTCCGGGGGCCCTAGCACCACCGTCTGCGGCGCCGGTAGGTTCTGCGAGTGTGCGCCAGAAGATTGGCTCGACAGCTGGCTCACAGAGTCGAGCACCTCGGCGGTGTGCGGCTCGTGAATGCGCGGCGGGTCGAGCACCAGCGCACTAGGCTTGGCCTTGCTCTTGTTGATGGCCAGCGGCGCTGGCGTGTCGTCCTCGTCGTCATCGTTGTTATCGTTGTCGGCGGCATTGACCACCCGCAGCCGCTCTTTGGGTACTGTGAACATGACCTGCACCATCCGCCGCTCCACGGCGCGCTCAATGTCCCAGTCGTTTTCGACCTCGGCGGCCGCACCGCTCACGCGACGTTTGCTGCCGCCGAGATCGGCCTCGTCTTGGTCGCCCTGCGGAGGGTCGCTCACGTTCCAGTCGCGGCGGCCCTGCTTCCTACGCAGAATCTCACCGCTGACGCCGGCGAGCGGTGCCTCGTAGTCGGCGCTCACACGCTCCAGGGACGGCCGGCGTGGACTCTCCTCGCGCATCGACGACCCTGGCGACGGCGACTCGGACCCGGAAAAGACGCGGCGCAGAGAACCCAGCCACGTGCGCCGAGGCTTGTTCTTCGAGGGTGACCCTGGGACGGGGATGTGGTCGTAGTCGTCGTAGCTGCTACCGTGGAGCAGGCTCGGCGCCTCGGCCTGGAGGGTGCCAAAGCCAGACTTGGCCGTCCGGTAGCTGCCCGATGAGGAGCTGGCGGTCTTCTTATGGTACACACCAGCGCCTGCGAGCAAGCTATCCGCGGCACTCCGCGTAGACTCGGAGAGATTGGAACCGCTCCGTGAGTCGTCGTCGTGATACGCCGATAGGTGGTGCCAGTCACCGCGGGTAGGTGAGCTTCGACCAGCGCGATTGCGGGCATATCTTGTGAGAAGTGCCTCGGCACCACCATCCGCTTCTGATGACCACTCCTGCACGTCGCGGTCCGGCCGTTCGGGGCTCGGCGTGCCGCGGCTAGGAATGGCATACATGGCTGCCGCACCGGCCATGGCGCCCACGCCCGCTGCCGCAGCATTGTGGGCGGTGCGCGGCGGGGTTTGGAACGGATCGGCATGCACCTCTGACGTCGGTGTTAGAATCTCTTTTTCGCGGAAGCGGTCCTCGTCCTCGTCGTCCTCCAGAATCGGGTGAATCTGGCCCGGGGGTGAGGCAAAGTTGGACATGCGTCCGTCAGACGACGGCAGGTAGGGCACATAGCCTCCACGCAGCTGGCCGCTGACGGGTTTTCTTGTAATGGGGCCTCTTTCGCCGGAGCCGCCGCTCATGGCCAGGCTCTCGTAGCCGCCTTGGGCCTTTTCGGTATGCGTCTGCTGTTTCTCAGAATGGCCGTTGTTGTTTTGGTGACCCTCTCGCTGTCCAAACCAGCCCCATTGGCCGTAGCCGGAGGGTGGCTCCATGACGTCGTCGCGGTCGTTGAAAAACTCGGCATCTTGTGCCATGGCCTGGGCGGCCTCATCTCGTTTGTGGTTCTTTCGTTGTTTACGCTGGCGAAGGCAACAGAACAGCGCAATAGCGCCGATAACAAGTAACAAGCCAAGACCAAGGCCCAAACCTAGGCCGAGGCCCAGTTTCCTGGAGCGGCTGCTCGACTCTCCACCACCCGATCCGACGCTGGGCGCGTCAGGATCACTTGGGCTCAGGGATGGTCGCTCATATTCCTGCGTCCACGCCATCGAGGTCAAGTTCAGGAATCGCGCGGTATCTGGTGTCGCTCTCTTGCTCGTCGACGCGGTATCACTCGAGTTAATTGTCCAGCCGCCATACACCATCATAATGTTCCCCGGCAGCAGAGCAGCGCCATGCCCGTATATACCGCCGCCGTCGGGCTGCGCATCCGGCACCGCCCACATCCACGAGTTGTACGTTTGGCTCATCTTGAGCACCGCGAGCTGGGGCTCCGCCGCCGTGTTGACATCGCCCACCCAGCCGCCCATGACCACGACCTCACTCCCGTCCTGGCTAAGAATCGCCGTGTGGCCGGACCGGCTCGTGACCTCGGGCACGACGTCAGCCCTTTTGCTCATGCTGCCGCTGCGAATCAGCTCCGTGTTGGCCGTCTTGCTCACAGGCTGCTTGATGTCAATGTATGACCACGCCTGTTCGGGCAGACTCCACACTGCCGCTGTGCTCATGTTGATAAAGGCCTGCTGGGTGTGCCCGCCAAGTAGGATGTACGTCGTCTTTTGTGTTATCGTACCCGAGATGTTGGTGATTGAAGGCGGCTGCGGCGTCAGCGTGAAACCAGCAAATGGCAAGCGCGGACCGGCGGTCGACGCGATAGAGGCACTGTAGTCCGTCTGCGCGTCCCCGCTGTCCGGCGTCAGACTCATCATCATCTTGGTGTAGTTGGCGCTGGCCTGCCAGGTCGTCGCATCGGTGCCCGGCGTCTCGCACATGCCGCCGTAGCTGTACAGCGTCGGTTGGTCCATAACGGGCGCGAGCTGGGCGGAAAAGGCCAGCGTGCCGCCAAGGAAGAAGGGCGCGTCGCCGGGGCTCGTGTTCTGCGCCGTGTTGTGGGTGCCACGCTTCGTCCAGGCCCCGCTGCCGACGGTGGCGCCCGCGTCCTTGCTTTCGTCAAAGGACCAGACGGCACCGGCATCGCCACCGCAGACGCCGGCGTAGACGAGAACAGAGCCGTTGGCGGTGCGGACGGCGCCAAAGGCCGTCGCAGGGTCGGCATCGGTGAGAAAGGGCAGCTGGCTGGAGAGCAACTTGGGGCCGAGGTCAGCGTTGAGCTTGTTGTTGTAATCGAAGGACAGGAACTGCACGCTGCCGTCGTCGGCCTGCTTGAACATGTACGTCTGGCCGGCGCTGTGACAGGTCGATTTGCTGAAGCAGTCGGGCGTGAGGATTTGGGTCGGCACATAGGGGAACTGGTGTGCTGCCGCAGTCGTCGATGCGGTGACCAGCGCCAGTAGAGCTGCTATGGCAGTCCGCCGTGGCCGTCGCACAGCGCGGGGTCTCCATTGTGACCCCATCGTTTGTGGTATGTTCGGGTATATAGTGCGTCTGCGTATGGAGGAGGCGAGGGGGTTCGTGTTATCTTGGTTGTCGTCGCCTTCTCAAACCATGATGCTCCAGACTTTGTCGGTCAACTCGTTATTTCGTATTATGTAGATCTTCGTCCAAGTCGAAATCGCGCCACGTATGCGTAATCACCGGCACCTGGTACGACCAGCCTGACACAAGCAAACAAGAATGATATACACCAAGAATGATAAGTCTGTGGTCACCAGCGTAGAATACTAATTCGTGAAAAAAAGGGCAAAGGTCAAGATGGTAAGGAATGGGAAGCAAGGGAGAAGCAAAGTAATTTTCGCCCTGTGCAGAGCAGGCTGAAATGAGGCACAATGGGTTGTCTCGCCGGTCCGCAGTCTATGTATATCCAGGCCAAGGAAGCGGGGATCCTGGTAACAACTAGCAACGAGGAGGGGGGGAAGTCACTGGAGGGTGCGTGGCAGCAGGCTTATCAAGATGAGCAAATAGCATCAGATGGTTTCTGCTTGAACGACTGCAGGTAGGGTTTTTCCGCCAGCCACGGTTGTGGAAAACGGGGGGGGGCATCCCATTCGTCCCAGGTGAGCAGGTCCGGTGGTCTCGCTACGCAACAATGGGTTGCATCGACGTGAAATCCTGGTGGTTCGAGAACGGTCCTAATGTCAATTCGACTCCAAGCGCGTGAGGCGTGGTGGGCTGGACGGTGACTTTTTTTGTTTTGCTTGCGGTGGTTGCCACGGCGATGCCACATTTTTAGGTGGTGTGGGGTTTGTCCACTTGCGCGGTTACTGTGCTTTCGAAGCTCAGTGTGCTTTGCGATGGCGCTAGGATAGTTTCTTTCCTTTTAAGTTTTTATAAAAGATAAACAGGAAAAATCAATATTATTCAATGCTGTGATGCTTGCAAAGGAGAATCGGTGAGGGCGCCGTGAGGAAGTTGGCGAGCCTATGGACCAGGGTGAAGGCCAAGACGTACCTAGACAGCGAAACGTTTCCTTGCTGGTAACTAGCGTCTGGTTTGCTCGGCAGCGCCAAATGGTAAATTGTAACGTTTTGATTTAATCTTCAACGACCGCTGTTCGAAACAAGGGACAACGGTGCCAGACGGATTTGGAAGGTGGTATGGTTGTGAGTCCATACTATGGACTGCATACAGATTAGTATGCCGCGTAATGCACGCCGGCATATGTGTGACTCCACGTGAATTTGCTCCAGGGTAACTGTTGTAAGTCGGCCTCAATACGAGCTCGACACTTCTCTGCAGTTGCCTTTATTAATGAGTAGACAGCGTTGGAAGCAAGGTCGAGAACAGATGTACTATTTGCAAAAACTGATTAATAACCCGATTGGTTCTGAGAACCACGGTCACCAGTAGCCAGGTTCACCCCGCCACCAGCCCCATTCATCGTGAGCATCGAAGGTAGTTAGGTACTGTTCCGATCGTAGGTGAATGAACATACCAGCGCATGGATTCCAGCTCAAGTTCCTCTCCTAGCCCTAGAATCCTGTCAAACTATCTTCAATGTTAGTGCACCTATCAAAGAGCCCGCGGCCTGGAGAGTACTACTGCACTGATCGAGTGCCTGATGAGTCGTCAAACAAGTTGCTTACCCACAGAAAACACGGCAGTACAGCAACCCATTGGATTCTTGGTAAAGCACGACTATCAATCAGTCGGTGACGCAACAGCACCGTCTACACCGACTGACCCCGAGTAGTCGCAGCACTGCACTTTTGCTACTTGGTAGCAATGACCGACTTACGAACACTTTGAGAGCCAACTCTCGCGACGGCCTGACTAACACCAAGTTGATGACTCTCACCCCATTCCGCGGCCCTCCGTCCCCACTCCGGAGGGCGCGCTCAACAGAGCCGCTCGGGGCCGGGACCTAGACTTTAAAACCGGCACATGCCTTTCAGACTGTCCTCCAGAAATGATACACTTCTTCACAAGTAGAGCGCAACATTAGCATAGCAGGATGCCTCTACAAATGAGAGCGGCCACCGACGCCGACACAGACGCCATTGCCCGTCTGGCCACCATCGCCTTTGACCCGGCCACTGACGCCATCGCTCGGAACCTCTTTCCGAAGCGCCTGCAACCGGCGGTGCCCCGGCTCGAGGACCCTGCCATTGCGTGGAGGCGCACGCGCAAGGGCCTCAAGATGCACACGGAGCGCATCATCCTCATGGTAGTAACGGACGACGAGCTCGACGACCAGATTGTCGGCTTCTCCATGTGGGAGGAGCCGCTGCCAGACGGCCAGCAGGGCGAGTCCATGACCAAGGGGCTTGTCCCGTGCGAGACGTTAGACGAGGAGGCATATCAGGAGCTGCGCTGCGCGAGCGGAGCGGCCACGAATGAATCTCTCGGCAAGGATGGCTCGAATCACATGTGGTGTGAGTCTTGACGAGGTATTTGCGAATTGTGCATGAAGATACTGACAAGCGGCAGATCTTGACTACCTTGGAGTCGACCCAGGCCAACAGCGTAGAGGAATCGGAAAGATGCTACTTGAATGGGGCATGGAAAAGGCACGGGAGCAAAATAGAGACGCATTTTTGATTGCGACGCCAGCAGGTATTCCGCTCTATCTAGCAGCTGGCTTTGAAAGCCTTGGTTCCTTTATGTTGTTTGACACACCACATAGCTGCATGATCAAGAGGCGGCCGGAGCCATAGGAACAGTTTGGGGAAGTGGGATGATAGACTGCCTTGGTATGACTAAAAATTCACACATAAGTGATTTAGAACCGAGAAATGCCCTGCCATTTCAATATGGAGCATCTTCCGGCGACACGATCGAGTGAGGTTGGCTGTGCGAGATGTCTGTGATTCGGACAGTCAGTCGCCCAAAGTAGTTTGGTGGTGCACCATACGCGTGTTGGCTTTGGGATAGCGCAGAGCAGCCAGTGCGATTTGAGCAGTCGGTTCCGGCCAGAAAAACAGATTCGAACAGGAGGTGTGATGATGTCATGATCAACGGAGTCGACCGCTGTTTCCACTGTTGGACAAGGTTTGGAGCTGCACGCCCGCCAAGCCTCACGGCACAGGTCGCGAGATCCTGACCGGCTATTAGCTCGGAGGTCCTGGACCGGATTCGCAAGTCGAACACTGGAGACCAGGCACCAACTGTGGTCCGATTAAAAATCTTTCCTCAATGTGCAGCTCAGTATCCCAGGTTGTTATCCTGTTTGCCTGGGCATGCGCGGCTGCTAACGCGGACGGATCGACAGCCGCAAAGAGACTTTGCTCTCCACCCCGGCCAATCTCGCATCCCCATCTTTTTCGGTAACATCCCTTGCTGCAAGATGGTCCGGGATTATGGCTGGCTGTCATGACGATTACAGTGCATATCCGGGACAACCCGTGGTTGACCAGCCCGTGTAGACAGTGTCTGGGACAACCCGTGGTTGATGAGCCCGGGAGACAGGATGTAACTAACGTTAGGTCAGAGTCTTCAATGAAGGCGAGGGACCGTGTTTGGAATTGTCTCGCAGTCAGGCCGTGACACGTGTTGCAAGTGTAGCGTATCGAGCGAATCTTTGAAGGTTCATTTGAACGTTTATTGTGGTGGTTGAGTGCTCGCGACAGGTCATATAGGTGACTGACTGGATAGCGACATCTGGGACCACAAATGCAGCCACAGCCCAAGCAGTCGGGTCGTCGTGAGCCGAGAAGAATTTAGTGTGGGTGGTAATGTGTATCAATGGTGGCGTTTACTGAGTCGGATGTTGAAGAAGAGGGTGTGATGCAAGATGGGTCAGGACGGAGGGATGAGGCCAAGTTCAAAGTGACAGGGTGCTGATCAGGATTAACGGATGAAAATCGAGCAAACGGACGAGGCAGCTGGCGGGTGGCACTGACAGTTGGCAGTCCAAACATTTTGCCAGTTGGCAGGTGGAGGCGTTGCAGGCGTTGCAGGCGTTGCAACTTGCCAGCTGTGTCGATGTGGCAGTGTGAGTGTGGCGCTGCACGACCAGCTGTGCAGGGGTTCGCAACGAGGGGCCAGGACGAGGACGCATTGCCGCAGTGTCGAGTTGATGAGTGTAATAAAGTGTAATGAAGTGACGGGTGCATGAGTGGTCCACTGGCAATGGTCCCTGTAATAATTCAACTGTCATAATAATAATGGCAACAAACTGGCATCTGAGGCCATTCTTCTCTGAGGTGGGGCGCAGTTCATCCGGCCCAGAGATGATACAGGGGGCTAGTTACGGGGAGGCTTGAGAGCAGAGCCATCGGGACTCCCAGTGCCTGCCTCACAGACTCTGGAAATTTTTTTAAGATTGCATGTCCAGTCAGTGGGGACAGTGCAGTGCGTAAGAGAGGAAAATAAGTTGAAGTAAAAATCAAGAATACTTCCGAAGTCGAGACGAAGTAGACATGTACGAAGTAGTGGGCATTCAACAGACCAGCAGTATGAAGTCTGCCAAGATGAAGCCACGACGCAGCTTGTTCTGCCGACTTGTTGCGGTTGTTGATGGGCATGCCGCTGGGTGTGGCTGGAATGGCGGTGGATCGAGCACGACGTGTACTGGTAGGTTTGGGCACGCCGAACTGATGACACAGCCATGTGGTAAGGACCACCAGTAGGCAAGACAAAAGCATGCAAGCGAGAAGCGACTGTAGTTTAGTTTGTTTCTCGTTCCTGCGAGGTAGTATTCCTAACTCGACAATTCTACAGCCAGATATCTCGAAACGAAAAGTCGGCCTCCTCTGTGAGACATGGCTGGGTAACACCGGCACTCCAAGGACCCCGGCGCACTGTGCAGTACCGACATCTTGCTGCAAGCCTCCTGCAAGTTCCAGCGCGTCAGGCCTTGTCTGGAGCTCACATGCTCGCAGAGGGCCTCGCTATCCCCTGTACTTGGGCCACACTCTCAAGGATTGAACAGAGAAACTTCAGCTCCTCTGGTCTCATCGCCCCCACTTGGCCCCACCTCCAGATCGGCACCCACTCCAATATCCAATCCGTGCCCCACCAGTCCTGGCGACAGTATCGCCTTTGCTACCAATTGCTACTTGTGCCCACGACTCTCGACTTCTAGAGAACAGCAACAGTCCTCCACTTTCAGCGCTACTAGTAGCGTCAAAGCCACACTCTGGGCTGCCTGGCTTCCAAGACATTGATTTATTACGTCGTTGATCCAGTCCTGCTATAATGTACCGCTTGGTAGTGCGCCGATGCGTAGCCATAGCTCGCTCCTCAAGCTTTCCTTGGGCTAGCTTCCTATTAATTTCCCTTGCGCCTGATCGCTTCTCCCTGGGCCTCCAAACAGCGATCGATTCTTCTTAAAATACTGTTGTCTGCCCAGGCTTCATTCTCGTGTCTCAGCTTCCTCTTTCTTGTCCTTCTCAGTGCCCACCCCGTGTCTCGCCCTCCTGCCGTTTGCAGTGGCCACAAGCGTACTCTGTACTCCATACCGTGTAAACACAATCGCTCGCGGTCCTGCTACACCAAAGGGCCACCAAGTCTACACACCTTGGAGATTAGCTGCAAACTCAAATCTCCCCATACGCGACTGCTGCTGTCTCGCCCTGGCTCATCCCGATAAAACTAGTTTCTCTTGGTCGCAACAAGGACAAAACCCCTCCGACTCGCCCACTCGGACCGCTCTTCGGTTTTCCCTTTTTACTCTGTACGCCAATCGCGACATCCTGCCACCGCCCACTACGTCGGCCTCACCACTTGCACAACACCCGTTCTAGTCGCTGCACGTAGCAGTCGACACCTCATCCACCATGGGCGCCTTTCTCAGCTGGATCAATGATGCCCTCGCCAAAGATCCTAATCAGGGCTCGAGTCAAACCACCTCGTCGTCGTCGCTTTCGGGTTCGTCGCCCCTCACGCGCAGCAGCGCTAGCTGTATTGTGCTCCTTTTGCTTACCCTTGTATCTCAGGCATGATTTCGACACTGGTCCCTGTTCTAGTGCTCTCCGCCGTCTATTTCATCATCTGGCTCGTCGCCAGACGTTCTCAGACGCGCTTCTACGAACCGAGAGCATATCTCGGGTCACTACGGCCCTAGTAAGTACAACCACCGCCGTTTGCGCCGCCAATCACGCCGCCGTTGCCACCACCGCGAACCTTACTTCTAACCTTGCAATTCTAGCCAGCGGTCGCCCGCGCTTCCCAAAGGCTGGTTCAACTGGATCGGCCCGTTTTGGAGACTTCCTGACGAGACGGCTTTGCGCCACCAGAGCCTCGACGCCTATCTCTTCATCCGCTACCTCAAGGTCTGCACTACCATCGCATTCGTCAGTCTCTGCATCACCTGGCCTATCCTCTTTCCCGTCAATGCGACTGGCGGCGGGGGCCAGAAACAACTCGATGTTCTCTCCTTCAGCAATGTCGACTCTCAGACGCACAAAAACTACTTCTACGCCCATTGCTTTGTTGGTTGGGTCGTTTACGGCTTCATCATGTACATGATTACCCGCGAGCTCATCTTCTACATCAACATTCGCAACGCCTTCTTCAACCACCCCAACTATGCTCGCCGCATCTCGTCGCGCACCGTCCTCTTCACCAACGTCCCCCAAGACTATCTCAACGAGGCCCGTCTCGAGGCCATGTACCCCGGTGCTATCCGTCACCTCTGGATTGCTGGTGATGTCAAGGAGCTCGAAGAGGAGGTGAACAAGCGTGACGAGACCGCTCTCAAGCTCGAAAAGGGCGAGGTTACCCTCATCAAGGCCGTCAACAAGGCCCGCGCTAAGGAGCTGAAGAAGAAGGGCGGTAATGCCGAGGATCAGGCCGCCGTCACCCGCGACGCTGAGACAGGCAACATCGCCTCCCGCTGGGTTCCCGACAAGAAGCGCCCCTCGCACCGCCTCGGCTTCTTAGGCCTCCTCGGCAAAAAGGTTGACACAATTGAATGGGGCCGCTCCGAGCTCAGGGAGAGCATCCCCAAGGTTCAGGCCGCCCAAGACCAGTACCTCTCTGGCAACTACACCAAGGTCCCCGCCGTCTTCATCGAGTTCAACACCCAGCGTCAGGCCCAGGATGCTTACCAGAGCGTTAGCCATCACACTGCCCTCCACATGGAGCCCAAGGCTATTGGTATCCAGCCCCAGGATGTCATCTGGAAGAACCTTGGTCTCCCCTGGTGGCAGCTCGTCATTCGCCGCTACGCTGTCTATGCTGGCGTCACTGCTCTCATCGTCTTCTGGGCCATTCCTGTTGCCATTATCGGTGTTATTTCTTCCGTCGACACCATCAAGGGTCTCCCTGGTCTGACCTGGATTGGGTCCATCCCACCCGTTATCCTGGGTGTAGTCTCCAACCTGCTGCCCTCGGTTGCTCTCGCCATCCTCATGTCCTTTGTTCCCGTCTTTATGCGGGGGTTCTCTCACCTCGCTGGCGCCAAGACCAACACCGAGTCTGAATTGTTCACTCAGCAGACGTACTTCATTTTCCAGGTCATTCAAGTCTTCCTCATCCGCACCATGACCAACGCCTTCGCCGACTCGATCGTGCAGATCGCCCAGGACACGTCGAAGATCCTTCCCGCCCTTGCTACCAACATTCCCAAGGCCTCCAACTTTTACATCTCGTACTTTATCGTACAAGGTCTGACGATTGCCATTGGCACCCTTACCCAGGTTGTCGGACTGGCCATCTTCAGAGTGCTCTACAAGTACCTCTCTGGCACCCCCCGCGCCCTCTTCGAGAAGTGGACGACGCTGGCTGGTGTTCTTTGGGGAAGCGTCCTTCCCGTCTACACCAACATTGTCGTGATTGGCATTACGTACTCGGTCATTGCCCCTCTCATGCTCTTCTGGTCCACGCTTGGTCTCTTCCTCTTCTACCTCGCCTACCGCTACAACCTGATCTTTGTTAGCGAGACGACTGTGGACACCAAGGGTCTCATCTACCCCCGTGCTCTCAAGCAGCTCTTTGTTGGTGTCTACCTTGGTGAGGTCTGCATCTTTGCTCTTTTCGTTCTCGCCAAGACGCCTGGCCCCGCTGTCCTGATGGGTATCTTTGTCTTCTTCACCATCTTGTACAATATTACTCTTCTCAAGACGTTTGGTCCTCTGCTGCGCGGTATCCCCACCAGCCTGGAAGCCGAAACCCAGCTCAGCGCTGGCCACCTTGGCACTGCTGGCACGGGCGCCGCCATTGACGACAAGGCGGAGATTGCCGGGAACGGTGCCAACGGTGCCTCTGTTGGCAATGGCGCCAATGGTGCTCATGCCAAGGGCAGCTCTGTCGCTGCGCCTACCGCTGCCAAGCCTAAGGGCAACATCTTGCAGCGCTTCCTCAAGCCCTGGATCTACTCTGACTACCACGTTCTTCAGAGGCTCATCCCTGCCAACGACTACGATCTGCACGATGAGATCTCGGCCGAGGCTTCTGCTCAGGCTTACCTGCCGCCGGCGGCTTACAAGCAGGTGCCCAACCTCTGGATCCCTCAAGATATCGCGGGTGTTTCCAAGCAGGAGATTGCCGAGACCTCCAAGGTCATCCGCATTTCCGACGAAGGCTGCACTCTGGATGAGAAGGGTTCCATGCACTGGGACGAGGACAACGCGCGCCCTCCCATCTACACGGAGAAACCCGAGTATTAAAGGACGTGTTTGACGGACGTCTGTAATTTTTTTTGATACCCGTGTGCTATCAGGCGCACCCTAACCTACCTAGTCTACTGAGGGCGTACGTGAGTTTACGAGCTGCCAGAGCACAATTTGGTCGAACTAGAGCTGTTACGACAAAAAGAGCTTTTTTTCTTTGAATGGTTGAATTTCTCGGTATGCTTTCATGTTTATGGGAGGAAGCCAATGATGTGAAAATATTGGATACTTTGTGTTTTATAGTATCTTGGATTATCGGTAGCTATTCTGAAAGACGTAATGTAATGATTATTGCTAATTTTCTGTGCCGAGTCATGCATGGCTGGCGCGCTTGGTTGTCTAGCCGCGCAAGCGTGAAGGTGTCTGGGATGCCCTCTCTACTACCATGAACTGCCCGTGCCAGTGTCGGCGCAGACTGCTGAGAAGCCATGTGCAGTGTCAGCGCAGACTGCTGAGAAGCCATGTGCGCCTTGAAAGGAAGTCGACTTTCCGAGTTACCGTCTGATTCAGATGCACCTAGCACTTATTGCCGACGCCTCCTGGTGCGGTGGAGACGACTCAGATCTCCGATGCGGATCTGGCCTAACAGGCAAGGCCAGATCTGATGCAAGACCCCCCCCCCCCCCCCTGCACAAAGACTGCACAACATTTAACATTTGCACCAAGGGCCAACCTGGTCCCCTGGTACTTGCAACAACAACAAGGCAATATTGCTGCCTAATTGATGCGGGTTACCGATGTACACTGCTGCATTTTCGTGGAAAATTGAATGCCATGGTGTCTGCGCGGCGCTCCCGCATCTGAGGCTGGTAAAATTTTGCCTTTGCCGCTGCGTGCACGCCTGCGTTCCAGACTCTTCACAGCTCAGCAAAATGTCCAAGCAAAACAAGGTCACGAGATGAACTTTGCAAAGTCAGGAACGAATGGGGACTCCCGGCCCCCCACGCACTCCCCATTGCCATTCAAATTAGGCCGAGAAAGATTCCTCGCCTTTTGCCATGCTTGTGGCGTGTTGTCAATTATCGCGTGCAGATACGTTGCCTGCTGCTGCATGTCTCGGGTGCCTTTTTTTTCGCCGCCCCCGCCGAAGCTTGGGTACCAGGAACACGCAGCGCGGGCATCACTTGGGGCGCTCGCAGAGGTATCAGGGACTTGGAATGTCGTTGCAGGCGACTAATACGAGAGCCTCAACAGGGTGCGTTGCCGTTGCAGTGGCCAACTGTACAAGGCACAGGAAATAAGGCAGCCTCACGCCGGATACAAGTCTGTGGCGAGAGCCGGCGCGCCAAAGAGGCAAAAAGTAGGGAACGGCCCTCGACCTATAAATATACACATGTATGCGCATTGGGTGGTGTTCAGAATCAAACGCAAGAGAAAAGCGAGTGGTTCGGTGCTGTTGATTGACGCATCTCTGCCGTTACCAGATCTTCCCACCAGCAACAAGTCCATCCATAACCAAGGTATGTCCTGACAACCTGCCATCCATTCCTTCTTGTTCTAACAAGAGCTCCAATCCTCCCAGCAATCTCAAAACACCATGTCCAGAACCTCGGAATACACGGAGCTCTTCACCTCCCTCCAGGATCTCCTCGCCAAGGACACTTCCCAAAGCATCATCATCATCGCCGTCGGCAGCACCCAGTGCGTCGAAGCCCTGGAGCGTTCCTCGGCGAATCTATTCCAAGAATCCTGGCGCCGCAAGCTGCGTTTCTGGAAAGGTATGGCCCCCCTCCCGCCTTTCCCCCAGGTTTCCCAACTCTGACTGGACACTTACACATACACAAACAGACCACCACCGTCCCTGCGTCTACTTTTGCACGCCCCGCCAACTCCCCGCCGCCCTCCTCAATGCCGAAGCCCTGTGTGAGGCGCGTCCGCTCCGGCGCCAGCGCAGCCTCGCCGTCGTCGCCAGCCGCGCCGTCAGCTCGCTCGACCTCGCCGTCGGGGACCAGGTGCGCTCCCTCGCCGTGCTGGGCGCAAAGCCGCACACCCCATCCTCCTCCTCCTCCACGCGGAGCCTGACGCTCGGCGCGTCGTCGAGCTTCTGCGATGTGCCCATGGCCGAGTGGCGCCGCCGGCAGCCCTCCGGGTACAGCCTCCTGACCGGCCCGGGCGTGCTCGTGCGGTCCCCCGCCGCGCGCCTGCGTCCACAGCAGCAAGACGAGCTCGACGAATACGAAGTCGACGCGATCCGGCACCATCTGGAGACCATGGAGCGGCGGGCGCACGGCGGGCGTGGCAGCGGCCGCCGCTGGAAAGCCTCGGCCGCCGCCATCCTCGGCGTGCTGACGGGCGGCGCGGCGACGGCGGCGGCGACGGCGGCGGGTGCGGACAACGAGGGCGTTTCGTTTCGTGACGAGGACGGGAGCAGCACGCTCGCGCTGGCCGGCATCGGCTTGAAGGCGACGCTGGTGGCCGCCGGATGGGGCTTGGGGGCCGGCGCGGCCGCGGCGCTGCTCGTGTACGTGGTGCCGTGGGAGGCGTTTTTTGGCCATTTGCGCAGACTGCTGGCCGGGTTCTGGACGTGGATCTGTGACTTGTTCTCGCGCCTGCAGGACGCCGTGCGCTCGTTTCGCCTGAGGGCCGAGGAGAAGCGCAGAGAGCGACGCAGGGGAAGAGGTGCGCGCCGCTCGTCCCGATCGCGGAACTCGTACCCCGAAGTTTAACGCTCCGGACGGCTGGATTGCTTTTGCATTCGGGAGTACTGTTTCACGCACCGAAAAAAAAAGGTCGGAAAACCGGCGGCTGCTTCTTCCAAGGGCTGCCTGTGGGCTAATGATCGATATTTTCATAGACTTTTATCAAGGGCCTTAGATGCATTCCAAGATATACAGTTTAGCTATCGTATTATGCTACGTGGCTATCAAGGTTGTAATTTCTATGTTTCCAGTCTTTAAAAAACAAAGTTGCTTTGAACTATGGAAAGCAGTCGAGATCTTCGTCCCCAGTATACAGATGAGAAATCTATCTTGCAATTGCCCCCTCTAGCATATAACGTATACAAGTCAAGTATTAAATACAAAAGATCAACAACATGGTTCGTTCACTTGTTGCAAGCGGGGTTCTCGCCACTGGCACAGCTGGCCAGTCCCTTTCCGATGCCGTTCATGACGTTGCTGGCGCCCTTGGCCAAGTGACCAGCCGCGGTGGCCACGCCCTGGACGTCGTTGCCGACCTGCTGCGCCATGCCCTGGACCTCGCTGCCGACCTGCTGCGCCATGCCCTGAACGTTGGCGGCGACCTGCTGGCCGGCCTTTTGCACGTCCTGGCCGACCCTTTGCGTGTCCTGGCCGGCCTGCTGCACCACGGCCTGGGTGTCGCTGACGGCCTTGTCGGCGCCCTGGCCGGCCTGGACGACGGCGCTGGAGAGCGCCGCGCCGCCCTTTTCCATCATGGTGCCGGCGTTGTTGGCCAGGTTCTGGATGTCGCTGCCGAGGCGCTGGCTGCCGTCGCCGAAAACGCCGCGGGTGTTGACCTCGACCGGCGTGCTGCTGCTGACGGGAGCGGCCGAGACGCCGCCGGAGACGGCGAAGAGAGCCGTGAGGACGCTGGTGATTCTCATGTTTTGACTTTTGAAGAGAAGGGGAAAAAAAAAGTGATGTAAGTGGTGTAAGTGGTTTTTCAATCTGCAAACGAATGACGTGTCCAAGTATGGGAAAATGAGTGTGGAAATTGGACAAGTTGGATACACTTGGACAAGAAGAGAAAATTGAATATATAGGGGCCATTTTACTCATGTGTTTGGGTCGGAGTTTCCTGAATAATTACAACAGCTCCTCAATGCAACGCAACAGGTGGTGATATCTACACTCGGACTTTGTCAGGGATTAAGCAAGGGTCCTCAGGCAATAAGAGCAGGACCGAGCACTAGTTGTGTCCGCCAGTTGGCCTCCAGTTGCAAGTTTCGGGTGAATTAAGGTTCAGGAACGGACAACTGCGCTCAGTCGACCAATATCCGAGTTAGTGGACTTTATGCGCAACTTCGCGTTGAATCTGAGCGGCGCAGGGCTGAGTATAGTATATAGATAATACATATAGATGCTTGCCAAGGGCTGCTACATTCGTGGTAAATATCTGCGAGGTTTTCTTGGCAGCGGGCCGTGGGCCAGAACACGTGCAATGAGCCCGTCAACGAAGCAAACATGACCGTGCTCGTTATCCTTTCGTCCGCCATCCCGGCCGCGTCTTTGTTCTGCGCCCCATCATGTATGTGTGTTCTTGCCGAGAATGCGTCGGTGAGGGCTTCAAAAGATGCTCTGCCAAGACGACACTGGCGAGTTGTCATGGCCGGTGCAACCGGGAGAGACTGTCTCCGACCTATTCACAGAGACGTGGGAATAACCCGTTGTAGTTAAAGAAGCCCTCTATTCTGAGATATGCAGGATATGAAGTCGTGGCCAATAGTTTGCAGTTTCTGGGGCACAAGGAGAGAGTGGTGCTGAGGAAAGCCGGTCTTGCCGGACTGTTGCAGAAAGGCTCGATGCAACCTCGGGTGCAATGAACCCTGTATCCACGTATCTGTATCTCGTGGGCCAATCGTCGCCAAGCACACTGCGCGGTTGCATTGATACTCTTTTTTTTCTATAATTAGATGTTTCCGCCCGAGGTTGTGTAAGGCAGCGTTAGCCGCGTGACGGAGCAGAAGTCCACGGTGCAATTTCGATTTTTTTTTTTGGGTACTGCCTGAGAACTGTATAATACCAAGACAAAGAATCAGTTCCAGCAAGGTTCTTTTCCTTTACTTAGATGTTCCGCAAACCCTTCCTGTCAAAATTTCTTCCCTGTGCCACCACTCACACCGCCAGCCACCACGCCACATCAATCTGTATCAAATAATAAATGCGGAAATCTGAGAAACCTGAGTCGAATAGGTATTACCTGAGGGTCCAGTAAAATAAATAAGGTTAATGCGTCGTGAAATTGTTTGCGGCCTGCTGTGTGACCTCTGCAATTGGTGGAGGATTCCCATCTGGCCCCCTTGTCGGTTTGGGCCAGCATCTTCCCACCATCACCCATGCTCACCCGCGAGAAGACGCAAACACCACACTCTGGCCTCTCCAGTAGCGGCTCTACGCGAGGGCGACGCACTGGCAATCGTTCCGTTCCGGTAAGCCAGTATATCAGCATGAAGCGTATCAAGCGCGCGCCCATCCCAGACCGACCGGCAGTTCTCGGGTGCCGATCGTCCCCCAGGGCGCAGGAGCGCCAATCTCCAAGCCGTTTAGCTCAAACAAGCTACGCGTCTCTTGCTATCAGACAACTCGCGCGCGCCCGCGACAGCTGCACTACTACTTGGTACAGTCGATCGAAAAGGACCTGCGCAAGTGCAATCTTGTGTGGCGTCAACCGATTACCCAGACAAGCCCCGGGCATGTGTCTCGTCAGAGGAACAAGGCAAAAGGCCAGCGTCATGGGTCCTCAGCACGAGGTGGGCTTCTGTCTTTGTCCCCCAATTATCTGCTCCGGACGAACGAGCCAGGGAGCAAGGTGGCCAGGCCCCCATGCACGCGCAGGAGAGTGATCTATGCCTTCGCGGGAGGGACGGCCATCGCCAAGCACGGTCTTTGGGTCCGGCCGTCTCGTCGTGGCCGGCCGAGAGTACGCAGCGCGTTGGCAATTATGGAGTACAGTACACCGGGCGTTCGAAACGTTCTCCAGGGGGGGCGCTTGCTTTGTCAACATGATGGAGCAGTTGTGCACGCCGCGGCGTTGATGCTGGCCAAAGGCGGCTTGGAAAGGCGGCCACCATGAACGCCGCGGTACATACGACGACATCAATAGACCTGTCAAAGAAGGCCAAAGCCTGTTTCTCCGTTGCGACGGGCTGCTAATACGGCGGCGGGGTCTGTGGCGCGTCCACGAGTCCCTCCCCAATGGCGGACGAGTGTGCCATTCTGAAGACGAAGGTCAGGGAAGAAGCGTTCAGGGTTTCCACGCGGCTATCGCAAAGCTTTTTTGGACTACATACAGGCCGATGCCCTCTTTTATCTGGACCAAACCCCTGCAATCCGCATAGAAGACTTTATTCTGAAACAGACCCAACGATCCGCGAGGGAACAGACGAACGAAAGCCCACGCCGCTCAACGCAGCTTCCGGGAGGAAGTTCCGGGAGGAAGGGCCAGAAGAGGAGCCGGATTTCCATCAGCCACTCACAAAAGTTGAAAGCCATTGTGAGGGTGCCATCAGTGCCTCCCTAACAGCCATAGCTAGAAGTGGTGGGGCTGCAACACACGGAATTCCCCCCCGCGCCTGGTTTAGCCTCTGTTCAGCGCGCCCGTCACAACGCCCGCGCAAACAATTCCCAAAAGAATAGAGCATCAGTAGCGAAAGCTTGTACGTAGTGCAATCAACATGAGGGGATGGTAAAGCTAAAAGATAATCGGTTAGCGGCCGGCCGATGCTGCTCGATTCCTGTGGCCCGAGTTGTACCCTCATTATCAGGAGCCAGCTCTGTCTCGGTGGAACAATGCTAAAGACCACATCAGTCTCACCTCTATTGTTTTGCATCCTTTGTCTCTTCTTTGTCTTAGATTCATCACTGGCCTTATAAGGATGGCTCCGATTTTCGTGCAACGGTCCATGGCTCAATCGATCTCATTGATTCACCAATATCACACCACCACGCCCCAAGCTCACCAGTGCAGCCAACAGCAGTGCCGCGGTCCAAAACCATCCTCGAAATCCGCCGCCAAAGGGACTGGAACACCGCTTCACCAGGGGGCCACGGGCTCGTCAACAAAAGCCACATCAAAAACCGGAATGATGGAAACACCGCTTCCTCAGGCGACATCGCCGCCGCCCAAGCAACACCTCCAGACCAACAGGTCGACAGCCCCGAGCC